CCCTCCTCTGCTTAGATATGGTTATTCCAATTTGACATAAATAACCTTCCTCACTCCATTCAGACCATCGGTCTTTTCTGTCCAAAATGTCAACATTGATGTCTTCAAGGATATCCCTTTTCTTTAGATGTAGGTGGACTGCTGAGTCTTGTCCTGAGGAGCTGGATCTTCTGTGTTGAGCTTGTGGACCTGCTTTTAAGTCTTCCTATATAAAGGTCTGTGCACTCCTCACTTCATTAGATTTCATACGCAATGTTGCTCAGCTTTTGTTTTGGTGTTTGATCCTCAGGTTGAACTAGTTTTGTGTCAGTGTTGCTTGGTCTGAAGAGCACCAGTGTTTTGTATTAAACTGAACTTAAATCAGACAAATGGGCAGTTTTCCTCTATTTATCCGTTGTCAGTTCTCATTGATACAATAAAAATCCTAGAAAAATAAATGGTATCTTGCTGTAACATGTATGTTGTATGGTGGTGATAACATGAGAAACATCTTGTCGTAAAAAGAAACTTTTCATGTCATAACATGATACTGATCTGTTTTTATTTTTTGGGTGTGGCAGCAATACACTGCCAAATCATGGCAGTAAAGTCATCATAAAATTAAAAATACTCAAGTAAGTGCAAGTACCACACATGTACTTGAATAAATTGACAGTATTTTTCCACACAGTGTGGGGCTGCACACCTTTGTACTTGGCCAGCTTCTGACTCAGCAGAACAGACAAGAGGAGGAGAGGGAACAATATTATGTCTCATAACATCGCGTCACATCACATACGCACTTGTTCCCTGTACCCAACTCCCAGGGTGGCACTGTAATCAAAAATGCCTGTTTACCTTTCATTACCGTCAAATGAGCGATTAAAACAAAGAAACAGGGGAGGAGGGGGGGCCGAGGTCACAGCAGAGGAACGTTAGACAAGAACAGAAGGAAAACGAGAGGTTTATATGAAAAATAAGACATTTCCTTTAATAACATCTGTAACATCACGGTTGGATCCTGGTATCATTTTGAATATATTTGACGATGCAGTATACACTTTAATGTGGACATTGAATTGATTAATTGGCATTATATACTAATACAACATAAAACTGCATTGTTTTCTACAAAGACATCATAAAAGGGCACAAATGGTGTAGCAGCAAAAAAAGAGTGTAGTTTTTCTCTATACATAGGCTACAGTAGTACAATGTATTTGCAGAGAAGAGATTCATTGCAAGGTACAGCTAAAGTGAAGTTACAAATACATTTCTAAAGTATGCACTACGTCATACACAAGGTCATGGCAGGATATTAGAGATTATAAAATGTTACATAGTTTAGTAAGGGGTATCTATAGGCTACAGGGCTACCTTAACAGCACAATGTAGACTATGCAGAAACTCTGATGTTTGATGCTCACACAGGATCAGTAATACGTCCAAGCTTGTGATGTTGAAATGACTGGAGGCGTCACTAGAGAACAATACATCTTGGCAGAACTAGCTGTTGGTGCTTTCATTGATCAGAGTTAGTCCTTTAATACAAGAACATTTGGTCACAAGACGTAACAGTTGGAGCCTGAGATGAACCCAGAAGGTTTGTCTCAGAACACTCTTTTAAGTGGAATGTCATCAATATGTCACATATGTCTGTATGAATGGAGTCCCTTAACTCCTTCAGCTTTGTCGTCACCATCCTTTTTTTCTTCCAGTGGACTATTCTACAATATGTGCTTTGTAATCTCAAACACAAGTAAAGTCTGTACTGAGATTAGAGTTTCCCTCTTGGGTTTTCCCAAAACATTTGTTTGCTTCTTCACAAAATGCAATTGTTCCCTATTAATAACAGAAAGTGTATCAGCTCATATGAATTATAAATGCATAAAGAGAAATAGCTACAAGTGAAAAAAGTTAAAGGAATAGTTTTTCAAAATTGTGACGTACACTGCTCTGTTGCTTGGAATTAGTGAAAAGATTGATGGCACTTCCATGTCTGTCCAGTAAATGCATCCACTTGGTAGTCTAGCTTAGCATGAAGACTGGAAACAGGAACAAACTGCTGCTTAACAGCGCCTTTAAAGTTTGCTTGCTAAATCTGGTGAAGTTAAGACATCCAGGGGGAGAATGGAGTATAGATACTGCTGCTTCGCATTAAAAGGAACCAGCTTGTGTGGTTCGGGAATCTGATTAGGATACCTTCTGGTCGCCTTCCTTTAGAGGTGTTCCGGACACTTCCGGCTGGGAGGAGACCCAGAACCTGCTGGAGAGATTACATATCCCATATGGTCTAGGAACCCCTCTGGATGTCTCAGCAGGGGTTGAGAGAGGTTCATCTGGAATGCCCTGCTTTGTCTGCTTCCATCACGATCCAAGTCTGAATCAGTGGGAAAAAAAATAGATTGATGGATGTCTAAAAACCAGAGAGTGAAGTGCTGCTGTATGGAGTTTGCTCCTTCTGGACAAGCTATTCCCCCTTGTTTCCAGTCTTTATGCTAAACTAAGCCAAATGACTGCCAGCTCTAGCTTCATATTTACTGTACAGATTCAACTGCATTGATTTTCTCATCAAACTCTGAAGTTTATCTTCCAAATGTTAAAGTATGGGGGTCAAGAATGGTCACCAGTCGTTGGAAAATACAAAAGCTTTGGAAAACCCTCTCCTGCTCCAGATTATCACACAGTGTCTGGTCTGTACTCAAGAGGACCAGTTCAGCTCTCTTCTCATGAAAAGTTCTTCCCTTCAGAAAACTCCTATAGCTTCCACTAAACCAGTGATATTCACTACAGATCTGCTGCAGCTCCGAGTCTCTGCACTCAAGACTGTGCTTATTGCTAAATGTATCATTTATTCATCTCTTAAAAGAGGCCTGAAATAACACAGAGAACGTAACAATAATGCTCTAATACATGGTCATCATTAATATGTTAAGATATAGAGGTAGTGATTGAAGAATTGATTGACAGTAACACACACTGAACAATGAACTTGAGCATGGAAAAAATAATCTCATCTCAGGATAGTATAAATACAAAGCTTATCAGAGCAACCACTGAAACAAAGCTCTGTTGCTTCAAGGCTGACACATAAATAATTCAGACTGTGGACTGCACGCTGTTTCTGGGTGACTATTCTTCAATCCACAGGATCATGTGAATCCTGGGGGAGAATATGGATATGAATCATGGCGTTTCAAAGCTACTGTTTCTCAGGGAGCCTAAACGTCACTGGTAAAATGTTAGCACAGCACACAGGCTCTGAATGGGTGTCGAAAATGGCTTTAAACTCACCAAACTGCTACTTTGGGTCCTCTGAGCTCTGGCTTTAGCTCGTCACACTGACTGACAAGCTACTCAAGACCTCATCCTTTCTGAAACAGTCACAGTTCAAATGCCTTTTCCCACCCAGCAGCCAAGCAGTCATGAACCAACATGGAGTTAAACCGTGAGATTCAGTCAGAATATAAACAAGTTATGTTCCAAATGAATAATACTCTTCCCATCCTGGCTCTAACATGCAACAACAACTGCCGTGTTTTCCTTTCACTGCACTGGGGACGGCTATTTGCTTGGGTTCTGTGTGCTGCCGACGACACAACCCCTCTGATTGTTTGAATTACACATTATAATGTATAGAGTCTCCCATTTGTGGCCCGTGTGAGCCGTCTCTGTTTAAATTCAATACATTTGGATATTGGTTGAACTGGCCACCCAGCGTGACTCTTTATGCAAACGGATTAAAGATTAACAAAAACAAAACAAAGACACATTCTGCAATATAGAATATCTTTCCAATCAACGTGACAAAATTATAATAAAATATAAAACAGTGGCATGTAATACAATACTTATGAAGACTTTGTAGTAAACTGCAAATAAACAACTGGCATATATTTGCACACTTGGTGTGGCACACACAAAAGCTTATGGCTACCTGCATTCATTTCACATCACGTGTGTGAAAATATGGACGTATGTGTGCTGCAGCAGAGTGTGTGTGTGTGTGTGTGTGTGTGTGTGTGTGTGTGTGTTGTGTCGTCTGTGTTCCTGGTGTAATAAGTGTGAATGTGTGTGAAGCAGTGGACAGCCGCCAGGCCTCATTATTGTCATTCTCCTCACTGCCTAAAAGAGTGGCAAAGAGAGGCAAAGCGGCTCCTTTCAATCGACGAACCGAGGAAAGATGGAGACAAAAGGCCCAAATTAAACAAATGCCGGAAAGCGGCTTGGAGAGCCAGCCTGTGGTCGTGCGCTTTGAATAAGCGAGAACGGCTGCAGGGATAACCCATCTGGGTCTTTCAGTGGGAAGACCACACAGATATACTATTGGTCCACACACTGGGGTGCCAGTTCATGTGCATGTCCCATGTCCTTCTGGTATGTCTCAGTGTGCATGTGTCCACCAATGATCTGTTGCTGTTGTTGTTTAAATCCTCTGCTTAAACATTGGCCTTGACTTAACCCAGGAATCCGTCTCCATACGCAGTTTCCTTGTGAGCCAACAATCACAGCCTCCACTGAAGCGTTCACACATACGACACCTGTGTCAGACTGGTCCACTTCATCCACATTGTCCTTGTATGGTATGATCATTCTCATTTCCACTGTTCTCTTAAGTAGAAACATCTTAGAGTTCAATCTTCAAAACCACAGCAGAGTACATTCACTTCTGAGCTTGTGTTCACAAAATAGATTTTGCCTGGTTATTCCCATGTCTCTCCAAGTTGCCATTTTTCTGCCACTTTCACCCTCCACTCACTGGATGTGTTTTGTGACGCTACATGTCTGTACATGCACGTACATGTGGACTGACAGAAGCTTTGTCACTAAAGCAAGCAGCTGGAAAAACACACGTAGATCTACAGTACTTTAAGGGTGCAATGACGCACTTGTTGCTTTACTAGAGCTCTACTGCAGGTTTGTGTGTGTGTGTGCTTCCACTAATATTTCCTTCAGTTTGAGCTACTGGATGTCCAAGCGTCTGTATGGTCCATGGCACTGATGCTGAGAGTGGGTGATGAATTGACAGGAATTTGGTGGAGAGAAGGTGGTGAAAAGACAGCGGGCAGACATATCAAGTCCTCAGGGCGTCACACCTGGAACAATGAAGAGAGAAAAAATTTAGCTTTGCTAAAATAGTTTTCCGATACCAGAATGATTCTCACATGTATGCTGAATTTTACAATTATGCACACTATGAGTCTGGTGCTTCTTGGCAGATGGTCTTGCCAAACAGGTTGCATTTTCTCCATAAAATATACCCACATTAGCAGCTATTTAGCATCAAGCATTTTGTTAAAAGACACAACATGTGGAATCAAAATGCTGACTCCACAACTTACATATAAACTGCACTACCACATGAATTATAGATGCTCAAGCAAAGCTTTCTTACTGCAATTAACGCTAAAGCGAATGCATCTGTGGTTGTTATAACAGAGGAAAAATGGGAACACACTAGACTGGAGCAAAAGATTCAGTTTAGAGTAGGCACTGGGGCTTCACTGATTGCATTTTACTAAAGTTAAACTCACTAAAGGTGTTGTGTTTTTGTTACATACACGTATCGTTAAAAAAATAATCATGTTTAAGAAACAGAGTTTTATGTTTTGGTTGCACATTGACTGACTTGCATCGGCGAGGGTTGAGCCTCAGGCCCTTCTGGCTGCAGTTCTCAGCTCTGATGGTGCAGCGGCACTGACATGACGTCACATCCAGGGCCCACTTCCTCCCTCTGCAGGGGCGGCAACGAGGCATTGGAGAGGGAGTTGGAGAGAAACTGGTGGTAGGGGGTGATGGAGGAAGAGAGGACGTAACGGGAAGAGAAGGGATAGTATGGGTTCTGGATGGAAGAGGGGTGTACAAACAGTGTGGTTAGCTGAAGAGTTTATTAATTCACTGATTATGAATGTTCTACAGCCAGTGTTGTAGAACATTTCCAGATGTATATTGTCATCCTCAAATCACCTGGCTAATGGCTCATTAACGAAGAAAGACTCACATGCCTTGAGATGTAAATAGTAGTGAAACTACAAGGTCAAGACTGACTTAAGATGTCAACGCTGGGGATTTTTTCTGTAGCGAGATCTTAAGTAAGTAGCTGATAAGTGGTGAAGTAGACATCCTCCTTTGTTTACAGATGGTTGTTCCAGGTCAGCATCGATGACTTTCTTGAATCTTCTCTCAAATTATTTGTTTTCTCTGTCCAGAATGTGAACATTACTGTCCTCAAAGGAGTGTCCCTTGTCCTATAGATGCAGGTGGACGGCTGAGTTTTGTCCCAAGAAGCCAGATTTACTGTATTGTAGCAGGTGCTTGTGGAGTAGTCGTCTCTTATATAGAGATCTGTGCATTTCTTGCTGTATTGGTCTGCATATGTCACATTTTTCAGCTTGAGTGTGAGTGTTTTTAGCGAAGATATAGTGGAGACTTTGTATGGGGAAGGCTAAAAAACTACTTCACATACAATACAAAAAGCAGTAAATCCAGCTCCTCAGGAAAAGACTCAGAAGTCCACCTGGATCTAAGAGATAAGGGGCACTCCTCTGAGAACAGCAATGCTCACATTCTGGACAGAGAAGACAACTTTTCTGACAGAAAAGTCAAGAAAGCCATCCATGTTAAACAGGAACAACCATTTCAAAACAGAGGAGGGGGTTGCATTACCACACATCAGGTATTTATAATGTCGTCTTGGGACTACACTCACCAGAAGTTTTCACCAGCATTAACACCTTGAGTCATCCCTGACCTGGCATTTTGTTACTATTTACAACTCAAGGCATGTGAGGCTTGGGCTGGTAATGGCCCAATAGCCAATGTGAGACTCTCCATCAGTCAGTTAAAACTGGAGAAGCCTCTTGGATTAGAGGTGAAAAATCCTCAAAAACACTTGATATCACTCAGTCAACAAAATTTGGTTTAAAAACCACAAACATCCTCAAAAAGGGTAGCAGGCATCATTATCTGGGGAATTTCAACATTTCAAAACACACCCATTTAGTTTTTGTTGAGATATTTCCGTCTAGACCAAAGCGGAGGACCGGCTGACTGGTTAAAAATGAAATGCAAGGATTGTTTGAACAGTGCCAGACTGAAACAAACCCACACAATGCAGTGTGTGGGAGATGTGTGACTAATGTGGGATACTGTGTCCTTAGCTGCTGACAAACTTTCTTTTTCTTTCTGTCCGTCTGTCTCTCTGTCTGTTACCATGGCTATGTTCACATAGTTGCCTATGAGGCTTTCAGTTTCTCCTCTAGCCGCCCTGCACTTTCCCTCTCTGAGGTCTGAGTCTGAGAAAGTTGCCTACGTCAGTCGGTCCATTAACTGGAGCTGGTTCTGCCTCAGTCTTCCCGGGAGGCTGGCGGTTTTAATGAAGTTACTTAATGAGGCAGAGAGGGACCATCTTTGTTCACATCCCGATGACCACGCCTGCCGCTGGCATGGACGGAGGAGGTGGCATTTAGGAGCAAATTACACAGATTTCACCCCTGCCAGAGTCTGAATAAAGCCTGTTCTGAGTGATGGATGGGTGCTGAGGGACATCACACCCAAACCAAGCCACCTCCGGCCCCCTGAGGCCCAGAAATGACTGACAGCAAAGCGAAGGGGAAGCAGATTAAAAAAGAGTGGAGAGGAAAAGAACACTAACTTATCCTTCACGGCTCAGGACTTATGGAGATCAGGTTCCATGTAGTTCCATATTTTTATTACTGAGATGAGAATGATATAACATGTCCTAATGACAGTCAACATTAACTAACTACTGGCTAAACAGTGTCTTGATTGCTGTGATTATTGAGTTTACTGGTGGATTACTGCATTTGTGCGTCTGTGTGTGTATTTGTGTGAGACCTTGACTGCTGTGGCTGTAAAACAAATTGTCCTTCAGTAATATTGTAGACCAGATAACCCAGTTTTCCCCTAATCTAAACATTCAGTCTGAGGCTGTGAGTATCTGGACAACACTGACTAACACAAGTAAAAACTTAAACTCAAGGCTTCGAACAAGCTTAAAAAAATCAAATGCGTGTACTGAAAATTCAACCTACGCAGGTCTGACAGCTCCAGTCGCCCTCTGTTTGGACTTTCCCCTCTCCCTTTTTTTTTCTTTTCTTGCTGGCTTCAGATGGGACCTGAGAAAATCCAGGAGACAAAATGTTACACACATGATCAGGAGTTGTGCCATGCAAAACACTGTTTTAAGTTCTGATATCTGATATCTATATGTGATACTCCTGAGTGAGTATATTGAATACATTCTTAGATGGACCAAATAAACTGCATACTGCAGAGAGAATTTTCAAAGTTTTGTATGATTTAGGTAAAGCTTTCATATGACTAAGTCTACTAGGATTTAGCTTCTGAGATTTTAGAAATTTGACTTCTTTGTTAAATAAAAAAGGGGTTTGCACACCAGAGTCAGAAACTTTAAAAAAAATAAAAAAAAATCTCAACCCTAATTCCAGTATATTTCGGCTTAAGATGTTATTTTAAAAAAAAACAAAAAAAACCCAACATATCAGAACACTATAAGAAACATTCCTTGTATAACACATTTAAAACATTATCCACCATTTTACTTCACGTGTGATGTTATAAACCTTTTTCAGACATGGTATATGTAACATTGCTGGCTTCATCAATCTGTTATAATACAGATTTCTTTCACTCACATATAGGTCACTTTTCAGATTCATTCAGACACATCCAACACAGTTACGCAGAGAGCCTTGGTACTTGCAATATTTGTTGTAGACGCAAGACTGGACAGCGTGTTGTTATGTAACTAGTCATTTTCTGTATCTTATAAACAGTGACTCTGTGTATGACGTAAAGTACATAGTGTGAGCTGCCGCTAGATTCTGATTTATCCTGTCTCCATGTTGGGGATCGTTTGTAATTATAAGTAGGCTAACTCATTAAGTTATCGTTGTTATGTATTGTGTGTAAATGAGTACAGCTGTCTTTGGAGACGCTCATATGGCGCCTGCTGCTGCCTGATGTTGCAGGTATGTAATAAACTGATAGAAAAAACACTTATAAACAGCTGGAAATTTTTTTTTTTTTCCCCAGACTTCAGTTTGTAACAGTTATTCTGCTAAGAAAATGAGAAAGGTGTCTTTTGTGGTCTCTGTGATGTTTTTGTACCAAAATTACTGTTGAACTGTGGAAAAAGCTGCTTTTCCCAAAACACTTTTGTGTGTGTGTGAACCGATCTGTGAAAGTCTGGCGTCGTTCAGTTCAGACTTGTTCTGCGTTGAAAGTAATACAGAAATGTTACTGGGTCGGACCCAGTCCAGTAATAAATGTTCTTGTTTTTCCCAAGGACAGTTATTACTACACTGATTGAGTAAATGAAAATTAAAGAAGGATGGACTTATCAATGAACAAAACAGTACAATGAACATTTGATTACTATTCCCATTACATGACACAAAGAAGAGAAACACCAACATCAGTACAGAGGACCAGTTATCAGGGGAGAGGAAGTCAGTGTCTCCAAAAATGGAGAAAATGTCACTATTTAGCTTTGAACTTTTATTTACTTTTTTATTTCTATTATTTTGAGCACCAAGCCTGTTTTACTTTAATGCATGCTCTATATAACAAAGTGCATCTACAGCTCTAGTGGTAGTGTTTCAACCTTTAACTTGATCGTCTCTGCTGTCCTAAACTGTATCCAGTTATTGGGACAGTGTGTACCAGTCTAGCTCTAACATTATTAACAGACTGCTGCTGTTGCTGCTGCTGCTGTTGTTTTTGGAGCTCTAATTTACTATTATGGATGCGTGACTTTGCTCCGTCAGTCTGTGAGAGAGCACATGGCAGGGGAGATAAAATCATCACTATGGTGACAACAGGATGCGGTCGGTCCCAGGGGATGCTGGGAGAGAGTCACACAGATGCTAACTCACTGAGACACACACACACACACACACACACACACACACACACATGCCCTCATATAATAACACTCATTTGTATGAACGCAAAGAGTATGTATGCATGCAAAGAACATGTGCAAATGTTGGAAAACGTCACACAGTCATGCACATGACCTTTAACTGAAGGGGAAAAAACTGTATACACGCATACGTTGGAATCCTTTATTTATGTGCACATCCTAACAGGAAGCTGGGGACATAAACATTAAAGATGCAATCATATGATTGTGTGGTTGGACCTGCCAGTATGAGGCACACAAACAAACACCAGGGATGCAGCAGAAATGTTGCTTTCACAGTGTACAGCTGTCAGTTCCAGATGACACTCAACAAAACCTCAACAGCAGGTCTTCTACATGCTGAACAGGAAAGTTTCTTTACTATGTTTTTGTCAATGCAGAAGAAATTTGAAGAGATAAGGTCAAGCTGCAGAAATGTCAAACGTGCTTCCCTTGAGATCAATAAATAGAGAAGAATTTATCAAATGAATTTGCAGTATCCTGTTGAGGCGGCGCTCTAAGATCCACAACATGTAACTAGAATGTCCCTGTATTGTTTCCACCTTTCCTACATTATTTTTTATATGTCCTGCCTGATGTATTAAATGCACTTTACAGTCTGCTGCAGAAGAGCAAAATAAAGGTTCCCTGGGAAGTTTGTGACCTTTAATAGTGCTATGGATCAACTAGAAGTCAATGAACGCACATGTACTTTCAGATGAAGTAATAGACTGTCCTACCAGTAGTTTCTCTTTTATTGATCTACAGGTGGTGATAATAAGCCATGATAAAAAGTAAGGGTCAATACAGGATACAGGAAATAGTTAGTTACAAACTGGGCTGTAGCACTGTGTCAGTGTGATTATTCCTGGGGTGTGTCAAGCACAGTGGACGGACACAGGATTTCAGGAGAATTTGGAATTTCCCCCTGTGTTGGGGCACCGTCAATGAAAGCATGTATATGTCAAAGCACCTCCAAAGTCCGGCAGGGATGACTTACACTTTTTAATGCTGAATTCTATATGTGTGGATGTGGAGAATCTCTTTGCACAGTCTCTTCTCAGTACAAGCATCAATTTTAGGAATACTCTTTTTCCTCAAGCATAAGCGGATGACTATATTAACGTCATGCATTGTGGACTTTGGAAAGCATGAATTGGCACAAACATACCAACACGGGCAGGGGAGGAGAAGACTGCAAGCTAGCAAACATTGATGTAAATATTTCAAATGGTGGTCCATCGATATGGGAATTTCAATGGTCAGTACCGATATGTAATGCTGATATCATGTCTTGTTTATTTGTATCTGACAAATTACTGCAAGTTAATGATGAGATACAAGTTGAATTTAATGCTTACATTGTCTGCGATGTCATTGTCTAAGTTTAACGAAGTGACTTCTATCTCTCACTGTGTTTCTCCTTCTCTCTCCTGCTCAGTGTGATACATTTCTAGTTTTTCCTCTGCCTCCTTTAAGCAACAATGTTTGCTACAAACGTAGTTTATTGTCAGCATTGGATGCGAGGCTTACAGAATCGGAAGCGTGACTCTGCACAATGGGAAACACCTCATTAGCTGAAGAGGCAAGTCGGTCCCCATCCACTGGGGCAGACGACCCAATGTAGCCCCTGTTAGCAGCCACCTGGTAAGCAGCCAATAGCAATTAACTCAAAATGACATTTAATTGGCTAGATTAATTGCCTGACTGATTAATTAGTCTATGAATATGCAAAACGCATTTTTGGGGGGTACCATTAAATGTAAACATTTCGACTTTTGTTTGTTTATAAGAAAAGCCCACAAGATACCTTTACCAGCCTAAGCTAATCAGCATCCTGCTAGATTTTACTGGGTATTGCTGGTTTTGCTGTTAAATGCAGCAAGAGGTGCAAGCACGTTGATTTTTCTCTATGTGCTATTATAAGTATATCTTACACATTAAACACTGAGATGTTTCATGGACTGACATGACTCAGATGATATGAATTTGATAATCTGTTGCACTGTAAAAGCTGAGTTATTTGCCAGAGATGCTGGACTTGTGCAGTAAGGAAGAGCTTTAATATCAACCCACATGGCAAACGATTTGGAATTAATGATTAATTAAAGCATGCTGGCCTTGTATAATGAATATGAAGACAAGTAGCTGATGCATGTAACCTTGTTCAAACAGTAATAAGCCACTTATGGCTACTTGCGTTTCATCAAAAAGAGCTGTTTTTGATCAAAGTGCCAGTTTGACTACTGTCTGTTCATTATTAGCATCATTAGTATAATTTTAAGCACATCATCAGCGCAGAGGTAGAACCTGGCCTGATAGACAGGGTTTATAATGTCATCAAAAAAGTTGGAAAAGCTCACTAACACACAAACAACAGGAAGAATGAACTCCAGAAATATAGAGAGAAAAGAATTGATGAATATTTTACCTTGCAGTAGGCGTTGGCTGGAATTGTTCTTTTAACCTGCAAGTATAAATGCGCAGTGAGGTCAATGACCAACAAGTACACCGTGCAACCCTACCTTTGTGTATAGAGAGTGCGTTTTTTTATTACCTGCACTCACACTGGCTGTGCTCGATGAAGGGCAGCTCGATGAGCTCATGTTTCATGAAGGACGTTCTCATCAGCTACACACAGATCAGAAGAAAATCATTCAACTTTATCATCTGCGAGAGCAGATAGGGATTTTGCATGTGTGCGTGGGAGTGTACCTCCATGGTGAGTGTGTGTGTGAGCGAGGGCACACACTCCAAGGCCTCGTCCGCACAGCAGCCGCCACATCGCCTCAAGGACACGCAGGACGGGACGAAGAGATGGTGGATCTCGCCCGGCAACTCCCGCCAAACCTCCACCAATGTGTCCCGAGGCTCACAACCGCTCCGAGAATAAACCTCCAACCACCGTCGCACTGGTGGAGAGACGCAGACAGATAATGTGTTTCGATTTCACTCTTTCAGCTTCATGATGTGAAAGTGTTCGTAGAAAGATGGAGTGTACCTTCTCTGCCTTCCCTGGATTTGGGGGAGTCTGCTGGCCGCCAGTGAGCGAGCTGGACAGAGAAATACAAGTAATGAAAATTCATGTGAAAAGCCTGTTTCAATAAGTTCAGAGCTCAACTTGACCTGTTAAAGAGGATTTAGCGCTGCATGCTAGAGTGGTTTAATTTCAGATTAGTAAAAACAGAGAAATCAGCAAAAAGGCAGGTAAACTAGGTCATTTGTAGGTTTTCATCAAAGAAAAACAATAAGTTTCTTTAACTAAAATATCCTCATATATGCTCTAGTAATTTCACAGTGAATCTGAGCGATATATAATCATGTCAGTCATGCAGAGACCAAACTAAAAGCCTGGTTTTCTGGATTTATTTAATCCTCTGAACCCCAAAACCTGCTAGTGTCTGAAAAGAATCTGAAATCATGAATGACTCAGCTGAGACCAACAGTCACATGAAGCTCGTACAAGACAAATGTGGAAACAAATTAAAAATGTAAGTCATAAAAATATCAATAGCAAGTAGAGTCACCATTTTTTTTCCATTGGTAATGCATATTGGTAATGCCTGTGGGCACTTGGAGAAATGTTGTACATGTTGATTCCAGGTTGTTGTTTTTTCATTTTTGTAAAATAAATAAAGAACTTTAACTTTAGTTTTTTCTCTTTTTTATGATTTATGGCATTATAAGTACATCAAACTGCCCAAAAGGTATTTTGAGTTACCTATTTCTTCAAGTCATAGTTGTGCTTTTTCCATGCAGGTGCAGGGCTTTATGTAGCAGTGAAAAACGAGGCAAGGGTGAGTAAAAATGTGACTGGAGCAGAAAAACCTCAGCGACTGCTTGAGGTTTAGACAGTTAAATCCCAATGTAACTGTCAAATGAAGCCAAAATATAACAGTGTTTCTCAACAAGAACATGAAAAATACAAAAGAACAAAAAAAAGGAAATAAAAAGTCAAATGTAATACAAAAAAGTATGTAAGGACACGAAGGAAACCCGACAAGATTTGTTCCAGATTGCCTGCATATGCTAAAAGGCTTGAGCTTCAATGTTTACAGTTTGTTATATATCAGTTTTACAAAGGTGTTCAATAAGATAACAGTTCATATTTTGGCTGTTATTGATCAAAACTCCTAAACTCTTTCTTGAGTAAACCATTACAGGGCTGTAATCTGCCTTTTGAGCTATTGTCTGCAGCCTCCTGTTTGAAACTGTTGTAAAAGGCTTCAGGAGCAGATCAAAGTGTTTCCTGTTAATGAACACCACAATATTTCACACCTGGCATCTGAACATGACAAGCTCAATAAAGTGAGGAGGTAAATATCTGGAAGAAAGTGAAACCTCTGAACTTTGATACTCAGATATGCTTGCAAGACTGTAAAAGCAGGCCAGCAGTGACACTGAGAACTCAAACTATTCTCTTTTTAAGGCCTGTTGTAAAGCATTTTCTGCACAGGTGAGGTCTGTCAGTATTTGGAATATATGTATATATGTATATAATATATATATATATAATATAGTATATGTATGTAATATATGAATGTATGTATATGGAACTGAATTCAACCCTTTATAATCATATTTCAACCACAACTTCACCTCCATGAGAGAGGGAGCTGCTGAATTTTTGAACGAGTTGCACCCGTTACCTTTGTCCTGAAGCCTTTCACCTGATTTGAAACACTTTCAGCAGGCACACAGTTGTAGACAGTGAGTGTCTGCCGCTGGATTTCTCAGCAAATATTACTTTTTAGGAAAATGATGGTTTACTTTGACATGAATATTAGTCCAATATTTTGTCTATGATTCTTATCTACTTTTGTTTTTTGTTTTTTTTAATCTCACCTCCTGTTACCCATTTCTTCTAGCTAAAGGAAGGTGGAAGTACATATACTTGAGTATTTCTATTTTCTGCAAATTTACACTTATACTCACCCACATTCCTAGGGTGAATATTGTACTTTTTGCTCCATTACATTTATTTATAGATATAGCTACTTTGCAGATTAACATTTTGCGTTCAAAAACATCAATAACTGTATTAAAAAAAACACCATGTGCTATTAAACATTACATCTGTGCTTTCCAGGCTGTTTGGCTTGTGATAACTTAAAAACATAAAAAATAAAATAAAAAAGGAGTGTCTCTTTGGGGCTCATAAGAAATGTTTCGCTATGACCCCTTGCAGGGACCTAAAACCTAGGTTGGAAACCACTGGACTGAGCAGCTTTAACAATAAAAGCATACACATGTTAATAAGCTAATAATCTGACATTTAACAATGTATCCGTCACAGGGGCAGAACAAGTACTTTTGCTCAAGAGGAATATAGAAAGCGGGACTTTTACTTGTAATGGAGTATTTTCACAATGTCGTAACTGTACTTTTACTTGAGTAAAAGATTTAAATACTTTTTTCACTATTGAAAAACACACAGAAGGATAAACTGAATTTTACAGCACTATGTTTGGGCCTTTGAAGACCAAGGCCATTTGTAAGGGAATGTAGACTTTGTCCAGTTGCCCCCCCGTTAACTGTTCCACCCCCTTCTACACACACACTCACACAAGTCTGGCTCACATTGATTGAACAACACTGAGTTAAGCTGGGACTGAAGCCATTTTGTGACTGGTATGGGCTGAAGTGTGTCGTCTCTGTATCAGTCTTTGAGACAAGTCTAAGATTAACTCTTTTTGGCAGCCATATCTACGCACACACACACACACACACACACACACACACACACGCTCCTGAGTGCCAGCCCAAAGCCATCTGCACTGGCATTGCTATCTGTCTACTGTCTAACCATTCTAACTTCCAGCCACTCCCAGAGCACACAGTACAGATGGGCCATGTGTGTGAAGAAGATACTGGCCTACATCACTACTGGAGGAAAAAGATGACCCCTTTTTCAAAGAAGCTGTCAGTAAACCATACAGCATGAAAGCAGAAATTACTGGGTGTGAGACACAGCCGTGAGCAGGTGAGGAGGCTTTCTGGTGCACGTTGCTGTGAGCCATGTATTGTCTAGGATGATGAATCACTAAAACATACAGTCTACAGCAGCACAGAGTCAGGGCTGGATCCCACATCACTTCAGAGAACTGCCTGTTCCTGATAGAAGTCTCCAGACATAAATAAAAAACCAGCACATGCAGGTCTCTCCATATGTATGTGTGTGTGGAGAGTGGAAAGTCATATTGAGGACTGTCAGTCAGTGCGATCAACATTTCTTATAAATGATAACTCTTGCATTATGCAATACAAAACATTAGTTTGATAAAGACTAATATAGTATTTATTAGTATATAATATCCTTACAGTTGAAATGATTAGTTAATTCATCAATTTATCTCAAATGACAGAGATTAACTGCTAATATTTCAACTGATTGTTCATCAGCGTTTATCAATCAAAAATATAGATCAGTCTCTAATTTCTGCAAATTGAAAGTGGGGTTTTGTTTATTTGCTTTAAGTCACTGAACTGAAGGCCTCTCCATGGGCTCTGAAAAATTGCAAAGGGCTTATTTGTACTATTTTCAGACATTAACATATACATCAACTGAGCTATCAATAAAAATAATACACATATCAACTGATAATTGAAATAATGGTTAGTTGCATTTCAAAATGACATTAATAATATTGAACAAATAGTCTACTCAGACTTTAGACATGAATTGTGAGATACTAATAACTTGTTTGTATTTTTAACTAGCTCTCAGTATGGCAGTTGAAATGCACTGGTGGTGCAATTTAATGACTTGAGGAATACTTTCCCACCATTGTGGGAAATAATTTCATTAGATTTCTTACCCAGACTTAAATGAGAAGCTTGTGACCGTTTAATAAATTTGAAGCTAACTTGTTAGCTTAGCCTAGCACCAGGACTGGAAAACAGTTAGCCAGCTAGGCTCTTCAACAGCTAAAATTCCACCAACCAGTGTCTCTGAAGTTTATTAAATAGTTAACTAATAATGTTGTTATTCATAATTAGTTTATCTAGTGAAAACATTAGTATAACATGATGAAGGGTACTTTTTCCTAGCCGAACCGGTTGCTAGGCAACTAGCGGAGAATCCAGGAAGTTAGCAGACTGAGCCAAAATTGTCATTCTTCTTCTTCGTTTATTCCACAAATTAAAATAAGACTAAATATGTTAGCTCGCTGCTTTTGTGGTGCTATTAGGCATGTTTGTTACCTTTAGCCAGGGCCAAGTTGACTTAGCCGTTCGATTTGTTCTCAGTCTAAACTAACCTAAGCTAACATCAGCGGCATGATCCTATTTAACTCCAAATATGAACGCAAAGAAGCTTACTTCCCAAAATATCAAACTAATTCTTTAATACTGACGTTGTCGATGAATGGACGCCTCTACTACGGATTCTGCAGCCCCTTTCACTAAAAGGTATGGAGTTTAACAGTAAATTTCGTAAATGAAAAGCTAGCTAAAAGAGATCAAGCAAGCGCTATGCTGGAGGGGGATTTTCCACGAACTGGCAACTCAATAATCGTCGTGATGAAGCTGTAACAGGCAAACACTATAACTCATCACACTTTATAATGCTGCCTTTTATAAAACATCACTTAATTATGACAGTAAAAGGAGTCAGGAAAGGATAACGCCACTGTAAAGTAATTACTGAGAAGCACAGATAAACTCCTGCAGGATTATATTGTGTTTTTCTGTGACAGGTGTCATTGACCTCGGGGATAACTTCCACAAAGCTACAACCTCCCACCACACCAAATTCATACAAAAAAAAAAAAAGCCTAGTGTGCAAATAAAGGGAGTAAGCTTGAAATGAATTACAGAGGCTCCATGCTGGTGGCCGGTGGAGCAGCTCACACATGCAGGGTTTGAGGTCAGATGGTCCATACATACATACCTTGGCATGGGACGTCGGTATTCTGGTGAGCAGCAGGAATTGAAACATTCCTAGAATAACTTGAAGCATAATCCCCATTGTGCAGGAGTCCAAGGGGCACGCAAAAAATATTTTTGGACCAATCCAAAAAAGAAAAAAGAAGGTTGCTTGTCCTCCCTCCTTTTGCTTCTGTGTCCGATTAGAGACGCAGAAATCCCGCTTTCATTCTCCAGTCTCCTTTCCCTGCAATGCCTCCCAGGGTGGCATCCTCATTGTAGGAATAAAAACTTTATTTTGTTGCATTTGTGCTTAAATTCTAGTCTAAACTACACCAGGAGTCAGTGCCCAGCCTACACGCTATCTGATAGTTATATTCTTTTAATTAGTGAGACACTGGAGAAAGCCAAAAATAACCCTCCCTAAAGACAAAATGTGCCTTTCTTATATTATTTAATATCTATCCCAAAAAATCGTTGCCTTTTTTCTTGAAACTTGTCTGAACTTTCAAGTGATGTCTCCTTGTATTTATTTTGGGTACCGTCAGTCTGTTGGTTCTGATCCAAAGACACCGGTCTGGGGGGTCCGGGGTGGCGTGATCATTCAGATTCCCGCTGAAACGTGATGCGATCATAAAATCCGCCTGTGTGGCTGGAAGAAATCACACCATCCAGCTATAGGACGTTCATCCAGTAAAAGATCCGACGCTTTGGCCCGACGTGCAGAGGGACAGTGCCGCATATTCCTCTCCCCGGCTCGGTCACAGTCTCTCCACACTGTCGCTCCCTCTGAAAATGTGACGTTTCCCCTCCAGACGCATCTCCGGTTTTTTTTTTCTTTTTTCTCTTTTTTTTTTCTAGCCCCTTATAAATAAACCTAGAATATCGTCCTCCACTGACACGGCAGTGCAGCTACAACAGAGTAGCAGATCAGTCCGCTCACAGACACGGGCACGTCTGGGAAGGTAGCAGTCCTCATTTGTTGTTGTGATCGGTTTCCTCATTTCCTTTGCCCTTGGGACGCACGCAGCGTAACCATTGCGCTGCCAACTTTTTCCAAACGGGACAGACGCACCGCATACAGGTGCAGCGGCTCTGCTGTTGGAGCCACAGCGGGGGTCTGGGGGGCCTCCAAGGGCCGCCTTGCAAGTGGGGAGCCTGGTTGTAGCTTCCACTGAGGACACCGAGGTCATGTCACTGGTGTATTTATTTATCCACCTTTTCATTTGGCAGGTTGTTGTTACCCAAATAATCAATCCATGTTGGGTATTTAAATATGAATAAAGAGCTGTAACATGAGGTGGGTGCTGAATAATGACTAAGTCGTTTCATAAAGAGAAGTGTAAGTGGTTTTCTTACTTCTTGTTGATAGAAAACTTGGGTTTGGCTGTCCACTTATCAGTTAGACAAAACAAGCAAGTTAAGATGTCACCTTGAAGATTGTGATGGGGATTTCTTCCTATTTTCTGACAACAATGAGCAGATTCATCAACAAAGCAAAAGCTGATGTTTGCAGCCATATGAACATATTTACTTTTTTTTATTTTTTTTGCTGAACAAAAAGTTTTCACCTACCCAGATTTGATTTGTATTCTTAGTACTTTAAACACTCGTTGGATAACACCATATTTTGGGGGCTTCATAATTTTCCAATAATTTTCCTATTTAATGAATAGCTTCCTACAAATGTTTCCTGGAATAAATAGTTTTCAACTAATTATTGGAAAAATAAAAAGCTGAATTGGTAGACTTTGAAACACTAAATGCCAATGAATGGTAGAAAGTCTTGAGAGAAAAAAAAGACACATTTCTCTGCAGTAAAGCAAACAATTCAACATATGTAGAGAATAAAGGTTGAGAAGATTCATAAACATTTACTTTAGTTTAAACTGAGCAGTATTTTTAAAAGCAACTCCTCTGGAAATCAGCCAGTCAACACAACAAACAAAAGTTTGTCCAAGTGGGTCACACTGTTTAGAAGGATACTTTTACCTTTCATAGGGGGAAAAACACAGGTGTTACTGGTAACATTAAAAATGGCTCTGTTCTGTTTAAATGTCACAGTAAGGCTGTGTCCCATTTATCTCTCTGAGTCAAAGCTGGAAATGACCTCACACCAGAGACGTGACCATACATTATGTGGTAATTTGTGCATGCAAACACCGTAGGAACATCCACAGATAGAGGCTGGACAGTACTGAGTATACGACTGCTTTCACTATTTTTCATGCACTTAGCAGCCATCTTGGTTTTTGAGACCTAGGTTAGTGATGTTCTCCTGACTTTCAAAGTGAGAAATCCTGAATAAGTCTGTAACTGGACTTTCATCTAGAAGACTGGGGCTCACGTTCATGGGGGATCAATATTCCTAAAATTAGCGTATTCATTTGTCGTTTAGTCTCACTTTAGGAAAATACTACGACCTATTTGCCACATGTCTGAAGATTCTCCTCCATATTCTGGGTTATCAGGGTGACAAGTCCCGCCCCACCTAATATATGATTGGTTGACTGAAAATGAGTGACAGTAAAGTCATAACATAAATTACAGAGACAATTTGGTTGGAAATTTATCTGTGATGCATCACAAAATAACATAATCAAGCAGAAAATATGTGTCTCTCAAACTATAACTGAGAATGCAGTTGAGCTGTAGGGGGCACTTCAGCTGAAGTTTCTAACTGGGAGCTCCGATTTCCCAGTGCAACTGGAACACATGATTGATGAAAGTTAGAATTTGGACCTCAAAATAACATAATTTTGAACATCTGCATGTTCAGTGTACAAAGTGTGGGGGACAAAAAAACATATCTGCCTCCAGGTTTGTTTTGTTGCTTTTCTCCAAACAACAGACGCTCATCCACAAATATGTAGTTCATTGAACTAAAGAAACTGAAGAGCAAAATAAGTCCAAAAGGTACATTGTCTGATGTTTTAGACATTAAAGCCATTAAAAGTAGAGAAGCTATATTTACGTACCCTTTACTGTGTTGGCTGCCGTTCTGGTTTGGGGTTGAGAAACATTGTCTGAGTTACCAGAAAGGAAATACAACTTCTGAGGGTGTTTTCTCAGATTTTTCTTCATTAGAAACTCTTAGTTCTGAGTTGCCACTGAAAGCAGCATTACTCATGAACAGTGACGCTGAAACTGAAACAGCTAAATGGAATTCAACCATTGTTACATTTGGTATTTACACCTTTTCTGTCCAAATAATTGCTTAAAAAAAAAAAAGACAGAAATGAAATGAACCTTCTGATGTGAGGCGGTGGGTGGTCAATTAGGTGCTGGAGAGACTTTCTTGCGTCCTACCTACGGCCCTGGTGGAAAAAATATTGTGTTTGTATTCTTTTAAACAATCCAATGGTGAACACAGAGCCAAACGGTGCAGTCTGGACTGTTTCATCTCCTCCTGTCAACTTACTCAGTAAAAAAATAAAAAATCCTCTCAGACGTTTTTTTGGGACTGAATCAAGTCAGATAAGGCTGTGCAAGTCTGAGGGTCAGTTTGTTACTGAACAAGTCAATGATTTATGTATTATACAACCTTCTATTGTTTTCCAAAGAATTAATCAGAGGACAGGCATGCCAAGAGTATCATTTCAGTGCATGATTTGACACAGTTTTTCTCAGCAGTGCATTAAGCTGAAGATAAAAGTCAATTAAAACAGTATTTATAGCCGGCTTTCCTGTTTGGCAGCAAACTCTCCAACAAGCCTCGTCTTACATCAGTATGTGTGTGTGTGTGGAGGCACGCCGACACCAGAATCTCAGTCATTATGGTGTGTTTGGGTTATGACAGGGCACTCACACGCCACATGAGGGTGAGGGTGTCTGTAAGCTATGCGGGGACATAGTATGTTATCTCCTGCTGACGTCTCAGGGCAGGGGCCGCTGGTGACAAGAAGACAGAGAGGGGAAAAGGGTAATATCTTTTCTTACAACACAGTAGTTGTGGGATTTCACAAGTTCAGCTTATACTTGTGCATTATTCTTTCAATTATTTTTAAAACCAGACCTCAGATTTATGAGGTCAAAAGTAAACAGATGTTGTGTATCCTGGATGATCTTAAGAAAAGTTTCATAACCAAATAACTGAGCTTTCCTGTGAATATAAAGATAAAAACATGACTGAATGTGCTTAATACATTACAAATACACAATTAGAGGTTTCAAGAAGTTCAAACTCATGTTCATGTTCATGTTTATTCTAACCACTCACATAATGGAAAATGGAAAAAAGTTCTGAATTCTGACACCAGGTAGATCAATAATTAGCTAATTATGGTGCTGGCTCTTCTGTGAAGTTGCTCATTAAAATGTAACAGTACAGCTGGATGTCTAAGCTTCTTTTTAACCACTGACACCGCTTTACTATGGAAAGAGATCAGTAAAATGGTATGAAACAAGGAATGTGCAATTTTTCAACTGCAGTGTCTTAAAAACAGAAATAAAACATGTGTGAATGAGAGACAAAGCAAACAGGGAGTAAAGACCGATGAGTAAAAGTTGACCCTTTAATCGTTTCTCTCTCTCTGACGCTCCTCCAGGGAATAGATAAGGCAGTCAAAAACTGATAAACAATAACAAACTCTAAGATCTAAAAACTGTGAGGCAAAATGGTGAATGTTGGCTCTGGAGGTTGAAATGACCATCAGTTAAATACTTTTCTGTTTTGGGTCTTTCCATTAAATTTATACATCTTTACAGTCTCAATAGTATTACAATAGTTTGACTATAAATAAAAGGAGTCAGTGGCTTGTCTTCTCTACTCATAACACTGATCATTCATAGTTTCTGTTTCAAACTAATGGATAATTGTGTTATGAGCTGGCAGGAAATGCAGAGCATTTCCACTGAGAGTCCAAATGTGGACAGATCAGGTCTGGTAGCATGTATCAACCACATTACCTGGAACATGTTATACTGAAGCCTCTTAAATCTCCCTTCAAACAATCTGAGGCTCATCAAACCTTAGAGGACTTGATGGAGCGACAAGATTAACCAATCGGTTTCTTTTACAAGCAGGCTAACATTCTGATGGTAACAAGGATCTGTCTCGTCATAACTTGATCAGCTGTCATCCAGCATTAACTCATGGTTATCTGTGAGCCGCGCATGCTGAACAACATTAACACAGACATGAGGCAGCGGACATTAAACATGTTCCTGTGAGTTCATTAGAGGCAGTTTGATAGTGTTCATTATGGCTCCTGTGGACAAACTGCAGCTGGATCCTTCTGACATCATTTCAACACTGCACCAACTATAAATCGTTCAGACCAGTCCAGTGATATATATATCTCAGTGTGGTCATGCACAAACACCTATATGACCAGATGAAACCCTCCTGCATTACACCCGTCTTCTGCAGATATGAAGATCACATCTGAAGACAAACATGGGTGCAGAAACATCTTTTAAAATGTCAGAAAAACTTTAAAATCCTAAAACTAATACCACATCCAGTCCTCTGCCTGCTGGCAGTTCAGATTCCATCATCACAGAGTACAGCTGGACACTCTTCTATTTGTCCTCTCCATCGTTGCGGAGTTTGTATTTCTCCAGAAACTCAGCATGTTTCTGCCGCAGGATTTCTGTCTGTTTCTTAAAACCATTGACCCTGGAAAAACACACGTAAGACGCCGTCAGACTCAATTCCATATTCCATATTAACAAAACTCAAAATTACTGACCACATAATGTACCATTACAGAAAAGAAAGACGCATGTGAAGGAGTTCTTGCGCTCACCTGGCTCTCTCTTTGGCTTCATTGTAAATTCCCGTAATGACTCTGTCTTTCTCATCCATGAAGTTAGTGTGAACTTCTTCCAGTTTCCTGCAAGATTTGGAGAAACACTTGAGTTAAGACACCGTTCAGAGAATAACTTTGCTTAACCTAAACACTCTGTGGTCAGCGGGCGCTCTGTATGCTCTGCTGTATTTATGAGTTTGTACAGCTGTTATAACAGCTCCTCAGATCACAAAGATGTGAATCTCAACAAACAGAAGTGGCACCGAGTCAGTGTGTGAAAACAAATACAAGGCCATAAGGTGTGAGGTTGTGCCAAAACACATGGCACTGAGACACGTCCATGAAATACCTCATACATCTAGATGTAAATGAGCCGCAAAGAAAACTCACAAATGCAATGAGGGGAGTCAGGAAACAATATGGATGGACTGAAGGACAGGATGTTAGCAGAGTATAAAATAATCCAACTCAGGAAAAAATTGAGCAAATATATACTTTTTGTGAAGTGATCAGTTAATAATTTAGTGTTTAAAAGTATATTGTCCGACATTACTCAGCAAGTATAATATGTAGGGTTTTTTACTTGAAGAAGACTGCGTGGGCTCCGATGCTCAGCATCATAGTGATGATGCAGTAGGCCACCAGGCGGAAGTTCCTTGCTTTCCTCTTCTGCTGCTCCTCTGCTGTCATTCCCGGAGTCTGAGACTGACGAAACTGCTCCCAGTAATGAGCGTTGTCCTGAGTGTACGTACTGACGAGAAGAGAAGACAAAAACTGATCAAGACTGGTGACTTCAAAAACAACAGTGGGTCACGTGATAATACCAAACTGAACTGAACTGGGAAAGATGCCTGAGGGAATGAGAGCTGTTCAGTAGTAAGTTTTCATCAAACTGTGAAAATTGTAATTCTGAGTCACATGGATTTTCATTTTTTTCTCAACAATAAGGATAGTATTTTGTGTACTGAAGCAACCAACTCTTTGCGTCATGTTTACACCAACACCTCAGTGTAGATGAATGGTCATGTGATGTGTGTTATTATGTACACAGATTACTTTGGAAACAGAGATTGTTTTTAAAATGCTGTTTTAAAATGAAGACGTATTAGTGTGGATTTAGCCTTAGGGACGGTCCTGTGTTTGTGTATACTTGTTCATTATTATGGCTTACTGGGACACTTAATGGAAATGAGGCATGCAGAAACAACCTCACATGCACAGTTGCTAGATTTGTGTGCAAAACTGAATGAAGCCAGAAACATCAAGCTATGCAGCACCTTCATTATATAAAGATAGAATTAAAGCTGCTGATTAATAAATTGCAAGGACACTTTTTCTTCTTTGGGAAAGAAAACAGATTCATTTTTCATCTTTACGGCAGCCCTTTAGCTTTTGTTAAGTCTTCACAAGAATGTTATGTCCAGTAAGACTTACAGCAGAGAAACCTGTACCCCAAGGCCACAGATATTTCATTATATTGTTTCATTGTTGTACAGTAGAAGGTCAGGTTACAAGCTATCAGATTGTGTGAATCCTCACCTGGCTCTGTAGCTGGTGTGACTGGAGGCAGAGCTGAAGGCCTGGCTTCCACTGTACGGTGGTTGGATTTTGATGTCGTACTCCTTCCTGCTCAGATCTTTGCTCAGCACTCGATAGGCCTCATTCAGCTCCACAAACTGGCTGTGCAGCGCCGGGTTGGAAGGGTCGCTGTCTGGATGCAGCTGCATGATGAATAGAACAGAGTCAGTAATGTGTTTGCTAATCCAACAGCAAATGAAGCAGTTGTGTGATTATCTGGACATGTATACTTCTATTAACACAAAAATGTCCTTATTTTCTATGGTAAACAAATCCATGCATGTGAATGGTTTGCACTTACAACCAGACTTCTTTCTCTAAAGTCTGAGTTATCTCAGCCCTCAATTAATTCAGAACCACAAGTTAAATACACACATCCATCCTTATTTACACTGAGAGCCAACACATGAAAACAAACAGTCAGGAAGTCCACTGTGGGAACAGTTAGCAAGTAAAAACTAGTTAATGAAAGGCTGCCCTCATGTGGCCAGACATTTTCTATAAAAGCAGAGCTTGTTAACAAAATAGGGATGATACCTTCTTAGATTTATCAAAAAATGCATTTTTTATTTCCTCCAAGGTGGCATCAGATTTGACTCCCAGGAGCTCGTAGTAATTCACAGCTTTTCTGTGGTGAGAAAGCAAAGAACTCAAAACCAAGCAGGCATTCAGACCTGTGCAAATACAGAATATATAAAAACAGTTACTGAGGTGTTTCCAGTAATTCTGCTTTGGTTCAACACACACATATACATATATACAGCATCTACCTGTGAGCAGAACTCTGGGAGAGCAGCCTCAGTCCACTCTTGCAGCACCAAATACAACTTTGACAAAGACGCAGTTGAGCCTCCAACTGCATGATGGAAAATATCCGAGGTTCTACAGAGACGACCTGCACAGAGGACAAATGTTAACATCAGCAATGATACAAAGACAGGTCATTACAGGACAGAAGAGACAATTAAAACCAAAATCTTAACTACAAAGTGACAGAGCTTCATCCATAAATCAGTCAGTAGTCAATGATTAAATTACTCTACAACTATTTTGATTATTGATTCATCAGTTTGAGCCCTTTCATTAAAAAAAAAATCTCTAATTTTTAGCTTCTCTAATTTGTATATTTTCTGGGATCTTTATTCATCTACTACAGTAAAGTGAATATATTTGAGTCCATAAAACAACACATCTGAGGACATCATCTTCGGTTCTGGAAAAAACTAACATTTTCAATAATTTCTGACATTTTATAGAAAACTGACTACGGTAATCAATTATTTGAAAAACAATAAACTCAATAGATGACAATGAAAATAAGCATTGGTTGCAGCGGCACTAAGTGATACTCCAGACCCAACGCTCTCTTATTGTACACTGAAGGTATAAACACTACGAATCTACTTCTGGTGGAAAAACACAATCTAGTGTTTTTTTCTGAAAGTCAAAATGTATTCAGAGGAGCTCTTAGGGACAAAACCAACACTGCAGGCAACATGCTAACAATGTGGCTAGTTATTTTCATATTCATTTTCTAAACTTGTCAGTCAACGTCCCCATAAGGGTCAGAGATCACCAAAGAGGTATTTACTTGGTAGAGAAGTCGATTGTCCCTTTTGTCATATTATGGTTGGATTATGTCACAGTAAAATAATTCTAGAGTTCAGAAACAAATCCAGAGCATTGAAATAGCTACAGGAAGCTCTCCAACCACAGATAATTAGATTGTGGTTGTCCATAAAATAAATTGTATAGACAAAATGATCTAAAAGTACATATGAAAAATATCTAAAATACTTACCAAGATAAGAATTGCACAGCTTTTGGGACACACTACAACCAGTTTTACATGTCACTGAAAGTTCCTGACCCTGTATAACTGGCATACATGTTGCCCATACTATATCAACCATTTAACCTGAAAAAGAAACAAAAAACGACCAATTTATAGTTTTAAATAAAGAGAAACACCACAAACATGTTGGCAGACAGACCGTTTTCTGTGTCTTTACCTTTCAGTGTGTTTCCAATGAAACTGTTGGTGTCAGCAACTGACCCCTCATCTGTCCACATGTGACTGAGGTCCACAACAAAGGACGAATGAGAGAAATATCTGTGAGGGACAAACCAACCAAAAACTTCCAGCTGAACCGAGGAGATTTCACATAATCTGCTGAAACATAAAACACAACGTGCTTCACTTTGACAGCATGCAGCTTTGTTATTAGGGGGCGGGTCGATCCATTGTAATCTAAATTAGTTTTATATTCACTAAATTGACACGTGTAGCTCATGCAAACACGGCAGCTACTACAGCTGCCGGTTTTGCACACCAGTTATACCATAAAACAATCACACGTGTTCAGTAAAAAGCGGACAGAGCTCATGAGATACCAGCAGCAGGAACACTTTGTTCTGCTGCCTGAGCAGTAAAGCTAATGCTAGCCCGGGTTAGCTTTAAGTGTTTAACAGCATTAACAGCTAATGTTAGCTTGTCAAAACCGGTGTTATTTAGCTAGTGGTGTTCTTTTACAGACTAAAATTAAACATGAGACAATACTTAACAATGGGAACAAGTGTAAAACCAGTGCTAATTGTACGAAAGGTGACATACCAGAGGAACCCAGTGTCGTAACACAGTAGCAGCACAGGCTAAGCTAACAGGAGTTACGCCGGAACAAAACAGAGTGCGCCTTCAAAATAAAGCAGCTATTGTTTCACCACTTCAGGATCACATCTCAATCAGCTGAATGCAATGAAACAAGAGGCGCTGTTAAAGTCTTCACATGTTAGTGTCCTTCAACCCAGTCCACCAGTTTTTAGATTTCAACCTCATAACTGCACAATTGTCAAGTTATTTCACAGTAAAATGTAAAATGTACGACACTGTCAAAGTAAGGTCATCCCACCTTTTTTTTCCCCGTCTTTTTAGTGCTCAGCCCATGTTCAACATTATTATCACAGTGAGAGCAGGCCAGTCACACCAGTGGTTCTCAAACAGTGTGCCTGGGAATTACTTTATTTCTGATGATTTAAAGCTATAATCATATGCAAAAATGCACACAGATTCTCGTAAGCAATATTTAATAGTAATTTGGGTGGCCGACTCTTTAAATAGTCCTGGCGAGGGAGAAAAAAGTTCAACCATAAAGCTTTATAACAAAATGATCTGGACAAAAAAAAATTTGTCCATAGACCCATCATAATTTATTTAACAACAAGAAAAATTCAGCTACCTGTTGTCACATTTTGTTCGTTGCTTCGCTATGAGAGATCATCTTCCACATGTAGTTATGCTAAACATACACAAAAAGATGTCACTGCTTGACAGAAAAATCATTTACTTTAGCAAACAGATCAAACATATACTGAAAGTATACAGTGTTTTTGATTACCTGCATCAAATTACTTTTTAAGGCTTTAATGCATAATGCATGACGGATGATAGATCCAAGTCACTTTTTATGAAATCATAATTCATATTTTTAAAATAGACAAATTTAATGTGGAACAATTAATGAAACATGTGGGGCTATAACCTTGGATGCCCAGGCCTAACAAAGCTTCTGGTTAAAAGACAAAAAGCTTTACATAGATAACCACTGTGTATAACAGAGCAGGCATAACAATAAATAAGTACAATTATGTCTTCAAACCTAGAAAAATAATAATAAACAAAAACATACATTTCTGCAGTTTAATTTATACAATAGAATAGAATTATGTAGATTAACATTTACTGCACTGTATTTGACAAAATAGTACTTCTTAGAACTCGCATTTATTCAACTTCTTTATACTACAGCACCATTCAGCCACACTTTGCCCACTGAGGATTTTTATTTTGGTTATAACCGAAAGTTGTGATTAATTCAGGCAGCTTGACTCAAAAACAAACCGCCCCTCCAAGTGTCTGTTTACAGGATATTAACCCTGCGTTCAGCTGCAGAGACGAGCAGTACAGGAGTTTATTAAGAAAAACGTCTAAGAAAGATGGACCGAGCTACCGGGACATCACCCGTTGGTTTGTGCAGTGAGATATTTTGATTTTACTACTTCCTGGTTGACATCTTGGATTTTTGGAGCCAGAGTAAGATGTGACAAGGAGAGCAGTGATTGGTCAGACTGACTGAGCGCAGAGGACTCGCTGTCTGGTGTGTTTACTGATGCTGATGGTAAAACATGTTCTAATGTCATGTTGAGAAGTTGTTGTCTAAATCCCAGGTTAGGTTTCTTGACTTAGTGTTAACACTGGTGCTAAATCAGGTCATATAGATGGTAAAGATCAGCAAATAGAAACTAAACTAAACTAAAGTTAACATTCCTCCACAGAACACTGTTCATGATTATATTTGCCCATCGATAGCAACTATAGAGTAATGGTGTCCGTGTGTTTGCTTGTGTGTATGTGTGTGCATATTTTAATTTTATTTTTTTGTCTGGTAACAGTGTAGCGCTTTACAGGAGAGGACTTTAAACCGGAACCTTCATATATGACCTCAGTATGGTCCCTTCTCACAGTGATTAGATTTTGGGGTCAATACATGAATTGGTGACCGCTTCAGAGGTCAAAGGTCGTCCATCTCTCTCATACAGTCCGTGAATGCTGTGTGTTCAGGTACTGTGTGTTCAGGTAGTGGTGGACCCTCAGCAGATGCTTTGCAACATTTCAACTAGTCACAGCAGAGCGTCCGTTCCCCTGATCCAACTACAGACCGTGTTAAAGTTAACGGAGTGTCCACACCTCCAATGACACAAGATGAGCTGCAGTTTCTCCTCTCAGCCGCTGGGAGGGGGAGAACCTGAGCACACTTCTACCATCTGTCAGAAAAGAAGAAGAGACCATCCTGAGCTATGTTCATTGCTGCTTCCACCCATTGACTGTATAAGAAAGATACAGTCTATGCTTTCAATCCACCTGATCCACCAGTGAGGAGAGAGTGATGGAGTTTCATTCCATATGCCTTATTGGCAAGGATGGTATTATTAAAAAGCCAAAATGATGTAAATGTTTGCAAATCTATGTGTGTGGCCTGGTCATAAAGGATGGGACCAGACACCAAAAAAATGATTTTATGTGGGTTTTTATTCTCCGACTGAACGTTATACATAAATCAACAGTATTGACTTAATCATTCTGAGGATAGATGAGCTCAGGACAAAACAGAAAACTTCCCTAAACTTGTCCACATAAGGTCTTGGTTCTTAGCTGCTGGACAACTGAAAGTAAAGCTTTACAAGACAGCTTCCAGAATACTACATGCTTAAAAAGCACAATATAAAAGGTATTCTACTTCTTCATCTTCTTCTTCTTCTTATTATTATTATTATTATTATTATTATCATTAGACAACTAAGAGTGGTCTTGTAGACAACAGTAGTGCTTCTATTTCTAGATAAAGAAAATAAAATACAATTCAAGTACTGAAGTGTTTAAACTTAAAGTAAACTTAAAATATTTTTTACTCACATGGCCCTCACATGCATGGAAGCAAATCATTTACAACCATAATCACCCACTAGCTTCCATGCACATAAAACCCACTTTTTAACATTTTCACATTGTGCACATAATCTTTCATGTAGTCTTTATCTTGTCAACACCTGTGCAGGCAGGCAGGCATGTGTCAAAATCATTCAACCTCTAAACAGTCTTGCTCCATTTTCTTCAATAATTACTTCAAATCAGTTCAATGTATGCTTCAAAACATCAGTCCGTTAAACCCCGCAGGAGTGATCAAACCAGAGACTCTACCTCTAACAGAGGGTGCAGCTGCACAGCACATACCAATACGTTTGATGTGGTTAAGAAGAATCTCTCACAGTTTCTGCAATTACTGGCCATGGGAAAACAACTCTGTTTGAAAGGTAATAATGATAGCACTGCTTTACTTCGACAAATAATCATCATCATCATCATCATTGTCATCATGGTAAAAATATTAAAAATAATATTTATAATAATTGCATTTCTGTTTCAAATTTGGTACATGTTCTCAAGGAAGGCGGCAGCAGGAGTGATCAAACCAGAGACTCTACCTCTAACAGAGGGTGCAGCTGCACAGCACTCTGAGCCGACCTGCAGACCCGGGACTAGATCCTTCTACAGAGCATGTCTCTGAACCCCAATGACTATGGTTGGACATTAGGTGTGCTTGGGTATGAGCCAGTTCCAACACTAGACCCCATGGCTCCTGAGGAGCTACTGAAGTTCACGAGCTGTAATTGTCATGGAGATTGCAACAACCAGCGGTGCAGCTGCAAGAAGAACGGGCTCACGAGCATCTGGGCCTGTGGAATCTGTAAAGGCATTACATGCAGAAACTGCAGTCATTATGTTGTTGAGTCTGAAGAAGATATTGTGAATGGGAAATAACTGAGTAATATATAAGTATGTGAAAGTAAAGCTACTGTGAATGTAAATGTAAAAGTGAGTGTGGCCTTTTTCAACAATGGAGTGTTTGTGGTGAAATATAAATGCTAGCAATCAACTCAGAATCATGAAAAAACCCTGATTTGGCCCCTCATAAGTTACTTAAAGCCAATTAAAAATATATATATGAAATATATAAATTTTTTGACAATCATTTATCAGTACCCTAACTTAAGCAGGCTTTTTCAGGATTTCCCATGGGAGCTGAACTTCAACATTTTAAAGCATGTTATTACACACCTTTACAAAATATTGGTGAAGAAATTGTTTGGTAACAATTTAGTTGGCAGATTTATGAAATATCTCACAATATCGCACTTACAGGAGGCTGGCCGCAGATTCGAAGAGAAGGGTGTGTCTGCAGACCCGGAGGCTGCACTCTCAGGGCTGCACTCTCAGGGCTGCACTCTCAGGGCTGCACTCCCAGGGCCCTGCGTCACTTCCCACAATGAATGATCGCAAAAAATTTGATTTAGCTGTAACCCAGATGCAGTAGTATGAGTGTGTTCAGAGCTCTCAGGACCCACCGACAGGTTGGTGGTGTTTGTGTCACATGCTGATTTGGATGCTAAAGACAGCAGCAGCATTTTTCGCCATGATGGAGGACGGTCACAATGTGAGTACTGATTGTGAATTGTTGTATTAGTTTAACGTCGTAAAACAAATGAACGTTTGTTTATATCGTTTTGTTGTTTAACATTATGAACATTTCTGCTGTCTTCATCTGCACAGCACAGCTGCTGGTAGCTCACTGAACTGTGAGAAAAACTTTGTTTTAAGTCCTCATTAAACTGCAAACGGTCACGTTTTAACTGATGAAAGCTGCACTAAAACCAACATTTAGCTTGTTTATGTTAAACTGAGTCATAGTTAGATTTGGGCAGCAGAGCTCAGAGATGATGATAATAAACTACAGATGACGTTAATGAACCTTGATCAGATGATAGAAGCCTGTTGAAGTGATGACTGTCAGCTCCATGAAGCAGTGATAACCTTCAGTGTTGATGCCTGTTCATATACTCATTGTTTTACATTCTAATCATACTAATAACTGTCATGTTGTTCACTGCAGGCATCTGAACTTGTCCCAGTAGAGAAAACAGAGGTGTTGTAACTCTGGCTTCATTCCTCTGAGCAGAGATCCTGCTGTGATGCTGCTGCTTCTGTCAGAGTTACCTTTTAAATTAGAAATATTTTTTGAGAGAAATCATCCTTCAGAACTCAATCACGCATTTTGGCAATCATTCATTGTGGTAGGTGACGCAGGGCCCTGATGGCACAGCCCTGAGAGCGCAGCCTCCGGGTCTGCAGACACATACTATTGGATTCGAATCGTACCAGCGGCAACAGTGCACACACGCTGTTTTGCTGTTTAATGCGCTTTTATCTAACGAGACAAATTCTAGTCACGTTCAATTCATACTTGGAAAAACACTGATTATTAACCATGGATGGTTACATTGCTTCAGTATTAACAACTGTACAGCAGTTATATTGACTTGTGTGATTCGGCGATGCTGGAATGTGATTGGAGGAAAAGGTCATGTGACTTGTGCATGGGGCGGAAATCAATTGGGGAGTGTGTCGGAAGAAGGAGAAGTGAACGGGTGCCGCTCCACCTCGGAAAAGGTGAGATTAACTGTGTTTCTACAAGTTTGAGGACTTTAACGTTAACGTATTATCGTCCAGGATACATGAACACGATAGAGAATACAGCGAAGGAGACATCTTGTTGTTTTATCGGAGCTGTTTGTCCTGAACGTGTCTGTCAGTGCTCAGCTCAGGCTCACGGGAAGTTGTTTGACTCTTTCTACGGTGAGTGCAGAATAACTTTGTCAGCACTAACAAACCACCATCAGATTCTGGGACTCCGGCAGGGTGACAGATGTCACTCATTTGATTTTTGTTAGGTTTTAGCTCAGGTTAACTCGCTCTAGGCTCAGCTTTAATGCTTGACTTTATCAACGTTTGTAAGCTTCCTCTAAGGTAAATCAACATTAGAGCTGCAATGATTAATCAGTTGGTTGACAAATATTGATATATATAGCCTAATCTTACAAATCACACATTCATATACAGAAATGTTGTGCAACCTGTACAGACAACAGCCCTTCTAGAATAAAGAACACCAGTATATAACCAATTTAACAGGGAATCAAAGCTGGAAGATGGATGTTGGTGTTGTCTGTACAGAATGGACAAATATAGTAAACAACACGTACAATCAGGATAACAACATTATAGCTATAAATGGTAAAAAAATAAAAAATAAAAATAAATAAATAAATATCAGCCTGGTGGAACCAAACAGACTCTACATGACCCACATAAACCTCCACCATGAGGGCTAAGTTTAAACAGTTAAAATACTATTGTAATGGCAATATGACCAAATGCAATGTCCACATTTAAAAGCGCTGCAGTTTTTTAAAATAAAAGTAAAATGTGTCACAAAGTCTGATCTTTGACAGACATTGTGGTGCTGCAGAGACGCCCCGGGGCCTACAAATGATTTTCTCCAGATGTGATTTAACACGCTTGTGGAAAAGAAATGGGAAAAGAAATTCCATTAAAAACATGACTAACTCAAATTGCAATATTTGTCAGAATAATCACAATATTATTTTTTTCTTTCTTTTTTGCAGGTCATTTAACCTTAAGAAGGACCAAATTTAATCACATAAATTTTGACACAAACATTAATGATTGTTTTACTCATTGGAAGCCAACATTAACTTGTGGCAAGTGTCTTGATACCAACACAAATGTATTCATTTGCCTATATAAAGCTGGGACATTGTGTTTGCAGTAACACTTGCAAAGACCAGATGTTTGTTTGATCAACCGGTGTACTATTTGCCACCTGTGTGCTCTTAGTGTGTCTGTTTGCCTATGAGGAGTGGAGGGAGAGGTCAGGAGAGAAGTTCTTACCACACTTGATTTTTTTTTTTACCTTCTGCAGCATTTTTACAGCTTCAGACGTGCTGTAGCTTCAGTTTTTCTTATTGTTTTGTATTAATATTTCCACAGTTGATCTTTTAAAAGGACAGTTTGCAATCAGCTAACTGAGATAAGTGAAGACTCCAACAGTAATTCACTGTGAGAAGTTATGGACCCAGAGGTGTCTGTGCTGCTGCACTGTGAACGCTGGCAGGGGCTGCTGCAGTCTCAAGTACAAGTGGAGCTTTCTGAAAGGTAATTAAGAATCCTGAGACGTGTTCAGACGGTACATGCTTTAGTGTAGAACAGTGCACAGAGCATTTTATAAATACTATCTGACTGCAGTGGCCTCAGAAGTGTTTGTTTTACTTCTTCATCCTCCAGGTTTAACAGGCAGATAGATCCAGCTGTAGAGCTTCACATCGACGAGCTGTGGACGGGGCGGGTGTCCAAAGAGCCGTGGCTTTTCAACGGGGCCAAATTCAGGCTTCATTCTTTCTGCTTTGCTACTCAAAAACAGCCTCCATCCACTCATTCCTCCAACATCCCCTTTTTGAACTGTGCAGAGGACCAGAACAGACAAACTAACAGCTGTATAAACCAAACAGAACCCGTAGCGGACGTCATTCAACAGACTGACACTAAATTGCTACAAGATTTCTCCACATGTGGCTGCACAGAACAGAAAGACGCTACACCTGAACTTCCATCACGATGCGGGCCATTCCTCACTCTGAGACTCGGCCTCACTTGCTACAAGGACTATCTAGGAACTAACTGGTCGAGTCAAGTCGCGGAGCTTCGTCGGCGAGGAGAAGTGGAGTTCGGGGATCCTCTGGCGCTGCTGGCTCAGCCTCTGGGTGTCGGCGCCGTGCTGCGAACAGCTGACAGTCAAGTGGTGCTGATCAGAAGGAGTCAGAGGGTGGCAGAGGCCGGAGGGTTCCTCGACCTTCCCGGAGGACACCCAGAGCCCAAGGTGACGTAACCAGAGTGGCACTGAAAAGGCTCAATGTGTTGTTCTCATCATCGCTGCTCTCCTCAGGTGGTGTGTGAGCGTCTGGGCCAGGCGGTGTGTGAGGAGGACATCAGTGTGGTGATGATGCAGCCGGAGGTCGTCGTCTCAGAGCTGTTCTCCTCTGTGTGCGCAGAGATCAGAGACGAGGTGGGTTCTCTGAGAACGCCTTAATAGACACTTCAGGCTTGTTACTTCACTATTAACCCTTGGACAAGAAGAAAATGTTTCAACGATTAGGAAAATAAATTTATTAAGTCACTGAAGTAAGCTGCATGAGGCTGGAGTGTGTGCATCAGCGTCAGTGGTATCTGTAATGTGTGATGGGGTGTGAGTGCTGTGAGGCGCAGAATATAAAGACTAATATCACATGTAAACCAAATGTGCCACAAAAGCGAGACTCAGGCAATCAGTACCAGCAGTGGTTATCACATTCACACATCTTTCTTATAACACCTTCATTTCCATGTGAGGCGCTGCTGAAAGCAGAGTCACAAAATGTCCTGATAGAATAAAAAAAAAGCTGCATTTGCAGATTTTTATGTAGTAAGTGTACAGCTTTCTGTGGTCACATTAATGATTTATCAGCTTCTAAATGTGCCCAAGAAAATAGTTGGGAGACAAAGTCAGAACTTTCCAGATCCTGCACATACTGGTTTGATTGTTCATTTACGGGTACATGTTCACACTTTAATGATTTTTGAACAGCACACCTAAATATGGTCAAAAACCAACCTTGTAAGAAAAATGAGAAACCATGAAAACAATATTCACACCCATTTTTTCTGCATCTGCCATCAAAATCTGACTCTGGATTAGAGGAAAACAAATGGATGGAGGGATCTTTTTGCACGTAGCCAAATGATTATCAAAGATATTGAAGAAAAAGCGACTAAAATGTCTTTTACTTCAGATATTCTTTGCAATCTTAAGCTGTTCTGTCCTCAGGTCAACGTTCCTCTGAGTTCCCTTGGAGAGCCGGTTCTGTTGGGCGTCGCTCTGAATCACACCAGTGCTGGAAGACCAAGTGCTGAGTTCTACGTCAGGTATTAGTTTCTTTAGTTTTAATACTAATTAACAAACAAGTTGAACTAGAATAACCGTATTGTGGCTGTATTTATTGTCCCACCAGTCAAGTTGCAGTTTAAATCCACGTCCTTTAAGACTGGACTTTTGACTTTTTGGTTATTAAATGTCATGTTTTTGTTGTATTAGATGTTTTTGTGAAATTTTGTCATAATTACATATGAATTCTTAAGTTACAGCCAAATGGGTTTTGTGACATCACAGGGATCTATTTTTGTCTTTATTCTGTTTTATTCCTGTGTTTTGGCCCAAATTTAACACCAAATAACAAGCAGCAGCTGCAAATAAGTGTGTTGCTGATTTTATCTTTTCTAATGTAACGGTGTTTATTTGTGACATTTGCGTGTTGCAAACATTAAATTAAGGCTGTGAGCTAACATATGCCTGTGTTGGGATCTAATGATATCAAATAGCCATAAGTCAAAAGCAGTCACATTGTTGGAGAAAGATTACGCAACAGTATATATACAATATATCAATAGAAGAAAATTAGCTTTCCTGCGATTTCCTAAACCAACCCCTTTAGTCACTGAGTCCTCAGGCTTCTGTAGTCTGGCTTATATCATTTTAAAAAGTTGTATTTACATTTTTTTTCCTTCAATGTGGCAATATCCATACACATTAAGAAAGTAGTTGCCCTAAATTCAAGACAGGCAGTAGCTCAGTGCTGTATGGGAGAAATAACAGTGTTACTGTCCATTATGACAGTGTATTATTATGAAACCTTTTTTTTTTTTTTTTTTAAATCTAACCATCTTTGTCTAAAGTTGAAAATAGCAGCATCAAAGCTGCAGAAGATAATACGACAACTGATTAAAGTATATTAAAAATAGGACTGTGAGGGACAGGCAGCAGACATAAATGCTGTGATCTTTACAATGGGTTTTATACAGATGTAATGTGTATTCATTGTTTCTGTGTCCTCAGCTGCTCACTGACTTCTGATGAAGTTAGAAAGTTTTACTGGAAAGGAGGAGCAGAGGCCCACGAGTCCACAGACGTCGTCTTCGTCAGCAGAACGGTCAGTAGTGTGTGGTTACAGATGTGTAATTATCTGAACAGCAACACTAGAATGAGCGTTCTGAGTTTGGTTGTTGTATTATGAAAAAAACTGCAGAATGTAACTAAATGTAGTTACACAAGTTGTGTTCAATGATGGAATTCAAAGTAAATGTGTAATCACACTGTGGAGACACTGAAAGCATCTAAAAGCACCATATATCTTTGAAATATTTTGTATATGATGTAGGAAGTCCTGCAGCTGGACAGCAGCAGCCCTCTGTGGTCCGAGTTGTGTCCTTCAGCTAAAGGAGCCGTGCTGCTTTATCAGATTGTGAAGCCTGACGGAGAACCAGACGACAAGTCGACAATACAAAACGGACCCAGATGATCAAATGTGCACAAAGACAAACCGTTGGAGTCAAGTTCAGAGATTTATTTACCTAAATCACTTATTGACCAACACTGCTGATAAAACTGTGCAAAATACTGTGTAGTGCCTGTTACAGTAGAAACTTCTTAAAATATTTTTGAATAAAAAGCGGCCTTGTTTTTATCAATAAAATTATTAAAAACCACAACACTTGTTATGTTTGATTGGTCAACGCAGAGAGTGCAGCCTGAGATCTCTGTAAACTACAAACTCACTGATGAGTTAAATGACATCAGCAGCATTGTTGTCATTGCAATCACAGATTGTGCAGCAAAATCCGTTTCTTCTTCCTCCAGGTTTCCTCACCAGTAACCCTCATGAGAGCCATAACCGACGTCTCTGTTGTAGTAGAAGCTTTGCTCCTGATAAGGAACGTTCCACTGAAATGGAAACAACACAGAACAATAGCGCGGGTTAAAAAAATCAATTTAAAGGATCTGTTACTGTCACGTCACACCTGATGAATACAGCTGTGATCTAAATACATTTTCAGCAGGTTCAAAGGGACCTGACTTTACCTGAACCAAACCAGACTAGAATATATAATGAAGACATTCTAAATAACTAAGAACTCTTTTTCATATTGTTCTTGCTCAAGAGAACATACAATACATCCATATTAGAACTAACAAGAAACTTTGATAAATGGAACTGGTTCAATACAGTTTTCAGTCTGATTTGACATTTTAACTGACTGCATCATTGACTGATAAAGACACTATTTATCATAGAGTGTAGTTTCACTTTTGTCTATCACAAAAATATTATGTAAGTCCTTTATTACACATGTAAATCAGATTGTAGAACATTTGTGGTGCTGCAATATTTATTCAGTGTCTACAATCTGCTGCAGCATCAACATACAAAACTCAAACACATTAGAAGGAACAGCAGTGGACATTTCATTTCAGATGCTAGGCTTTATAAATGTAATAGCACATTAGTTTGGCACAATCAGATTTCCTTCATAGGATCATCATAAATAAATGTATTTTAATATTTTCCTTTAAATTAATCTTTGTTACCTTAAACCACCGTGAATCCAACCTAAGTGTGAGATTTCTACAAAACACAGGACATAGTAATGAAAGTAATCTATGTCATTAAAGTATTCTCCAATATGTCTTCTATTTTTATTACAGCAGAGTGCATCATGTGTACATTCAGTATTAGTATTTTCACATATCAACCTGAAATCTTAAGAAGTGTTTGAAAGTTTTATAATTTATGCTTTTGTAGATTTAGAGTTAATACAAAAAAATTGAGTGCAAGTGATTTTTCTTTAAGAAAATTGTGTGTTCATTGAGGGAAATATATCAAGTGACTCATAAATGTAATATTTACAAATTTGCTGGTGCACATTTCTTCTTCAGTTTAAGTCTGTAATTGTAGCTCTATGATATTTTTATGAGAAGTTACTTAGTATAATATAAATAAATTCAGGAGAAATCAGCCCAAAACTGACTAGAAACATTAAGCTGCAGCTAAACTGAGGACAAAGCAGCAGCGAGGTTTGTTTGTATGTTGTGCAGCTGTTTAACTCACATATCTTGGCTGCTGGTTCCATGGCTGCATGTTGACTCTTGTGTCGCTCTGCCCTATAAATACAAAAACAACATCAACTGACGCTCAGCTCTACAAAGTCCCCACAAATATCATCCACCGTTGCTCACCTTTAAAACCAGTCCACTGGATCCTGTGCGGGAGTGGAGGGCCGTGAGGATGGGGTCTTTTCTTGTAAAGTCGGGGTTTCTTCTTCTCTTGTTTGTGGATGGGGGGCAGTAGTCTGCGAGCCTCGTCTTTGTACTGCTGCAGGAGGATCTGAGCCTGGCCCTGAGGCAGCTCCACATACTGCAGCTCCTCCAGCAGGTCGGCCTGCTGCTCCGGAAGACTGCAGCTCACTGGAGAGAAGAAACAAAATTCAACTTTTGAAGAACTTTAGAAATTAAAACTGTTCATTTTATAACTGCCAACATTACCATTGTCTTTTTTTGTTGTTGTTGTTAATTGAGTTTTTGCAAAGTAAAATGTGGCTCTTGCATCAAAATAAATGCTTTTATTATTTTATATGTCTTATCAAACTTGATTCATTGCACTGAACTGAGAAAGTCTACTGAAAAACAAAGTCAATAATATATTTTCCTTGTCATACAAATATTTTTAAATGATATGTGGATAATGCTATAATGTGTCATGTACTCGATTACTGCCGTGCCTGCTTTCATTGTTTTTATACAAACGATACTGTAAGCTAAAGGTCACTGCAATGCTTTTAACACATAATTGACCTCAATCAAAGATAATTGGATTATCATTTAAATGGGGATTATTAGCAGGATTTTGATTTTAAAATACATTTCAAAATAAAGAATATCAGCCGACTACCTTACTACCACCTCCTTTCTAGAAGACAAAGCAGCAGAGCCTCTGCTTTAGAGTGAAATATAGATTTTTTTAAAATTTATTTTTTGGCCTTTATTACTTAGGACAGTCGAAGGAGAGACAGGAAAGTGGGGGAGGAGAATGGGGGAAGGGGTTGCAGCAAAGGGCCCTGAGCGGGATTCAAACCCATGGCTGCTGCATCGGAGACTGTAGCTCCTGAACATGGGTCGCCGCTCAACCAGGTAAGCTAAAGCGGCGGCCCAGAAATATAGATTTAACACGCTTTTTAGTTTAAACATCTGGCATTCTTTCACATTTCACCAACAACACTGACTCATAAACTTCACAGAACACAAACGCTTGTGTGCCTTTAGATAACAGAAGGTGCACACAAAACTAGCTTATTATGAGTTTTACCTGATTTACTTTATAAACTCACATCTATTACAGATAGAAATGTTACAAATACCACCTTACTGTGATGACAACAGAGTCTGTAACAAGTCAAATTAAGGAAATTCACCAGTAATTAATGTGGTCTTGGTTTAGATAAAACCTTAACAGGTTAGAGTTGTTTGTCGCCACCATTCCACTGTGGACAAGTTTCTTACAGAAGTAAAGCTAACAGAAGAATGGAGTGACAGAATTGACCGTTTATGTGTGAAATGTTGCTTTGATATTTCGCAGATGTATTTGATTTGTGTTCTCTTCTTTGTTTATATTGTAAAGATCAGATAAGGTGTTGACAGGAGGACTCTGGGTCACTGCATTCAGGGTATATGTGGAACAGAGTGAAGAATCTCTCCAAGAAGATCACTGCAGGAAGTTGTTTTTTTTCTCCCTATTTTTAGCTTGTATGTGGGCATGCAAAACACTCAGCTTGATCTTACAACCCTATGAAATAAATAATAAATGTGTTTGTTTGATGCATACTTATGTGGACAAATGATCCTGCAGCAGAAATGACACCTGCCTGCCAGAGAACCATGAGAACAGCTGGAAAGTGGTTCTCAAGGCACTGGTCCACTAATGTCTAACTTTTAGGTCTCTTCAGAAACCACCTAAAAGCCTTTTTAAGATGGAATTTATCATCTCTGATTTTTATAAAGCCAACAGCAAGGACAGTCCCATTCTAGCAGAATAACAGACGTTTGGTGTGCTTATGTTCTCTCTGACTGACTGGTGGTATGACCCTGATTGGTATTTTTCTGAAATGGTAAATTATAGTTATTGCTGCTCATCTGAATGCTGCGTCTTTTTACCTCGCAGAGGTCAGTGCTACATCTCAAGACGAGAGACCAGAGCTGAAGTACAACCTTGTTCATCCAGTGTTGTGACTGGTCGACTGAACCAACTTGACCTTTTATTATTTTTTGTTTTTCATTTATCAGGACATTTTATCTACAAAACTCTTTTCATTCACATTTGTTCACACACAAAACTATGTGTCAAAGATATAATATGTCCAATTTCTTCATTAAAATGTCTCAAAATGACTCGACCAATGTTATGTTTTGTTGACTTGTGTACTTATATTTGAGCAGATGTTTCCAACAATGATCCAACCCAGAGAAATCTATCATTTTATCCAGAAACACTTTATAACTAGCAAATTTTGTCTTAAATAATCCTTTTTAATATTGTAAACGTTATTGGTGGGAACTAAATTTAGTGCTTTTGGAGAGTCTTTAAAACCTGTAACTACTCTGGAAAACAAAGTGGCACTTCAGTCTAATCATCAAAGTCTGCTAAATTAAACTGCTATTACTTAAGTATTTAAAGCGTGTCTGCTCTCAGTCTCTCCTCTTGTTTCCCTCCTTAGGGAGTTGTTCAATGACTCCCAAAGAGAGATGATGAAAGAGGGTTTCACATAAACAGTATTAAAATTGGCAAACACTCATCTAGATCATGTGTTTATTTTAAAATATGAAGAAGTCAGACCTTGCAGTTTGAGCAGGGCGGTCTCAGGAATGTGCTCCCCGTCTGTCATCTGGTGCTGCAACAGTCGTCGTTTCCACTCGTCTGCAGAGGGGAAGACCACCACCACCCGCCGTATGAAGCCTGCAAACAGCTGCAGCTTGTGACGACGTGCAGAGAAGAGGATGTTACACTGAAAAAGGAGAGATATAGTGAAATAAATGTGGAGTTGGAGAACAACGTAGTGAACTTCTACTGTTTGTCCAGGATTGTGAATGACTTTAAACATCACATGTGCATGTGGTGGCCGTAGCTGACATGTTGCCCCACATGCAAATCTTTTATGTAAAGAATTATATACATGGCTCCTAACATTGCCCAAGACAAAAATGAACAGATGAGATTTACAAGTCAGTGAAGTCCCACTGTCCTGACAGTTAAATCAATATGTTGAGGTGTGAGGGGTCACCTGGTCGAGGATGTAATTGGCAGGAGTCTCAGCAGCCATCTTGATCAAATCAGTCAGACACTGAGAGGCCTGTCGCAGCCTGCTGTCCTTCTGTCCGCCACTCTGTAAACACACACAGGTTAAATGTTTTGGATCAGTTGGTCAGAAATCAATGATCTTTAAATGTGAATTTGAAACATGACAGTGAAGCCTGGAGGTTTGACTGACAATCATACATGCGAGCAGCTCCTCTGTCCCCAGCAGCCTGTACTGTTTCTCTGGATGCTGCTTCATGTGAGTTCGGGCCCAGAGGGTCTTTCCAGAACCTGGAAGACCCACCACCTGCACCACCTGATGGGATAGAGAGAAAGATGAAATATTACAACCAAAGTAGGTGTTGCTTTTAGTAGCATGGCTCTCAGTCTACCACTTTCGATCCAGACTGAATTACCTCAACTATAAGGTCATGCTATTGCCATGAAATTATGTAAAGACATTCATGGCTCCCAGAGGATGAATCCTAACAATTTTGGGGATCCAGTGATTATTCCTGTCACCGTGATGTTGAAATTTGTAGCGCTGACTGACATTTTTGTCAAGGGCTACTAAAAGGACTGTCACAAAATTTGGCACACTGAGAAGTGTTCCTGTCAGCATGTTCAGCGCTAATCAGTACTAACGCCTGTTTTAGTGAGCAAATGTTAGCATGCTAAAAAGCAAAATGACATTGGATGGGGTAAACACTACACCTGCTATATATCAAGTTTGTAAACACTGGGAGCCTATCTAGCTCAAAAACAACTGCACAAACTGCTGCCTCTCACCTCACACTGTGCTCTGCAGGAAGGAGCTGACATGGAGCGAATCTTCTGCCCAGCAAGGAGAGCTGCTAGAGGTGTAAACCCTGGAGGGCCGGGGTACCACGGAGGAGCTGTGGGGTCCAGGAGTAATCTGACTGAACAGCTCTTACAGAAGACATGAGGGAACAGAGCACGGCCCAGCAGCACCGAAGTGTCCAGGGTGAAAGCTACACCCATGGAACGACCGTTCTTATGGAAAGAGAGTTCAACAGCACCGTCTGTGGAGAAAGACTGTGGGTGTGCAGGTGAAAACATGACACACAGATACATAATTTAAATTAGAGAAAAATCTCTCCAGTTCCATCAAAACTGATCTCAAAGAATGTAAAGAAAGAAAAAAAATGTAACTCACAGCATAACATCCGATGATATCCCCCTCTGAGAAAGTTTCTCCAAACTCCTGTTCCTGTCCACATGACACTCTTTTACCGCGTCCATCATAAGCAAAAGAGAGTTCATCCTCACCTGTTGTGAAAACCAGAGAGAGACAGAAGCATGGAGCCTTTTAATAAGAACAAGAACACCTCTAGAATATGGTTCCCTGTTCAATTAACTTATTCTGGGAAGAAGGACCAAATGAAGCTAATCCTTACCCAGCAGCAGAGAGGAGTCGGCCACTGACCAGCCTACTCTCAGACCATATGGTTCTCTGACGTCTTGGTCTTCTGGTTGGGTAGTAAACAACCTCCTCTCCAGCCGGACCTCAAAGCCCACCCTGCCCCACTGCACCCCGTGGGTGAGCCTGCAGCCCGACCACAGCAAGGGGAACCGAGACCAGAACCGCGGCTGCCCACAGGATCCATCAGGACCCACCTCAAAGTGTAGGTGACAGCCATCTGTGCCAGCAAGAAGGAGAGTGCACTGCTCTTATGAAAATGTCATAATAAGATACTGGATCCTGTGGGGATATTTTCCAGACAAAATGTCCTGACAACAGCTGTCAGTCGCAGCTGTGACTAAAGGTTATTTATTTTCAGAAACATTGTGAGAAAATGACTCACATGGATCTAATCTGACTTTATCTTCATCTGGTTCCTCTGCCTCCTCCCTCTCCAGTGGGGGCTGTGGTGATTTGGCTCTGTTTGAGATAAGAAACACATTCTGCTGATTAACACTGCTTTCCTAAAAGATGACTTTTACTAGAGGTTTACTATTTGAACTCAAACTCTTGTAAGATATTGATCCTCTTTTTCCAATTTCTTCTGTGGCTAAGAGATAGAGTACAGAAAGTGTGTTTTTTTTTTCTATCAGTAAAACATAAACAAAAAAAATCTTTAAAAGATAAGAGGTAAGGCATTCTTCATTACTAGCAAGCTGCTACTGTAGGACACAGAAATTTGACTATTTGTGCTGTCAAAAACGATATCAGACCCCTCCTCTTGTGTCAGAATTATAGAACATACAATTTTAGGATGCTGTTAATGTGCAATATTTGTTCCAGAAGTGAAATATGATTTTTTTTCCCCATTTGTGTTCACAAATACTGACCCAGATAAACTGTCAGCAGCACCAGGAAACTTTAATACATTTAATATAGTGAAACTTCTTACAGTTAATATTTAAAATGACACTAATAGGGCCAATCAGTTGGTCTGAGAGCGTCTGTAGATGGTGACTTTGAGCTTCTAAAGTTTTATTACGCTAGCAGACTGCGATACAGTTGTTGGAAACTAATTCACTGTAATTCTGAAAATAAATCACGATCCTGTCAAGTCGTATTCCTTTTTACTTCATATTAACAGTGATCCTTCTGGGTGCAAGGGGCAGAATTAAGCAATTTTCCTTCGTTGTCTTGTAATCTTTATTGTCCAAAATAAAATGAAGGCTTAAAAACTGTAAAAAAAAAAAAAAAAATGATGTGTAACAGCTTCATGCAATATTCATTTTTTATGAGATTTATGACTGTGCAGACTTCCTTGAATGTCTTTATTAAAGAAAGTGATGACTCTAGTCACCACTGCAGGAGTTTTCTAAGCTTGTTTTGTGTACTTTTGTGAGGAATATATTAAAAGAGGCCCCTGACACTGCATTAGTTATTCACTAAACTTTTTTAAAAATAATTTTTAACAATATTACAATATACCTCTTGTATCGGATCTCCTCTTTGAACTCGTAGAAAGCTCTTCCTCGGCCCATGTCCTCTGCTGACAGAGCCCCCCTGTCCTCTCCAGGACCCTCTGCATGTCCCAGCTGGTCTCCCTCAGTCTGACAGACAGGCACACCCCCTGAAGCACACTCAGATCCGGAGTGCAGCGCTGGAGGACCGAGATCAGCCTCTGTCTGTGTGCCGGTGTTTGTGAACTCTCTGCTGGGTTCTGCTTCACATGGCGCAGAGACACCAGCTTCTACCGGCGGTGAGGAGGACGGAGTGTGGACCTCCTGTGTCTCTGTCGGTGAGCTGTCAGGTTGTAGTTTCAGCTCCTGTGTCTCTGTCGGTGAATTGTCAGGTTGTAGTTTCAGCTCCTCTCCGCCGTCTGTCCCTCCCGGTCCCGTCTGGGATGCGGACCACAGCCGGTCCACCAGCTCAGCCTTCAGTCCTCTGCTGTCCAACCCGAGTTCTTTCAGTCTGGACCGCAGCTCGGCCACTTTTAACTTTTTAATGTCCGTCAGCTTCATTGTTACCGCGTTGGTATGAACTCGGTTGTCTTCTTATTTGACCTTAACTTCTTTAATTTAAAAACAGAAGGTCTAAACAAACTAAACTGTGTGTGAAGTGAAGCCGTTTGAGTCCAAAACAACGGTTCAATATGGAGCCCTGCATTCTGATTGGCTGTTTACTTCTTCTCTCTCACAATTTACAGCAGATTAGACACGTTGGCTCTTTACTGCCCCCCAGCGACAAGATGTGGTACTTCACTCAATGTTCACACAATGGATGCACATTTATAAACAATGAGTTGCACTGGGGGCCGCAATTCCTTTTTAGCCTAAATTTATTTTCTTTTCGGAGAATTAAATAGGCCGAATTAGCCATTAACTATTCACTTTTGCTACCTAACCGTGTACTGACAACTGTCACTAAAATTGCTTTTATACAGAAGAAATCTTTAAAACCTTTTGATTCTCAGCCAGTTTCTGAAGTGTTCAGAAGTGACAGAAATATGTGCCACTAGATCCTCAATTTTAATCACATAATTTGACATTTAATTCGTGAAATTGAACTATTGTATTAAGAAATTCATTGCAAATTACACAATTAGAAATTGAATTAACTGGATTGAAACTGAGACTGCACTTGGATCACATAGTTTGAAGTGCTCTATTTAAATGTAATCTGAACTACATAGTTTGAAACTGAATTTATTAGACTAAAATCAAATGCAGTTCCTCATTCAGTTTTCAACATTTGCATTCTGACATTGTATTTCAAATTCTGTTACAACTGATATTTTAGAGGCACATATTTCATATTTCAAATTCAAATGACAGTAAAGGAACCATGTTCCAAGACAATGTTCTTTTGTAGTGGGAAGCGATTTATTTGAAAACAAGACAAATGCAAAAACATGAATATGAATGAGAACAAAACAGGTATAAGAGGTAAAAAGCAAGACCACAGTCAGTTCAAATACAAAAACATTTCATATATTACAGTAGTTTCAAAGGACAGCACTGTCTCGTCTCTCTGCTTCAGATTTTCTGCTCCGCTGTCTGTGTGTCATTACAGCTGCTCGGGTCAACAATAACAGGAGAAACTGTAACAACTTTGAATCATTTGTTTAAAAAACTCAGCAAAGTTTGCAATTTCTTGCCCCTTCATTGACCTCACTGGGCTCCACACAAATCACTCTTGATGTGAAACCTATCAGACTTGGAAGGTTTACCCTCTGGTCAAAGATTTGACTGCTTCGCTGAAGCCCTGCAAGCAGCTGCATCCACACAAACAGCATCATGATGAAAACCGTCACAAGATGAGAGAAGCTCAGCTGCCATTTTTCCTGTTACACAACAGAACATTCGGGTCATGCTCACACAGTGAGCCTGTTTCACGAACATGGTGGCTCAGTCACACTCTCACCACATGCTTCACAATAAAAGCATCTCAGTGCTCCATCTGAATATTACACTCAGAACAAACATGTATTCTCCCTGATGAGGACACAACTGTGCAAAATGTCGAACTCCAGCAGGAATGTAAACAACCATGCATGTTAAATACTGTATATGCACAACAGGCTGGAATAAAAAAACACCATCTGGGTTCTTGCAGTGTCATCGGTGACGTCAATGAACTATCAAGCCTTGATTCACAAAATCATGTTGAAATGACAAAAATAGCCTCTAAATAACACTGTGGGTAGAAGATCACTGAATACTGCAGTGATTCTGATGTGGGCTCCTACTTTTGTTCTTGTGGCTGAAGACAGCGTTGAGTTTAGACTGAAGGTAGGGTTCCATTTTAGACATGAGCCCTAAAGGCTGCCTCCTTCTTACGACTCATTTTAACACGTAAATATCTTCACATGCTGGACTCATCATCACAGTGCATTAAGGTTTAACAACATTAACTCATCATTGTGTTTTCTCTTTAAGCATCACTTAAGTCATTGGTATATGTGTATCTATAAAGCCATTCTGGACAAACTTCTGTCACATCTTTGCAAACTGATTTCACACGGCTCATCTTCCAGTCATAATTGTAAATCACAAGACCCATCCTGTACGCGCTGCTGTACAAACAGATATGGGAAAGAAATCCTTCATGTTTGCTGCTACAGACATATTAAAGAACTCTGTACCTCAAACTGAATTCAACCCTGCTGTAAACTCTGTGGTAAATGGTTCTTTGACTAAATGTCTGTTTTTTGGCTCATTTTAGCTTTCCTAGTTCTGACAGTTGTTTTTGTTGTTTTTCTTTGAACTTTTGTAACCTGTCCCCTGGTTTTAGTAGTGTTGTGTGTTAATGTCACTGCCAGAGTCTGCCACATCTCCCTTGTAAAATATGTTTCTAACTTCATTGAGATTCAAAGCTGTAGGAGGCAGTATTTTTTGTTTTGGGTTTTTTTGGGCATCATTTGGAAAAAAAAATCTATTATAACTTTTCAGCATATTGTAATTCAAGTGATCTTAAAGGACAATAGACTCTGCACCTATTTTATACTCCATTTTCAGGTTTATGAAAATGTAGCCCACAAAGGGAGACTTAGGGCAATTAGAGTCAAGTCCCGTGTGAAGCAGAAAATGAATGTTTGCTTGACTTTTTTTGTGTCTGAAGTGTGAGAACATGCCTGCACCTGTCTGGTAGAATGAGCTTAGAACAGAGAGGGGAGAGATGCAGGAGGAGGGCTGTATATTTTCACATTGTGCTGTTTTTTGTTTTTTTTTTAATTGCCTTTTCCACATACTGCAGCTGTAACTAAACAAGTTTTTAAAAAACCCAAAAGCTTGATAAACAACATTAAGTGTGTTCTGTTTCCTTTCCAAATGCTTTTCTACCAATGAAATGATTAAAAATTATGTTTAACCACGTTTTTAAGCTGTAACTCTATTTTCTAAGAAAACAAAATAATGCAACTTGAAACTACATATGCTCTCAATTAATTTGTGCGCCATGTACCATAATTATAACATGGCATTATAAGTATTCATGTGTCCATAAAAATATTAACATTATTTGATAATTTCATACAAAATACTGTTGCTTTTTTCTTAAGACACACAAAGTAAATCGGTAAGAAGTAAATCGGGCTGAATTTATGTAATTGTACGCGTTATTCTGATATCATTCAAAGATACATAGCCTAAATCTGCTTCTACTGTATTTTGTATTTTCAGCATTTCCATTCGGTTACAAATGAAACAACACACAAACATACTGTGTGCATTATCTTTTAAACGGGACCAATCTCTTGTATTATTGATACATTATTTAAATGTAATGGCCAGCTCTAACTGTCTACTGACAATCTTATTGATCGGATGATTGCATCATTTCTCACTGTATGGACAGAAACTTGGAAAACTCATTAATTTTATTTTATTTTTTATCGCGCAGAGGGCTAAATAAATATTGATCAAAATGGCTAGAAGACACTTTGAGGATTGTGGACATACTCTCAAGCAGCAGCATGTGGGCGTCTAGGTTTTTTATAGAATAACTGTAAAACAGATGGCAGAATAAAGTAGTGTGAGAGATGTTGGCTCTGCTCATCCACATTATATAATATAGCCTGACTGATAATGGATATTAGAGGATAATGATCATATTGACATTTAGGATTTCAACAGACCAGCCAATAGAAAACCTTTTTTGTGAAATGTGGTTATCAGAGAACTGTAACTTATTTATATTCTCTGACAAACTAAAATAGTCCTCCAATATATCTTTGGTATTTCAGAACTGCCGTTTCTTGCTGCTTATTGGTTGATAGTAAACACACATAATTGTTCAGGCTCTATTATATAAGATGATGAACAGCATTAAAAAAAAAACTGACAACTGCAGAGTCAGTGTTATCAGTCAGGGTAGTGAACGAAATGAGGAGTAAATTACAATATAGGTGTGACACCTGACATCCCTGCCTCATGTACTCCTGGTTAGACTAAGACGGTGGGTGTTGCTGGAGGATGTGGCGGTGTGGGGGAGCCGCTGTCAGACGGACTGTGTCCCAGCAGCAGCTCCTTCTCTCGGTGCAGACAAGGGCCACTGATGTGCTGGCTGTGAGAGTGGTAGAGCCGCAGGAAGGCCAGGATGGACTGAGCCAACCACAGAGCCGTGACAAACCACAGAGACGCCTGAGGACATAAAGCGAGACATTTACAGTCACACGTGTACATTCAAAATACACTCAAAAGACAAATAGTGCAAGACACAAATATCATCCCATTGACATTTGTGATCAAGATCACATCTGAATATCCAGCACTGGATCAGAGCCTTCACCAGTAATGTGTCATGAGGTTTGCCTCATATGTTTAGATAAGCATGGTAGCATTATAAAAATCAACCTAATAATGTTGGTTCATCAGTATTTATGCTTTAAGCAGCCTTTAACAAACACCATTTCCTTTTGTGGGCTAAATGTCACAGCGAGAAAGAAGAGAGGCTAAACGATGGTCATAGTAGAAGCCAGTTTGAAGCAAGTAAACCTCAGGAGCTCATCTCATTGTACTCAGAAAGACAGATAAATAAATGCTACACGTTCGATCTGAATGAAGCTACAGAAGCTCGAAGGACAAACATGACGTGAGCTCTGAGCGCAGCAACATGTAAAGTACACTGGTGTGTTGGTCATGGATTTTTTGTTGCTAGACACAAAGCATCAGCAACACTGTAGGAATATCTACTCCAGTCGTTGAGTAGTCTGCGTCAATTTAGACAGAATTCTGGAAATATATTGCTGTACCACCTCAGATTTTGTGAGTTTACTTATTTGTTATTTGAGACTCAAAACTAAGTTCTATAGTATTTTTCCTCACTGAAAGCCATTTTAAAGGTTCACACTTCCAGAAATATAACTTCTACAGACATGAAATGTGGTGAGCATACAGACACTTGTTTCCAGCAGAGACCACATTTTTAATTATTGACTCTTGAAAGGAAATGTTTGTTTGTTTTATTAAACATGAGATTTATTTTGATGTGTGCTAAATTATCATCAGTTTCTCAGTGTTGATTTTAAACGTCCACATGGGAACACTCAGTGAAACAAGCCCCATATGTTGTCAAATTTTAACATGAAGACAACATGGAGGCAATTGGTAACTCTACACATATACTGACAACATCGAGACCTCTGTGCACACCAGTTTTTGTGGTCATATGAATAAGTCCACATCACTATTTCGACAAGTGAGAATAAAAAAAATTACTTCCCACACTTCAAATTCCACAAGGGCCGTTAAAGTTGGTGAAAAGTAGACCAAAGGCTGTATTTTTGGTAGGAAATATGGATACCTTCATGTATATACACTTAAAGAGGCATTCTGGGGCCTTCTATGCCACCACTGTTGGACAATTTTACACTTTTTTCCATGTTTTACAGAACCAAATGATACAGTGCAGCAACCTCACCATCTGAAATGACACAGACTGAGCCAGGTACAACAACTTCTATCATTTATTATTGAAAAAATCTGCAGTTTAGTACTCGTCTTGCCTCATTATGACTCCACTTATCATTATGCTCATAGTCTGCCTTCAGTGGGCCAGACTAGTTTAATGCTAACCAAGCCAGCTGTACGGAAACTGTTAATTTACTAGATGTCATGCGTTTTTACTTCTTCTGTGGACTGTTTATTACATTATTTATTCTGTTGTTCCTTCTAGTTTAAAATCTTGTGAATCCAGTTTTCTTGTAATGAATTATATGTATTGTATCACATCTTTTTTTCTGATTTATAATCACTGTCAGGGGATTTCTTTTATACAACACTGTTTTCCACTGTTTTATAGTTGCATCCAACAATAACTTAATAAATATCGCCTGACAAAATTATCTACACAAAACAAGAAATGTGCAGCATACAACACCCTCTCAGTTAATTGAATTTACAACTCATTGAATTTCCCTTCTGGGATAAATAAAGTATTTTTCATTTCATTTCACTTCATTATTGTGTTCGACTTTTATGAGAAAATATGGCTTGTTGAAAAGTAACAGCAACAGTAGCTGCTCATCTAATTTAAAATGCAGACAGATGATCCCAGCGTGATGTGTTTTAGCTTTTATGAGGAAAATGTCTGGGAAAATAAGTAGTCTGACGGAAGCTCCTGGAGAAGAAACCAGGCTGAAAGTTGGCGTCACTTTGGCAATCTATTGTGCACAGTGTGTTTATTTTAAAGCACTCCTACCTGTGCGAGACTGAGCTCTGTGTAGAAAGACGAAGTGTCCACATCCAGGTAAAGTGGAACAGACTGGGACTCTGCACAGCTGAACACAAACAAACATGAAGGGATGAGAGAGGATCTCTGACTACACTCGCAGGTGTCACGGTTACAGACGTGGCTTAAAAAACAAAGTTACTGTTTGCGGTTACATTTTAACAGTAAAACATCAGCACTGTATAAAAAGTTGAGTAGACGTATCAATAAAGTTGGGGGGTATAAAAAAAAAATACAAAACATGAAATGATACAAATTTTTACAGTCTGTTTACATCTTGGTACAATTTTCTTTAAAGGACAGTTTCAGGATTTTTCAAGTCTTTCGTAAAACAACACGGATGAGCCTCATCGTTCAAAATAGCTCTCCAAAGATCAAGGCTGATATGAATGTCACGTATCTATCAAAATCACAGCCTTTATTGTACAAAAGTCCCTGTTTTTGATTCACCAATGAGAGGACAGATGACTGTGCAACTCTTAAATCTAACTTCAACATGCAGAACTGTCCACAGTGACATCCTGAGATGATGTACCTGTATGGCCGCGTGTTGTCATCAGTCACAGTGTCGCACCAGGAACTGAATCCCAGAGACACGAGGACGCTGGCACCTCCAGACAGGAAGAGGACACACACACTCAGCAGGACCGTGAGGAAGGACGAGAACAGGGTGCTGGGCAGAAACACATCACGGACAGCCATCAGACATTCAGAACTTTTAATAAAAACATCAACCTGAAACTATAGGTACAATACATTATGTAACGGACAGAAGACAGTCGGTTAATAGGCCGATGATGATTGATTAATTATCCTTCAAGTAACGACAAGAAACATTTCCTGCTTCCTGCTTTAAAATAATGAAATAACAGCTTTGCATTGCGAATTTGAAAACTGATTAACTACAAGGCGTCTAACAAGGCCAACAGAGACACACAGAAAACATACAAATCAGGCATACGACGGTGCTTCAGTGTAACATTTGGGATTTACACTGTAATTCAGATAAAATGAGGAATTGAAGGAGTCCACTTTATAAAATTATTAATGTGCACTCTACTTTATCAAAATGTATTTTCATTTTATTTACAATATTAATGGGTGTTTTCACGTTTGCATACTGTTTTATGATACTTTAGATATTATATAGACACAGTAATAATGCTTTCCTGCATATATAAAGATGTGCATTCATAAAGGAGCAAATTCATTTGGGATATAGAATAGAATAGAATAGAATAGAACAGAACAGAATACATTAGAATAGAATAGAATAGAATAGAATAGAATAGAATACATTAGATTAGAATAGAATAGAAGAGAAGAGAATATATTAGATTCGAATAAAATAGAATATATTAGAATAGAACAGAACAGAATAGAATACATTGGAATAGAATAGAATAGAATAGAAGAGAATATATTAGATTAGAATAGAATAGAATATATTAGAATAGAACAGAGCAGAATAGAATAGAATATAACAGAAATACTTTCTTGATCCAGAAGGGGAGATTGTGTTGATACATTAGCAAGCACAGAGTAAAGTCGGGACTACCACAAACACTAATAAATAAGCAGCAACATCTGGTAAGTGAGGTTTAAAAAAGAAGATAAAATGAAGTTATAATTAGAATTGAAAAAAAAACATATATAGTGGAGTGAAAAATGCACCGTAATGTGTCAAATGCACAAATATACCACAGTAAAAATAAGCAGTAAAATTAGGAAATTAAATAATTGCAACACGTGCAAGTAGAGCAATATTTGCAGTATGTGTGTAATGAAACTGCTACTACAGTAATACCTTATTGATAATACTGCTGCTACCAAAATGATGATCAGAATCAGGAACACTGCTCTGATCCTGATGTCTGGTCACCATGTGTCTGTCTGTGTGTGTGTGTGTCTGTGTGTGTGTGCTTCGTGCCAGCGCACTCACTCGTCATGTCGTCCGTGCAGATAGAAGAGGCACCTCCAGCCCTGCGCGGCGCCGTACAGCACCGTGAAAATACCCACAAACGTGCCGAACTGGCAGGCTGCCGGCGGGCCCCACTGCTGCACCACCAGGCGGGACACATCCCCGAGATTCCCCGTCAGCTCGGGCCGCTCCTCGGTCCTCCAGTAGCCGGTGGAGAAGAGGGCGCAGCGGCCTTTGAAAGCGGAGCCGTTGAGCGCCATCGGGACGACCACCAGCAGCCCCGCCACCACGGAGAAGGCGTGAGCCGCACAGTGAGCCAGCAGCAGCCGCCGGTCCAGCTCCATGTCAGCGAGCAAACAACACGTAGCCGGTGCGAGTATTCACGCTGTGGAAAAACAAATATTGATAAGAACACACCCCCGTGTATCTGGCGTGCTCCGATGTGGAGGGTATTTAAAGCTGCAGGGCGGGGACCGAGCCGTTATACAACTACCCGCACGTACTGACACAGAGCAGGGGGAGGACAGAGGGATCACTCCGCCCCGAAACTCAGGGACCAGACATGGAGGACATGCACTGTTGTCAAAATACATTTAGGAGAGATGCACGGGATACTTAAAGCATACGTTTATGAAACTGATTAGATTTATTTATGACTGCATTTGACTGTAATTTAAGATTATTATTTATTTATAAATTGAGATGATAACTTAATAGATCTATGTGGGTCAATCCACAAACTACAACATTTAAGTGATGTATGCACTGATTCGTCAGTAATTATAATCCAGTAACATATTGTCATTATTCTGATGTGGGCTATTCACATGAGGAGTGCTTACCTTTGGATTTTAAGTATATGTGTAATGTTAAATTGCTTTTTGTATCCTGCTGATTTCTAAGCGGAGTGAGGCATCCTGTTATACACACGACCTTTAGTTTGATCCTCCATCAGTGACGTCTGTTTTGACCAGCTGACCTGTTTAAATCAGAGGAGGATCGAAACATCCTGCAGACTGATCAATAGTCTGGATCATGTCACTGATGAAAGGTCTGATCAGTGACGGCAGTCAGCAGATATTTTAGGCTGCACTGTAGATATCTGAACTGGACTTGTTTTCTTCCGTTTTTATCTATTTTAGTTCAGCACAAACACAATACAGGAAACTTGACCTACATTCCTGAACTTAAACGTTTAAAAATCCAACTTTTCTTAATACATCAGCTTTTTGGATGGACCTAGAAATATTTTTTTAACTAAAATGCAAATTATAAACTTTTACAATTAAGAAACAAATGTTGTAGTTGTATTTCTAAGCTCATGTTAATGCTGAGTGTAACAGTCATGATTATATAAGAGGTATTAGCTCCTAGGAGAGACATGTTTTCCCATCCTGCAGAGTCATACTGGTGTCATTGTAAACACCATAGAAATTCAATTTACTGCAGTTCAAGAGGCAGATGGGATGGAGAAGCAGCAGTGGTCTGGGTTTAAATGTGTATTAGAGAAAATAGGCCCACTCTGCATGTTAAGTATGTCTCTTAATTTGCCCCAGAGGGCTCTGAATTGGATGCTTCAGTTTGGTAGAGAGGAATGTGGGGTGGGGCTGGGTTAAATTCCTCTCGTCTCTACGACCCCCACCCCCAAGCCAACTGATTAACTGTTTTCCTAAAATCAGCTGAAATGATGTGGGTAAAGTTTCAGTTTTAAACCCACTGAGAGGGCAGAGAATTGAAACTGAATGAAAAACAACCGAGAGAAGCTCAAAGAACACTTATCCTACCAGAGGTGACAGGCTTGTTTGTCTTGTTTGTGTCAAAGATGGATCACTGAGCGGGACAAAAGCCCCTGTGTGAAGCAACAGTTGAGATTCATTGTTGGAAAGACAATTATACGACGACAAAGACATAAAAATGACATCCAAGACCAAAAAATATATTTTTTAAAACTAGGTACGAAGCGATTCAAAGGACAAAAAGAGACTCAAAACTGCAACAAATATATTTCTAAAAAATTACCACAATGAAGTGGCAAATAAAACAAAGGGTAAACACAGAAAACAACTACAAACAATGCAGCATTTTGTGTTTCTTGGGCCCTTTCCAGACACAGGATACATAACATTGCTGCTTCATCGATCTGGTAAAGAGACGGCATGTAATCATGTGTCATTTTTACATCAGTGTTCCTCACAGCTTCATTCAGACACACAACAGTGACAGAGAGAGCTGAAGTATGATGTTTGCAACAACCACGAGATTAGACAGAACCGTAAAGTGGCACCAGTAGCTTTCTCTGGGATTAGGTTGCAGCTTTTACGGCGTCACTGTCTCGATCATCATCGCCCACGATACACAACATTTTCCTACACTGGTATGTTGCAGCCTTGCATAGGAAGTTTACAGTATGAACAATCTCAGTATTAGGCTATTAACATACAGGTTATTAATGCTAAAAAAAAATACCCCAGAGTTTTAAAAAGAGTGTCAACCCATTGTTGCTCATTTTATGAAAGTTTCTAAACCTGCCCCTGCAAACATTATCTTCAACTGTTTAATTCATGAACTGCAGCAACTATTAACTCTCAGCCCATACTTATAATAATACACTTCACCATTATCATCTGTTAAGTGATTAAATCACTTAGATATGTAAACTATTGTTTTATAAAATCATTATCCAATGAATGATTATTACAACAGCATTTAAGCAACAAAAATTGTTTTAAAAAAAATTGAGTGAATACTGATTATTAGTGCATGCTTGTAAATTCACATGACAACGGCGCATGCAGACTGAGGTAACAGGCATTTCTGGTTGCAACGCAAATTCTTGATCACAAAAACACACTGAGAGATGAAGTTGTGAAAATGGTGATTATATCAGTGACGAAACAGAGGGCGGACTGATGAACCAAGTACTCATGAGTGGTTGATGAGCTCTTAATGAAGTACTTCCAGCCAAATTTTCCAGAGTGAATGACTGCATAATTGATTGAACATGATGTTGGTGACACTTAACAAATGTGGAGCATTATGAGTCTCATAAGGTTTCTATTTAGGGCAGGCTGGAAACAAGGCCGGCACACATAGAGCTCAGTGCAGCAACTGATTTAATTTGAAATAGATTACATTAGTTGATTCCTGTTTATGAAGACAACTGAACATAACTAGGCTACATATATGGCAACTGACTCCGATATAACACAATATTAAGTTTGCAGTGTTGTTTTTTATGGTGTTAAAAGGGTGCAGGTTAATTAAGGTGCAATACACACATAAACATATTGCTGTAACTATCTTAATTCCTTAAAGGACAGGTTTGTCTTTAAACTTGCAGTGATACTGACTTACATTTCCACTAAAAGTGCACGAGGAATACATGTTATATTAGTAAATGGAAATAGGAGGAATCACAGTAATACAGCAAGCAAAACCTGTTTCAGTGTTCTTAGTGTCAACTGACTGTTGGTTGAAGACACACCTGAAAAACGGTGAACTGATTCCTAAGACAGGCAAATACAGTTTGAGACAACCTTTAAAGTACTGGTTGGCGTTTAATTTCATTATGTTAATGATGGAGACTAATAACTGGAATAACTGGAGATAAGATTTTGACTGAAGTCCAAGCAGGCTCTCAACATTTTTAAAAGTTGTCCATCCATCCATCCATTTTCTATACACCTTGCAGCCCTTTAAAAGTTGTGTAACTTATTAATTATTTTAATCTGATCTGCTCTGCTTTTGTAACATGGTCAACAACAAAAAACTGTGCTTCTTTGATATTACTGTCCAAATGTGCCTAATTCAAGGACAAAGTTCATATGCATATAATTTTCACGTTATCGTGTTTATGTGGAACATGAGAAACTTCGCCATTCATACACATATACATGAAGATAAGATTAGAGCTTTTTAATCATCAATGTACATCTGTGTCTTGATTTGTTGACATCACAGCCAGACAACAATCCATCCATCCATTATCTGTACACTGCTTAATCCTCACTAGGGTCGCGGGGGGTGGGGTGGGGGTGCTGGAGCCTATCCCAGTCGACTAAGGGCGAAGGCAGGGGACACCCTGGACAGGTCGCCAGACGACAATAAACCTAGAAAATGTGTTTAAATGCCACAGTGTCTTGGATTTTGGACCTGAGTGCTAGCTGGGAGGGTTTTTCGAAATCCATACAAAATGTTTACATGAGCAAAAGCCTAAAACTCTAAAAATTATTATCATCACCAACATACTTGTGCATGGTGGTAGACACTGGTATCCACTCTTTAAAAATCACTCAATTTAAACCTTTTAAAGTCAGAGTAGGCAGAAATCTGGAAAAGGCCAAAAATTTAAAAAGAAAAGTGTTCTTCCTCTGAAATTGGACCAGAAAATGGTCTACAGTGGGGTTCCTGCAGTCAGAACACGCACAAAGATTCAGGCTATGTTAACCCTATTCAGGACGTTCATGTTATGTGTACGGTCTTCCTTGAGGTTCATTGAACCCCAAGAAAGAATATGTGCAAAATATTTGTTGGTATTCATTAGAGACTTTTGTACTATGTTAAATAAATGTTCTGATAAGTTGACGTATTTTTGGTTCCAAATGCATGACAAATCTTTCTCTTCTCTTTCTTTCTCTTTTTATATTCAAAAAAAATCTTCAAAATTTAAAAAAATTAAAATAAAAAAAATAAAAAAAATAAAACAGTATCTGCGACCTAAACCAAATGGCGTGGGGTCCAAAAGACCCAGATAGGGATAACAGGGCCTCCAGTTCCTGCAGTGGAGAACAGGCTGATATTTTTCCAAATCATTGACAGAGTGGGTTTACATAACTGAAACAATTGTCGTTAGTTGTACCAATATGCCGAAACCCGGGATCGAACCAGGGACCTTTAGATCTTCAGTCTAACGCTCTCCCAACTGAGCTATTTCGGCGACAAGATGATTAAAATGTGCATGCTAAATTTACAAAAACTAACTAAAATGACATACTGCTCTTTAAATATGTGTTTTGCGCAATTTCTCATAAGTTTATAAGCTACTGAGAAGAAAGGTCAAGATCTAAAGGTCCTGTAAAACTTTACTGCTGTAAGAAAGATTATTGCTTTGTGGAGCAAAAAAATACTAATAACAAAAATACTCAACTTTTTATATTGAACACTGTGTGCATCGTTGTTTATGAAAAAAAAAAGAAGAAAAAAGTTTAACAAGCCAGAGCCAACATAGCCACTCACTTTTAAATACATGTTAATTCTGCCTGAACAACTTAACCAAGCACCACAACACATATAGATATTATAGGACAGTGAAGTTTGTACCTTGTCCGGAATGAGAAGGGCACACAAACAATATAGTATTCAGTCAAATTAAGTATTACCATTAATCAATATTGACCTTTTTTTTTTATTGCATTTATCAGACCCTCTAAGAAACTTTCTTTTCAATAAATGTCTTCCTTTTTTCAGGATGCTTTGCAGTTTAGGCACTTGTTGCAATGCTGGAACAGTAACTTTTACTACAGGATTTTCCACAACTGATTCAGACTTTTAATCATATGAAAGGACAACAAGGATATGGATCTGTATTTGTAGAACAGTTGACAAGAAAGGACGCCCTCTCTCTCTGTAAGACCTGTAACTGGCTAAAATCTGCTGTCACGGGCTACATTTTCTGAGGCTTGATAACAGAGCCAAGAGGAGGCGCAGAAGTCAGATTTTTTCTTTGATCACTTGAAATACAATATCCTGAAACATTATTATGGAATTCTATCCATTGATGCCAAAACTGCTGCCTTTTACAGCTTTAATTAATGTTTTAAGACCAGTTTAAGATATGGCTCTATTTGGTTTAATTATCACTATCGACAGTGTCAGCATTTTTGTTTTCATTGCAGTGTTGGATCCAACCAGCTTGGACCATGACTTTAATTCCAAGTAGGTCAAAACAAAGACTAATAGAAGTTACTGGGCATCACTCCTGTTGTGTGAGGACATAGGAAATGGAACAATGGAAGACCGATTTCACACTGAAGAGAATGATTAGAGAAGACTGTCTTATGTATTCACTGTAGTGAACTAATGTTAGCGCACTGTATTAAAATGCCGAAACCCGGGATCGAACCAGGGACCTTTAGATCTTCAGTCTAACGCTCTCCCAACTGAGCTATTTCGGCAGTAAAATAGGTTAATTAGCACGTCGAAATTGGAAAACAAACAAGAAAAAATAAAAGCACGAAAGGCCTAATGAGGCACATTTCTTTCATATTTTGTTTGATTTCTTAACAATTAAAAGACACACATAACGTGAGCTGTATCAGCTGTACTATATTAGACGTTACAGCACAATGAAGTTACACAACAAAGTCTGCTTCATGATGTAGCCCTCAGACGTGAGAAGACCTGTGACCAGCTAAAATCCGCCATCACTGGCTAAATATTCAAAAGCTTGAAAACAGAAGGGTAAGTCCTGACAGGCATCGACCAAAATGCACAGAGGACTTCAGTTAGGAATCAAACTCAACTGATTACAACATACAGGTTTATCTTATATTAAGAAAATCACGTTGGAAAATAGTGAACTTCATGCACGTTTCCAGTCGGGTTGGCAATATTTTATAAACATAAAGCGCACTCAGGGATTTAAACCTCAACTCCTGATTGGTTGATGTAATTCACGTATCACAGGAAGTCGAATTATGGATCTCTGCGTCAGATTCGTGTTGAGAACGATGGAATACGGAGCCGGTTCTGATTTGCTTTCAAAAGACTGAGCAGGCAACATGACTGGTGTTCAGATGGTAACCCTCCTAACGTGATTGGTTTACAACTGATAACATGACTGATGTCATTCTGCGACTCTGTGCAAACTAGCAGCTGCCAGCGTTAGGGTTATGGATTTGGAACCAAATCTTGTTGTGCATGTCACATTTACAAAAATAAATTTAAATGATAGACGCAGCAAATTTTTTAACAATGGCTGTTGGGCTAACTCTGTGTCTGATTGGCTTTGGAGGTTCCACCATGATGCAGTTTTCAATTTAAGGTCATACAGCCCAAAGAAGTTACACGAAGAAAGCTTGGCTATGTTGAAGTTGCTTCAGAATATAGGTTTGAAAGGAGTTGTGACTGGCTGACACCTGCTTTAAGTATTCTTGCCTTATCTTTCCGGTGGTATGTCATAAAATAGTACCTATTCCCAAAAGTGGTCACTTATTTCTCCCCAAAAAATGGCCTTGATGAAGTTTCTACTGGGGCAGTTATTGGTGGTGTGATCATGGATACATGTCCACCTTAAAAGAACCTGCACATTTCTGCGGCGACAAACAGCCTAAATAAATTGCGTCCTCTGTCGTGAACTGACGTTCGTGACAAAATGCCGAAACCCGGGATCGAACCAGGGACCTTTAGATCTTCAGTCTAACGCTCTCCCAACTGAGCTATTTCGGCGATGAAACATACACAACATTCTTGTCAAATTTAGAGGCTCCAAATATAATGATCTATCACTTTATATTTATTTTATTGGCACGTCGAGCAATTTGCAGACATGCAGCCAGACACAGCGGCACTCAGATGTTAGGTTAACGCTGAATCTCCGCGGCTCTGGATTGGAGCGGTCACGGTGACGTAATTCTCACGGCTCCCACACTGAGCGCGGTGGCTGCTGGGAAGAAAGGTCAAGAATCGATGGCAGAAGAAGACGCTGATATACTGCCATAAGAAAGATTTTCGCTTTGAGGAGCAAACGAATACAAAAAGAACAGAACTGCTCCACTATTTTAAAAGAAACCATAGCGGGTTGTTGTTTGTGATACAGAAACAAAATGACAAGAGGCTGATCTTCGGCTGATTTTCTGACTCTCAGCCGTCTCTCCGGCTGGCTAATGCTGGCTGGCTAACAGCCGCATTGTTATTGTTGTCGCTTCATCTGGCGGCCACATATACACTGCTCTCCCCCAGCCGAGGCAGGGGTCTGGACTACCTGAGTGATGTGTTTCTGTCCGTCCCGGGAAGATGGATGAGAAATCCAACGGCGGCAGCAGCCACCATCACCGGCTGCTGATCGTCCTGCTCATGGTGTTGCTCTTTGGCGTCATTATGATCCAGTACGTTTGCCCGAGCAGGTCCGAGTGCCAGATGCTCCACCAGTTGGGGTCCTGGTTTAACGTCGGCAGTGCAACTGGTTCCCGGGGCGGTGGCACTGACATCCAAGACGGGCTTCAAAAGGATCCGTACATCGCAGAAGACGGCGCTCTGGCTCGCTTTGTCCCTCGCTTCAACTTCACAAAAGCAGACTTGAATCGCGTTGTAGACTTTAACATCAAGGGGGATGATGTTATAGTGTTTCTGCACATCCAGAAGACAGGCGGCACGACTTTTGGGCGACACCTGGTGCGGAATATCCAGCTAGAGAGGCCCTGCGAGTGCCACGCAGGTCAGAAGAAGTGTACCTGTTTCCGTCCAGGTAAAAAGGAAACTTGGCTCTTCTCTCGATTCTCCACCGGCTGGAGCTGTGGGCTTCATGCGGACTGGACGGAGCTGATCAGCTGTGTCCCGTCACGCATGGACTCCCGAGAGGCTCCCAAGAACCTGCCCAGGTTGGTGAAAGAAAGGGGACTCGCACAATCATGACACACTACTTATAACTACACTAAGAAGGTTATTAAGCAATCCACTACAGTGTACTATAGTTGTAAGGAGTACTTCGCAAAGTCATTATTTCTGAGGAAGAGTAATTACTCCAAATAAAAGTTTTCTCACTAAAGCTGCAGTGATTATTCAGTTACTTTTCAATGATTAAATTACTTGTCAAAGATTTTGATCGATTGACTGGCTTGAAATATTTGTTAGGAGGAAAAGTGTAAATATGGCTGTTCAATCTTCTTGAATGTGATATTTTCTGGTTTCTTTACTCCTCTGTCACAATGAACTGAATGTCTTTAGGTTGTGAGCATAACATGACATATGAGAACAGCATCTTGGGCTTTGGAAAACCTTATGTTTAATTGCTCCCAGTTTAGCCTAAATGTAAAGACTGCATGAATGTAACAAAGTGCAGACTCTTGGAGCAACTTTTACCACTGCAAATAGCAGGTGGTTAAACTTTGGCTTTACCATAGTCTTTGCTCTTTCCTCGAGTATGTACATTGTACAGAAGATTTACGAGAGACCAACACACAAAGTATAATTTAGTGGCTAAACCTTAAAGCACAAATGCTTCTGGTGCACGCAGACCGTATAAACAGGCCAAAACACTGCAGGATCATTGCTCTAGTTTTGTCAAAGCAGGTTGTTACAATTACAGACTGATGGTTTCCTGCATGTAACACTATCTTCTTTACTGCTCACTGCTTTTTACTGCATTTCTCATCCGAACATTATAACAAATTGATGCAGCACTTATTTAAACAAATTAATCACTGAGACATTTTGAGGCTACTTGAGTCGGCTTGTTACAGACCTAACGTCGTCTTTTTCCTCTCCAGTAGGAACTATTATTACATAACCATCTTAAGAGACCCAGTGTCGCGCTACCTGAGTGAGTGGCGTCACGTGCAACGTGGTGCTACATGGAAGGCTTCCTTACATGTGTGTGATGGACGTTCACCAACGCTGTCAGAGTTGCCAAGCTGCTATTCAGGAGATGACTGGTCAGGTTGTTCGCTGCAGGAGTTCATGGACTGCCCCTACAACCTGGCAAACAACCGGCAGACCCGCATGCTGGCTGACCTCAGCCTGGTGGGTTGTTACAACGTCTCTGCCATGAATGAAGAGGAGCGCTGGGCAGTGCTTCTAGAGAGCGCCAAACGCAATCTACGGGGCATGGCCTTCTTTGGACTGACTGAATACCAGCGTAAGACCCAGTATCTATTTGAGCGAACCTTCAACTTGGAGTTCATTGCACCATTCACACAGCTCAATGGCACACGCGCCTCCAGTGTTGAGGTTCCTCCTGAAACGCAACACAGAATCCGCCAGCTAAACCGATGGGACGTGGAGCTGTATGAGTATGCCCGTGACCTTTTCCTGCAGCGTTTCCAGGTGGCGAGGCAGCAGGAGCGCAGGCAGGCCAGAGAGAGGCGACAACAGGAGAGGAGGCGACTCCGTGGAAGGCTCGCAACAAAGCAAGGAAGGCAGCTGAAGCCGACAGAAATACCACGTCTGACCAACAGCCATTCTGCTGTAACTGAGGAGAAGCGGAGGGAGAAGGCAGCTGAAGACAACGTGGAGTCTGAAGTGCTGCTTCCCGACTGGTGGGATCTGGATGAGAATAGCACCATGGACGACTACATAGACAACGTGGAACAGTGGTAGTGACGGAAACGAGCTGTAGGGTGTCTAAGTGTGCCAAGTTCTGCCTTGTCTGTTTTCATCAAGTGTTTTTAGTGTATGCCTTCCACGGTTTTTCACCATGAACTGTTTTAAATTACACATTAATTTATTGATACTGATTGTATTTCTTTGCCACAACTGACATTAACAATGGGTACATTTTCTAGACAGAAGGAAAGACAAGTCTAGCTACCAGGAATCGTGTACCTTTTGATGATGACACTAGCCTTCTACATTTGAACTCTTGTAATGTAGCTTGGAACAACGGGGGATTTATTTTTTATTTAACAAAAAAAAATGTAATATGTTTTTCTATTTAAAAAAAAAATCTACTATTGTGATTAACAATCTATATGTTTGTCAAATTGTTGTCTCGTATGAAACGCGTACATTTTTAAATGTACCTGTGTTTTAAAGTGTCTTTTCAGTACCAGTCAAGGAGAATGGAGTTTTCATAGATACCTCAATGTGTAGCATTAACTGCTAATGTTGTAAAATTACTGAATGTGTCTGTTTTTATATAAAAATGCTTTTACATATATTGAACTCCTGGTCTGTTTTTGCCTTAGGATATCTTCTTTCTGTGTCTGATGGTCTTTTGTCTGATCATGTGCACAAAGGACTGCCAAGCTTTTGTGTTGCCCTTGCAAATCTCTAGAACACCAGCAGGGAGCGCTGAAGTGATTTTAATGAAATCCAAACTCCCTGCTGAGGTGATAGTTGACATCACAGCTTATTCTTAAATTTGGTTGGGTAGGATTTGGATCGCTTTTCAGTCTGATTCTCAGAGGATTTAATAAAGGGATCAGCTGTGACAGCTGCTCAAAAGTTTTATTGAATTTTTCAGTAATATACTGAAAATGCTCAAAATTTTGAAGAGTTAACAAGATTTTTGGTTGATTTATTCTCTCTTAGTGCAGTTGTACTGGCAGAAATAATTGCATGTTGTTCACTTTTAAAAGTGTAAATGTTCTGTGCATATGTGATGATATAATTGAAAAATGATTATTGACAAAAATCGAATGCCCATGCAGCAGATACACATGCGTACATTCAGCTTATCTATGGTCCCTGATGGTGACGGATGTTGCTCTGGTAAATGAATTCCTTTCTTTTTTTTCCACCAAGTGTAGGTTACTACTTTGACAGTCACTGGAAATCAAATTTAGAAGCTTTGTAGATATTCACATTATAATTCACACACAAATTTTAAGTAAACTATCATTAATTTTTCATTTCATTCCTATTATTGACTAAACCTTTTTAAAACAAATTCACATCATTGTGACATAGTCAGGTGTCTATTTTATTACACTTAGTCTATTGGACATTAAGGTAAATTATTGTATATTTAATGAGCATAACTCATCTGCAGATTTAAGCATAACATTTTAGAAAGCTTGATATACAAAAAAATGTAGAAAGTCATTTAACTAAGTAATCAGCTGGGCAAGTGTCATGGTTGTTTCTGTTAGCTTACATTTTAATCCATGAAAATTAGTTTTTAATAAAAAAGTATGGAATTTTACTGCAGCTATCACACAGGGAAAAAAATGACATTTTCTCAAAATGTGTTTTGCTCATACTCTGAACCACTTCAGGAGCACTTCCATACACCAAAGTTCCAATTTTATTCCTATTTATGTTCTGAGGGGTTTGTTCATATATCATTTATAAGCTGACTTATAGAATAGTTTATTTAAAAAAAAAAAAAAACATGGCAAACACTGTTTTAGCCACCACAGACTCAAGTTTTGCCATGCCACACCACAAACAGTGAATCACCTTAGAGGGCTGCACACACACTCACAGAGCTGGACTTACATCCATTACATCCTTTCCTTCTGGGATAAATAAAGTATTTTCATTTCATTTCATTACTACGACAGTAATTTTGTGTATAGGGATGAAACTTTCTCTAAAGAGCTCTGGAGACAAGTGGTACAGACTGCTTAACAATGCAGCGCTCACCAGACCCTGCAGTAAACAGAAAGAAAGAAAAAAGAAAGAACGAAAACCCTGGATGGACATAATGTGAGGTTTCAAATACAGTGTTAAAAGATTACGTTAAAAAAATTGAGGAATAAGAAAAAAACTTTTTTTTAAAAATGTCAGCAAGGGAGCAGTGAAATACTGCAACATTCAAAAACTGTAAAAACAATAAAAATAACAGTAAATATCTCAAGAATAATGATATTTTAAGCTAATTAAATGCAGTAAAACAGTGTCATTTTACTGCCACGCACTGTAAAAATTACTACAAATTCCTGTTTGTAAAAATACAGATTTTTAATGTGAACAACATGTACAGTTTAGGCCTATTTTATAGTTTGTTTGTTTTGTTTACAGTTACCGAGTAAATTTTTTTTCTTTTTTCTGTGGTTTGGAATTCAGCAATCCAAAGAATATCTAGGTATAAAAAGTATAAATCATATTGCCATGTATAAAAAACCCTAATATACATACATTTCCTTATAAATAATGGCTAATATCTGAAAATAACACTATTTTTTGCTGATGATTTTTTGTGGATATTATTTACAGTTTGGAATTTTTTCTAGTTAATGAGTAAATGAATACTTTTCCCCTGTTGTTTTAGTGTCTGTAATTTAATATAACAGGGAAAATATGTAAAATAACAGTAAATTGTTTTTGTTTTTTTGTTTGTTTTTTTAATAGCGTAGGTGGGATGTCCTGAGCAGAACATGGTCATTTTAAACTTGCTTAATTAAATGTGTAACTATCTTTAGGATTCATCAACGCTTAATGACGCACATATTTAGCATCTGTTCTAGAGTTTACTCGATTGAAAGTTACATTAAAAAAAGATTCTTTTACTGCGTATGTGCGCTCGTGTACTTGTACAGGACAGCCTACATCTGCACATGATAAGAACGACAGACCAAATTAGCCAAGTTGCAAACACAACATTAGCCAAACTGCTAACATAACATTAGCCGAATTGCTAACATAACATTTGAATACAGCTGGACTAACTTAGCTTTTATCTTTCAAATGACAAAACTATTGCGTGTGCCATATGTAGCTGTATATTTATTTATTTTTTGGCTAGCTCCAACCGTCATGTTAGCAGTTTGTCAGGGCTGAATATCTCTACAACTGTCAGGTGTCAGTGGCGCCATAATTGGTGTCATCTTGAACACACATACCTGTCGTACTGGCGACGTGTAATGGCAGTCTACCTTCATACCTGCTGTGCTTTAGTCGTGACTCTCATTCCCCCTTAATGATGTTATCAAATAAACGAAGCGAACACACTCCCTCTCGTCCAACTCCTCCCTCTCCATATCGCCCTCCCTCGGATTTCTTTTTTTTTTTTTTTTTTTTTTTTTAGCAAATCTGTTATCTGCTGTGTGTCCAGTCTGTGTTGCAGCCGAAGCCAATGTAGTTGCTGCTAACATATCAGCACCCAGACCCGCTTCTTTCTTTCACTCCGCGGCTTGCAACACGTTTTTTTTTTTTGTACCTGCTTCGATTTCCTTTTTCTTTTTCTTTCTTTTTAACTAGCGCCTGTTTTTCCCCACATGCTTTCCTCAAGACAAGGCAATGCCGAGTGCGTTACAGATCAAGACGGAAAATAACGACGTTAATTTCGAAGGAGACATTTGATCCCGGATCCGTTTGGACTGTAAACAGGTAAGAGGCTCAGCACGTCTGGCGCAGTTGCAGCAATATCAATGCAGCCATTTGAACAACTATTTCTTCGCATTTAATCCACGTTGCATGCATTTAAAATTGCCTGTTGCGTTGCCTCTCAAAGCTGCCTTTGTTGTTGGTACATACGGGCGTAAATGTGGTGCTACACATAGGCAAAACAGTAATAACATTTACATGCTTTGAGCAGGTGTGTCTGCATGCAAATAGCGCTGTTGTCATAGTTTAGTCTGCACAGAGGGGCTTGGTTTAGTCTAACGTGCAGGCTTTTACTGGGTGTCTTCACCGCGCCAGTGTTTTAAGTACAAGTTGCGGTCTTGCTAGAGAGTGAAGTGCAAAAAAAAATCAATGTGAAATGACTTTCTGAGCTACTCTGTTCACAGTAAATCCATTACACCTGCAGGCTGCAACCCTGGTTATCTGGCTGCATGTGTGCAGGATTTTGCCACACATGCAGTCAGCAGTGCAGAAGGCTGAGTGTTGTCCTTGTGCGTCCTGTAAGGGGTCAGACACTCACGCCACCATGCCACACTGTGTTGTCACTACTTGCCTACAGATACTGTATGCCATTCTTGTGAATGTGTTGCCATCATCCTGGCTCGTATTACCAATACAGCCAGTCAAGACAGGTTCACTCTCCCTCCAGACTGTGGACTCTGTACCAGTCTAGCTAGTTTTTCTTTACTTAATATAAACCCAGATAAACTGTCAAGCACACACACGCACACACACACACAAGGGCATGCAACACCATTTCCCACAAAACCTGTTTCCCCTCTCACACAGATACATGCTGACTGCTCGGCATCTTTTATGGCACAAATAAAACCAATCGCCAACACTGCAGCAGCAATAACAAATCAAAAATGTAACTCCTGACAATATGTTATTGGGTCGACTGTAATATCGACCATTTTTCCACGCAGTTAATTTTCATTATCTCACTACAGGGATGTGAAACTCCCAGCTCAAATCTGGGGAAGTGAAATGAAAGCTCCAAGGCCCGTACTTTATTCAGTCTGATTTAAAACTTCAAATGAAACAAGCAAGTTAAGCTGCATTGTTCCAAGTATTACGTTTTGTTTAGGCTGTGTTGTCCCTGTATGATGAAATCAGCTTGTTGTATGTTTGCTTGAATGGGAGCTGTGGTGCTTTAATGAGCTGAAAAGATTACTGATACTTAACCTAATTACTTTGCTCCCTCTCTCCAGCTTGCCGGCTTTCACTCTCAATGTGATTTATGGATCGTTCACCTTTTTAATCAATCACCTGCCCATTGATGTTGGCCTGTTTTGCACTCGTCCTTGTCACTGCTCTCAAAAGAGTTGTCTGTTTACTGAACTGTGACACAGAGATAATTTAGATGGAGATCAGATTTGTGTTTTCACAGCTTCGGTGTTTGTTCCACAACTACCTGGGCTTCTGAAAATGGAAATCACCAGGCTTTTGGGAATGGGGAAACTCTAAATTAAACAAAAAAAGTCCCACAGGAAACTCACAGATTCTCGTGTGAAACTAAACTGATCTGGGCTAAAGGGTTTTTTCCAGTGTCTATTAAAAGCAGAACTCTATTGTTTTATGACCCTTTATGTAATAACCTCTCAGTCATTGGAGTTCATCTGAATGGAGTTCAACATCTTTTAGTAACTGTAAATCCAACCTCAACTTCTTTCAATATTTCAGCTGTTTCAAAAATCTCAACTGCAGATTACTCAGCCATGAGCACACATATGTTCCTCAGAGGAGAATTCACCTCATCCTAGTTGTTAATTTCTTTTGTTCTCACTTTAAACCTGCAGTAATAACCAACCATTTTCCTGTTAACACATTTGCCTAACACTCTTAATATAGAACAATTCAAAATAAACAGTAGAGCATGCTGAAGTTTTAAACCACCAAAATTGTTAAGAAGCACTTAAAATATTCCCTCGCCTATATGATGATTGTGCAAACTGTTAATGTGCCTCGGTGCCTTTCACTGAGTGCGTATCTGACAGCTTTATCGGTATAAGGCCACCTATTAGTGTGAGGCGACAAGGTGCAGGGCTGTCTGTCGAAGTGGCACCCAGCCTACACACCAGCCATAATGCAGACGTCAGAGCTGCGCTGAAGGTTACGCTGTCGGTAGCCCTTTGGTGCACTGTGTTTGATGAGGAACGCAGTGCGCTGGAGTCAACAGCAGCCGCCCTCGCCTGTCCTCCTTACACTTCACCCAGCCTTGTTCCACCTACATGTTGACCCCCACCTGCTGGCTGCCGGAGCCCCTCGCCTTCGCTACAGACACCTGGAGGACAGGCAGCGGTGTAATGACTGCTATAACTAGGACACTCTGTTTCTATTCACCGTGCCGCATCCCTGCATACGGCTGTCTATGCTGCATTGTAAAGGTCGGGCAAGTTCAGTAGGCCGAGATTATTTCTGCACAAAATGTACACTCTGGCTTATAATGAAGTGGGAATACAGGTGGTAGGTTCTAAGTAGATCTGCGCACTAGTGCTGAAACTGTTTGCCAATTAATTTGTGGATTGAGAAAAACGATTAATCTGCAGCTATTTTGATTATCCAAAAATTATTTTAATCCTTTTGTAAAGAAATGCTAAAAAAAATGTTTTGCTCCAGCTTCATCCTAGCATCCATAGCTAAGCCTTATTTTCATCTTTCTTATATGTGTTTTGTTTTTAATTCATTCATCAGTGGACAGCACTGAGATAGCTGCTGTGTGTGGGCTGAAACTGCACAATAACAACCTTAAGCATGTAGCATCAAGCTCCTCTCTGCTGATCAATACTTAACTATAAGAGCATTTGAAGCTAAACCTCTCGTTCTGTTTTTTTCCTTCTCAGTATTTTCAGTTCACCTGCCTCTTAATTATTTGCTCCTCGGCTGTTTGTTCTGCATCTTCTGGCCTCCTCGTGTTTGATCTCTGCTCTGGACCGTAGTGTTGTGCAGTGTAGCAGCTTGGCAGCAGATGCTTCATTCCAAACTAAAGGCGCTTTATTCCGAAAGAGGACTATCGCTTGAAAAAGACTTCTGATTAGGACATAAAACATCACGTAAATGCAAGTGAGCATACTTTACTTAATGAAGCTGTTTGGTTTTGTACATTTTTGGTCTATCTTTGTTGGGTTGTTTTAGTTTGTGAAATATTTGAAGACACAGTCGTCTATATGTTTTTTTTCTAAACTTTAGATATTGGGCAACTCTTGTTTGCATTTTGGAATTAAGTTCAAAATTTTCATGTAGGTAGTTATGTGCTTTGGTGTATCAATCTGACGAATGTGTGGATTAATCCTATGTAGGGCTCAATGATTTGTGGAGAATATCTCATTTAGATTTTTCTGACTGCTATTGTGATTTAATTTGGGATATAATTAAAAAGAAAAACAAGCTTTAGTTCAAAATTTCTCATATAATAGATTTAATACATGATGGAACATTACCACATCCAAAGCGTGACTGTCATACAAGGAGGACGGCATTAATTTGTAAAACCACTGACACGACAGTTTAAACCCTGGGAGAGACATGCTGCGAAATGTACAAGATGTGGCTATTAAATAATAAGACTGTGCTTATGTCAGTAAAACCATAGCGCACCTGTCTGAGGAACGTTGCATACATTCAGCCGTAGGCACAAGTATAAAGAACCCCATGAAAGTTAAAAATCTCATTTAAAAACCTAAATACAGCAGTAGTTTTATTATTTATTTGCTACATCTCAGATATCCTAAGTTTCAGCCTTCTTCATTTGCTAATTGCATTGTTTCAAATTGCAATTTCAATTTTAAATTGATTAATTGGTGAGCCCTAGTTACATAGTGTACTTACACAATGGAGTCAAACAAAACTCAAAGCTCAAAAATGACAATTTTTTTAGACATGGTAGTGTCCTAGCTTCAAAGATCGCAATGTCAGTCTGTCAGCATGTCAGTCTACTTTGGTCCAGGCTGAAACAGCAATTTTTTAATGAATTACCATAAGATTTTGTACAGAAATGCATAGATCCTAAACGATGACTCCTAACTAGTTTAGTGATTCTCTGACCTTTACTCTGGTGCCAAAAAGAGGTCAACACTTTCGGTTTTTAGTTAGTGTTTTTGCTAAATGTCAAACACTTGCAAAATGAACTATCAAATATTAACACACAATGCTAAAACGTTAATCATAGTAAAAAATATATATACCTGCCCAATAGGTGCATATTAGCATTGTCAGTGTAAGAATTTTGTCATGTGAACGTTTGCACTTAGTTCAAGGCACTACTGGACAGGTACAGCCTTCCAGAGCCAACAGCATGTCTGTAGACTCCTGTTTATGTGATTCAAAGTACCTATAAGTAGTTTTTTAGCACTAGTATGCAATAAAAGTCATGTCCTTTTCCATGGTCCTAAATTTCTGCATGCAGAGGCAGAGTGGCAACACCCATTAATGAGTAACTAATTAATACAACTTAATTCCTAACTTGAGTGTCATGTCTACTAGTTTGATATCTCTCCCAGCTTGTTCTGTTTGTTCATGAACATGTTGAAACAAAAACAATCCCCGAGTTGGCATGTCACATTTAACCTACTTCCACATTATTCCACAGCACGATTCCTCTATTTTTAACTGTCCCCTTTGTCTTCCAGTGTCTGATAAGGCCCTGATAGAGACCAAAGGCAAAGATAACAAGGAAAGGCTTGGTTAAACAGTTGGTCAAATTCCTCGAAGGCAGAGTCATGACAGTGTATATTAGAAAGTGAAAGGTCATTCCTGTGTATATCCAAAGGTACTGGATGCAGCATACACTGGAATGGCTTTGGAGGAGGGCCAGTATTGCTACGTGGCTTTCCAAGAATGGTTGTAATGGCAACTGTGCGCCATTTGGTGTCTGGCGTGGTGAGAGCGAGGAGAGGAAGTGAGGAGCGTTGCTGAGGAGCATTTTGATGATGTGGGCTGCATATTGCTGAGCTGCATCATCAGGGCGTGCGTAAGCAAAGGCGCCTGACACTGATGTGGACCTGAATGCAGGACAGGCAAAGCTGCAGGAGGAGTGCTTGTCTTGTCCCCCCTGAGAAAAGTTCCTATCGATCTGTAGGTAGGCTGGGAGGAGGAGGAGGCACAGACAAGCATAATGGTTAAGCAAGCAAAGCAGTTGCTGTACCTGCTCATCTCTCATTCCTGCCTCTTTTTTTTGGCTGGGATGTGTCTTTGTTCTTGTGTTTGAAGGTGGGTGCATCAATTCAGTTCCCACCTCCCCCTTATCCCTCCTTCTCCCACTCCGCTGCAGTGTTCTCCTTCTGGGCTGTATCTGCATGCTCTCACACACACACACACACACACACACACACACACTCGTTCCCTCACACTCCCCCCACCCCCCCGTTGCTTCCTCCGTCTGTGTCTGCCGCCATCAGACGCAGGGACTGATAATATCTGCTCCAACGCCCTCTCCTCCTCCTATTTTTTGCACTCCTCCTCTCCTGCATCTTGCCTATTGTTTATTTGTTTTGTGCATTAATGTGCTACAGCAGATTTAATGCGGGGCAGTGTTCCTTTTCCTTCATTTTGGCAAAGTCCAAAATGCAGTTTCGACTTTTCCTTCCCCTCACTGATTATTATCAGTATTCACTTAGTGTCCGGACACGTCACTCTGCTCCCTGAGAGTGAGCTGCACAGCAGGCTGCATGCATCATCCTTGCATCATACTGCAGTACAGTCCACTGTCTGAATGAGACACAACTTTCTCCTCCACGTCTGTGAGAAGTCCAAACTGTTTGGCGACAGCTCGGAGCTGTTGCACAGTTTGAATATTAGCATGTGGCTCAGCCATGACTGCCATGACTGTGCTTGTACCAGTGAAAAAACCGAGAGGAACAAGGACAGGCTCTGTGAAGGGAGGAGCCTCGTTCCAAAACGCTTCGTCATTGGCCGGTGATGTGCCCTGCCTGCCTGTAAAAGTCTGCCTGATTGGCTGCTGCTTTGCATTGAGCACAGCAGCTGCAGTTGTGAAGAACTACCCCTTCTCTTTCTGCCCTGTCTCTGCTTTTCCTACCTCTTCCCTTCTCATTAATAACTGGGAATCATCTGTGTTGACCACATGTGCCAGCCTGTGCCACTTCAAGGACGCCACTTTTCACTGTATCTGGCAGCATGATTCATGTCAAGTTGGTCAATTACTTTCTGCTCTGTGGAGCTCACGGGAGTTGAAGTGACGTCTCTGTCCTGCCTGCAATCTCCCTCCATCCTCTCTCTCTCTCCCTCTCTCTCTCTCTCTCTCTCTCTCTCTCTCTCTCTTTTGTATCACTTAATCAAGACATAGCTTGCCCTTTCCTGTTCATTGCTGCCTCCCTCCCTCCTGTATGCTCTGCTCCCCTATTTGTTTGCCCTCGCTTTCTTCTCTTTGGCTCTTTTTGCTTCCACCCTCCTGCCTCGTGATCCTCATCACTCTCCGTTTCAGCAAGCTCCACACGAGGTTGTAGCTTTACATTAACAACATTTTCTCCTCAACAGGCTTCTATTTTGCTAATGCCTTAATGTTTGCTGTTGTGTTTTTACAATCCACAGCAAGGCAACGAGGAAGGACATGCAGCAGAGAGGTCAGTGAGGAGGATGACAACAGAAGAACGGTGAAGAAGGGATGAGAAAGAGACTGAAGTAAAAGGAGGAACTCCAAAGTGCCTACTTCGAGGGTTCGTCTTGCCGAATCTGCTGGATTACAGCAGGACAGGGCTCAGTGTGTGTTTGGCCTTGAATGGAGGCTATATTTTATCCTGACAGCCACAGAGTCATCCATCCCACGTTGCTGAGCTGCAGCCCCGACACACTCTGAACTGAGCCGCCACCTCGTCTCATCATTGGGAAGGACATCTCGGTGTAAGGCTCTGCTTTTTTTTTTTTTGCTCTACAGAAATCATTTTAGCTTCTCTGTCAGGCAGATATAACTATAGCAGAGCCACAGTGACGGCCTCAGCCTCGGCCATGTTGACGTGAATGTAACAGTGACTTGCAGTGAGTGTCAGCTGATACAGGTGAACGCACAGACACTCAGCAACATATCCAGGCATGCCAGAGTGATGTGCTCACAGTAGTTTTTTTTTTTCTTTCTTCTTTTGAGGCAGAGCTGGCCTCTGCTCACAGTCAACCCCTCTATCTCACCCCTGTGAAAACTTCAGCTGCCACTTTTCCCAGGAAGAGCTAATAAACATCCCCCAAAATACACCAACCAAAAGGACTCGCTGCCTGTTTGCACTGAGGAAAAACCGAAAATATTTCTGCGTCTGTTTCCTCTGTGTTTTTCTGGGGACTTTTTTTTTCTTGAATCACAATTAGTCACCATTGCTCTCATCAGACAGTTTTCCGTCCATTTGCCCCCTCCTGCCACTCAGTGTTTGTGAGCGTCTCTGATGGCCGTCAGCATGACCATGGGGCGAGACACCAAATGGCTGACCTTGGAAGTGTGTCGTGAGTTTCAGAGAGGCACCTGCTCGCGGTCTGATGCCGAGTGTAAGTTTGCACATCCCTCCCGGAGCTGCCATGTGGAGAACGGCCGAGTCATCGCCTGCTTTGATTCACTCAAGGTAACAATGCAACAGACATTACGCACATCGGTCCCTGCCTTATTACAGCTTGTTTGTTTCCATGTGTTCATTATGGTTCATGTGAGGTTCGTTGATGCCTTTTAGCTCTCTTCTATTATATATTTATGTTATGGATGCAAACCGGGGTTAACTGTAGTGTTTTTAGATGGGATAAACCACTTTTAGGGAAACAGAAAAGATCTTGTTTCTCACTTCAGATGTAATATATATCATATAAAGATGTGTCAGGATGCAGGCGGCCTACCCTCTTATTTAAACAATATCCTGACGGAAACCTTGCAAACTGTGTCAGTTGGTCAGCTGATGCATTTTAATTTTGTTTTACCTCCTAAATAGCAAAGTAAATTGAACATAAAAAAAAATACAGTAAAAAAAGCCACATATACCTTTGAGTGATTTTTTAAATTCAACTGAAAATTACAATTTTGACCTGTCACCATGCAGTCTAAAGCCATGAGTGTTAGTGGGTGACATGAGTCACTTTTCATGATTCAACATGTCAAACTTTAATGTGATTTTTTTTTTCTCATGACGTGACTGCATTATAAAGACTACTTTGGAATGGACAGAAAATGTCTAATTGAGGGGAGGACATATGAGTCAATGCCATGATTGTAGTGGATTATTGGATATACATTTTCTGTGCTGTCATCATATTAAATGTTGTCTTTCCTCCAGAATCCATATACCTTCTCTTAATCCATATCAGTTTTGAAATCATAAATTACATAAAAAGCAAACAACTTCATCTTGTAATTTTAGCTTTAAAATACAAAAAATATCTATTTTTGCTTGTGTTTACCCAATGTTTTACGAAATGTGGATTTCTTTTTTTTTCTTTATTATTTATCTTTTTTTTTTTGAAATGCAAAGAGTTGAATCTTTTCTCCACTGACAAATGAAAACTGTAGAAGCATGGCTTGTGATTTTTTACAAAAAAGGCTGTGTTGTGTGTTAGTGTTCAACTGATTTCATATTGTAAACAGATTTATTATTTTTATTATTATTATTTCAAGTTTTATTTCAGAATAAATATGGGCTGGATGGACAACTACCAAACATATCTGAAACTAGACTTGGTTCTCACTGTGCTGCTAATTAGCTATTTTTTGGTGGTTACATAAACAGCATTAGCTGTGAGTTCTCTTGCTAAGCCTCCTTACTGTTGCCTATACGTATATTTTAATACTGCTGCATTCATTTAGAACTGAAATCGAACACGTATATCATAGGTGTCTGCAGCCGTGGCATGAATCATGATATTGGTGAGCTGTATTCTAGCCAGACCTTTGATTTCCTATAACTAAGCACATATAGATAACAGCATCAGAAGGACATCTCTGGTTATGTTATCAAGATATTTATTGTTTCCATTTGGCCCCAGACACACGTAGTTTCTCGTAAAGCTGTCCTGCTGACAGTCTGTTCCTCCACCACGGCTGATGTGGGCTAGTCGGTCGTGCTGCTTCACCATCGCTGCAGCTGCTCTCCTCCGCCACAGAACCACAACACTGCTCACACACAGTGGAAAAGCAGTCCGAGAAGAAGCGGTGTATTGGATATTAGAGGAGCTTCGGCTATCAATGGCCAATTATGCTAAAATCGAATAGACTGTTGCTGTGTCGACGTGTGCGTTTGTGGGAGATTTTGCTCCACCAGCTTTCCTGCAGCGAAAAAGTGCGACCCAGACAAGGGGCTTTCTGTCTGAGTGCAGCTGCTGTCTCCTTGTTTATTGAGTTAGAATTTATTATTCAGCCATTTTTCTGTGTTATGTCCTCCTGAGCAGGGGGGAGATGGAGAGGAGAGAGAGAGAGACAGAGAGAGGGGGCCTAGCAACAGCACAGGAGTGCGTACCCATTGGATAGTTTGATCTTCCTGAGTGGCACGGCTGTTTTTAGCACAGAGCAACAGCCTGGCTCTGTACTGGTTGCATCGACAGGAGAAAGAGGCGAGCGGCTTTATACCAAAGGCAGTGAAGAAGCATTAAAGGCCACGTTTGGCTGTTTGAAGCCTCAGGGGTCATGTTGTTGGTTTGAGAGAGAGCTGGAAGTTGGTGACAGCTGAAGGTCAAAACGGTTTTTTTCATCAGGGGTTGCAGCAGTGATCTGGTGCCAGCACAGTGTGTCAACAACCATTTCTTTACTTTCTGTCCTCGCTGTTGTTTGGATTATACTCAGCTGACAGTTTCGAGAAAAAACAAAGAAGCACCACGTCCCCAACAGAGACGCTCCACAGCGTCGCTCCTTCCTCCTGCTCCCCGCCCACCCCTCCTTCCTTTGTTAATTTTATGGATTTATCTGCTAATGGCTTCCCTCCTCACCATCCCTCCCATATCTGGCATCTCCAGGCCGGTCCAAGCCGACCGCTGTCATTCCCTGTTGCTCCTCCATTAGCTCTGTCTGGTCGGTCTGAACCTGCTGCAGGGGAGGGAGGGGGGAGCTCACGCTTAGTTCTTTTTACCTTGTTAACTGGAGTGCTGCTGTCATCTCAAATGATTAGTGTGGACATCACATCTGCCCACCATCCTGCTTTTCAACATACGCTCCATTCAATAGCAGTGGCACCTTTGAATGACAGCATTGTAGGGCTGCAGCTAACAATATTTTAATTATAGATTAATCCGCTGAATACTTTGTGAATTAATTTTGGGGTCTGCATCAGAAAAAATATAACAATCCCCATTACGTGTTCTCAGAGACAAAGATGGCATCTCTGTCAGATTAAAAGCAGGAAAACAGAAGATCTTCACACCTGAGAGGCTGGAAATTTTGGCATTTTTTTCATAACTTGCATGTTTCAGCTAACATTTTCTAATTAGAACTAAACATAGTGTATTCCTGTGGCTGTTGTCATTAGTTTTTCAGGTATATAGCTGTAAATACATAAAAGAATTTATCAAATGGAAATTTGGACTTATACACCAAAGTGATTCAGGATTATTACCTGAGGATGTCATGTGACTTACAGATTTCCTTCCCCCCAACATCTGTGTTTCACTCGAAATATTATGACGTTACTATTAATAGACGGCCATATAATAACTGTTGAGTTTGGTGTTACCACATGCTGCCCTGCATATCTTCCATCTCATCTGCCTTTTTTCCCTCTTCTGATAGATTTTATCTTTCTGTGAATGGATCTCCATGTTGTTTAACTCATGAGCCTCCTGAATTTGCACCTAAAGTCTTGTCCAAACTTTCTGCTTTGCTAACGCAGCCTCCAGAATTTTAAAGCACAAATTACATAGAAGTGCAGAGTACAAAAAAAATAAAGTAACTGAGAGGTTGATTGGCACAATACTAAAATGCTTGGTAAAATATTGTAGGGAATTTGCGGGGGAATTTTACCTTTACAGAATAAGCACATAGTAGATTTGCATGGGATTTCCCACGACTTTCTCATACCCTTCTGCATTTTCAAAATCATTTTTGCAACGTTGAACAACAACCTTGTCTGAGCTAGAACCTGCGCTCCTTCACCTTTACATGAAGATTCAGATCATGCAGTAAGGCGGGCCTGTTTGAGACTTTTGATAAATTAGCCATGCAAATGTTCCACCAAAACAATTCCCCTGTCACTGTCTTGCAGGAGCTCTGTCACTGCATCCTGGGCTTAGCACCACCCAAGAAAACTGTGTTTGGTTAAAGGAAATGCAAACAATCCAGAGCGTTTTTCCTGTGTAGCCGAATAATAATGAGATGCAGTCAGACCATTTTGCAGCACTGTGGAGATCATAGATGACCTTCACCATTATTACGAATTACTAAAGGTCCCTAGGTAATACTATTCCCTTGTGAATAGAGCTATAATCTAAGCATCAAGGATATCTGTATCAAATACTGTCCATCCAGTAGTTGTTGAGATATTTTTAAAAACACAAAATATCAGCCTCACAGCTTCTGCACACCCTGAATGACAAAATTTCATTTTAGAAAACTGCAGTTCCTAAAATTGCTCAAACAATAAATACAGTTGCATAATTCTTGCAAGCTAAATTTCTCTCAAATTGATCATTTGAAAAATGATTTCATCTTAATACAGCTATAAAAATGTAAATGTATGCAACAGTGTAGATCTGTGCAGAGATCCTGCTCATCGACGTCCCAGCTCCCTCCTCTCACTGAATGCATCAACAACACTCTCCTCTACGAACAGGGACTTTCTCTCTGTTGCATAGTGGGTTGCTATGGCTACCAAAAGGATATTCCTGACCCAGTACTCTCCTCAGCACCGCTTTTCATTGGCCTTCTTCTCTACCACAGATTTTACAGCTTTTATAAAGGTTTTGTGTCTGTATGCTACCAGAGCACACATTCAGATAGTGATTTAGTCTAAATTTACGTTTAAAATGCGCCTTCGGACTCATTAAAAGCTACTTTTCGTATTCTCTGAGTTGGAGCAGGCGTGCTGGGCTCATGGGACTGTCTCTTCATTACAGACTCATCCCTAAACACACACCTCGCCGATGCAAAGCTTGCTCGCTTCTCCAGTGTAGGCGAGAGTGTTTGTGTAAGCCTGTGTACCACCCTGACGGTTTTTCGGCAGGCTGCACCCTTGCTTGCTTGTATTCTATTTGTCTGCCGTGTGAAGTTGTGTAAATGGACGCCGGCATAAGAGACACTGCGGTTTCCTCTCCTCTTGTGTAGTTCTCCTGCTGTGAAACCCGTTTTTTATGTGTCCTCCTCTCAGCGCGACATCATCCATCACCGTCAGAGTCTCTGCACCATGACGTCATTTTGTCTTCAGACTTTTTTATGTTCCTTTGCTTTAGTGCTCATGATCACCTAATGCCAGCTGGTTTGCGTGGGTGTGGTTTGATGACAAAGCATGTGGCTGACGCTCAGTGGAGGTAGTTTAGCAGGTTAACAGCTCATCTGCAGGGGCAGACAGCTGCTGTCGGCCCAGGGGTTTAATGAAGACTGCAGTTTCTCCTCTGAATGCGCGTTGACCTGCACTGTTCCTGCAGCACCATCTTCACCTTCCTCACAGTCTGGCAGAGAGGAAGGACACTGCTTTAATGACATTCTGGGGCAAAATGAATTGGTTTTAGACAAATGGCTCAAAATTTGATTTAGTGTTTGTCAAGAAGCCAGAAGTGACAAGTTAAAAGGAGCATGAAGAATGACTTCTGATCACAACGGCTTGTGGCGGTGGTTGCTGATGCTGGATACGTCTCAGGTGGCTGAAATACAGAATTTTTACAACCTATGTTAGAATTACGTCATTCAAATATTTGTTTTGGATGTAAAACATTTAGCGCTAAACTGATTGGTCGAGTATGTTTATTAACAAAATAGAAAATTAAATGGTTAACACTAGGTTTGACAGGCATGTTATCTTTTTAAAAAAAATATATATATATATACAACATTAATGGGAGCCAGAAACTGTAAAAACATAAAGAACCGTCACATTTTTAACTTTCTGATGTACCTTCAGCTAATCATGTATGAAATGCTGTTCTGTTGGGAAAATTAACTAAATCTAAGCTAAGAGTCATGATATTTCATGAAAATCACTTTATATCACATGGAACATTTAAAAATGCATAAAAAAATAACCATTTACTCTAAATAGAAGCTAAATAGAAGATTTATTTTTTCTATAACGAGTAACTGAAAAAAAATCTACAAATAATTTGATAATTGCCAAAGACAACACGACTGGCAGTTAATAGTTGCATTGAAAGAAATATTATGTTAACCACTGAGTTAATCTTTTAGAGTCTGAGTTTTTTAGAGAATTTGCTGTTTAATTAGAATCTATTATGAACAGCATTTGATTTGCCCAGCTATGTGTAAGACTTTATTAGGTTATGGTCATACAAACGGTCTGCTTTCATTCGTTAAGTGTTCGTGTACTGAATCAAGATTTGCATTCAGATTCAAATAGAGAAGCGTTGATTCACATAAAACCAACAGCAAACTATTGCTGCAGAATACAGCAGACATGTCCCCTGCTGCATTTGTTTAGCAATAGTAATGAATGGTGTTCTGTAACCATTTGATTATCATGTCTAACAAATCTTTGTAGTTCAGGTATGTTTTTCATAATTCACTAGTTATGTGGACACAGTATTCCAACAGAAGCATTCATGCCTATGTGATTTATTTAGAAAAACTTCATATCAGCTAACCTCCCCCTCCTCATCATTTAGCAAGACGTTTCTTCACAGCTCCAGGTGGGTTGTTTAACTCTGTTCTGACCTACTGCAGGTGAGAATAAAGAAATACAGATCACAAGCAGAAATAGATTATGATGCAGAGCTTAATTTTCCATCCCTATATTGTATAACTATTTTATATATATAATACAGTTTTTCTCAAATAATGTGCCTCTGTAGTAGTTCAGATTTAATACATTCCAGCTGTTAGACGATATATTAAAAGTTTACATTCAAAAGATGTGACATGCTTGTAAATTGTCATTAGTGTGTGTAATTACACAGCAGTATGTCAAAGTGTTTAAATCAGCTCACCTTAGTTAGCTACACTATTAATATGATTTCTACACATGAACACATCAGTAATAATAATCTGAAAATTGGATTTTATCGTATTATAATTCTTTGTAACTTGCAGGAACTAATTTTCCACATTTTGAAGTTTTTATTAATACTTAATTTTCAGTTAAAAAAAAAAAAAATAAAAGGCTGGTAATACTTTATCTGAACCCCCTGAACCCCAAGCAGTTTCTGTTTTTTCTCCTGTCACATTTTGGCTCACTGTGGGCTCTTTTTTTTTTTTTTTTACTGCAATATAAGGCCCTGCTACTCTGTGAAAACAGCACAACCATTGCTAGAAGGACAGAGAAGTAAGAAATGTTTTTGTGCAGTATGACACAGTTAAAATGTCGTAAATAATAAAAAAGAATAAATAAAAGTTTAATTTCTTTGATTACTTATTTTACAAAAAATAAAATAACTTGCTTTTACCTTATGCAATATTTTTCCAAGTGCCTACATTTGTTACTAATACTGGAAAATTGGTGATTATTTGTACTATACATATTTAATTATACATAGAAATTTGTTTTTGTCACGTGACTGTTGGTTGGGGCTAAGTCACTACTGAGTTTTTTGTTTTTACAAAATCTAATTAATGCAAATGCTTTGCATTAAGCAACCATTGGGTGAAATAATTTCAAGTTTAGTCTTGGTTAAGTTCAGTTGAAACAGACCTGTATGTCACAGAGATGTAGTTCAAGGACCATTAGCAGGAAGAAATGGTGGTGTTTTGGTGATTTTTAAAAGATAACGTGCATTTCAACTTGCTGCTGGGTTTTGGGGTTTAGAGGAATAATCACAGCTGAGTCACCAATGAGTTGAACAGAGGAGGACAGAATCTTTGGCTTTTTGAGAATATGGTCAGAGCAAACTATTTATTTTTGGTGCATTTTTAAATGCAAAGAGAGGATGAGCTAGATGTGAAAATCTAACAATTCTTGTTTTACAATTTCTGACTGTGATAGATGATGTAATTTTTACAATGTTTTTTAAAGACGACATGTCTGCCACGCTTGCTGAGAGGTTTTGGAGTTTTGTGGGTTAAGTAGCGTTTTTTAGTGCAGAATTTTTATTGTCTTGTATTTTCTTGTATTATTTTGTAGGATGGCTTCTATTTCTTAATTAAATTTTCTGTATGCTTCCTATGCCAGCCTGTTTTTGTCTAGTACCACACAAACACACTGCATCCGTTAATCTCTTTCAGTCTTAAATCATATTAATTTAAAAGGCTGTTCCATTTAAAACTGCCTTAGCATTTCATTAAACAACACAGCTTCAGTGTGTATGCTGCAGTCACTTATGTGAATTTTTCTCTTTCAAGAAAGTAGGTTATTTTTTGAGCCAATATCGTCCAGGTGGAGATACAGAATCATTCGTACAGGACAGTGAGAGTTTAGCATATGCTTGAACTCTCCAGCTTTATCTCTGTGGTTTATTTTTCTGCTGTGCCACCGTGGAAAAATCCAAAGCTGGCTGAAAACGTTACACCTGTCATTTCACATTACTTTCAACAACAATTCATTAATGGCAACAAATAAAATGCAGTTTGATGAAAACTAAATGGCTAGAAGTTAGGTGAATTTGCTTCTTATTTTTGCACAATTAATTTGATTCTATACATTACTATATAGGAACAAGAAACAACTTTGAATGAGTGCCAGCACAATTTCTACATGTCTGTTCTTCTCAGATCAGAACACTTTCAGAAAGTGGTTGCACATTTCTCATGAATTATGCATCAGAAGGTCTTCTGGGGCTTCATTAGTACTTTATATCACCAGACTTTACAAGACCCAGTTCTTCTGAAAAAAATGCACTTGATCCTTGATGTTTAGTTTTACAAATTGTACTTGATTACATTTATGAGTGTTGTGCAGAACATAGACATATTACTGCAGTAAGCTGAGATTTTTATTATTCTTGGTGTTTGAGAATTCTGCCTCGAGAAACACCCCTGATTGATTTAGTTCCTCAATCACATTATTCTCGTCTCCCTGTTTTGTGTCACACTGTCTGCCTGCTCTGGACCTCAACTGTCTGGTCTCCTCTGTCCTCTTCAGGGCCGCTGCACACGAGAGAACTGTAAATACCTACACCCACCTCCACACCTGAAAACCCAGCTGGAGATTAACGGGAGGAACAACCTGATCCAGCAGAAGGCCGCAGCAGCCATGTTGGCTCAACAGATGCAGTTCATGCTGCCTGGAGCACAACTACAGCCCATAGTGAGCTAAAGCTTTTCAGTTTCTGCAGCATGTTTCAAGAAATGTCATTTATTTACCAAAATATTGCTGCTGCACTGTGTGTACTCTAAGTGATGCAATGAACTAGTAACAAGGGAGCAACTATTTTTTTAAATAAAATAATAATATTGGACTCCTATTAGTGATGACATCAAGGAAATAAAATGAGCAATATTCTATTATTTAAATATGAAAACAAAAGCTGCTTGTTCTGTTTTTTTATGTCACAATAGTTCAGATCGACAACACATGAAGCAAATTTTAAAGCAGCAACAGTGATGGTAGGAAATTCACTGACTATCAAGGGACACAAAATCTTTTACATATTATCCATGCTCAAGTTTTTATTGCTACAAAGAATAGCCAAGCTCTCATTAACTGCATTGTTCTTGTTGCTGTACAAATCCACAGTGCTGGTTATGTTAACACCAAATCTCCTAAAGCCGGCGAAAGCTCTGCCATAAATTGTCTCTCTGTTGTCTCTGCGGTTCTCTTTTTCTCTCAGACAACATTCCCAGTGACGCCCTCCTTGGCAACGAGTCCCAGTATGGCATTCAGTCCATATCTGAGCCACATGGGCCCGGCCATGGGCTTGATGCCTGAGCTGTTGCCCAGCACTCCCCTGCTGGTTCCTGGGAGTCCCACCAGTCTGGCAGCCATGGGCAATGGCACCTCCGCACAAAAACATGTGCGCACAGACAAGCTGGAGGTATGCAGCTGGCATGCAGTTGTTGTGTTTCTATGTTTGGCCAGAGTATGTTCGAAGGTAAATGTTGATCAGTGCGCCCGTCTGCCCTGCCAGGTTTGTCGAGAATTCCAGCGTGGTAACTGCACGCGAGGTGAGAGCGACTGCCGCTACGCTCATCCCCTGGAGGCTGGCATGGTGGACTGCAGTGAGAACTCGGTCATTGTCTGCATGGACTACATTAAAGGCCGCTGCAGCCGAGACAAGTGCAAGTACTTCCATCCTCCGGCTCACCTGCAGGCCAGGATTAAGGCTGCGCAGCACCAAGCCAGTCAAAACACAGCGTCCGCAGCCTTGGTGAGTCCTTCTCAGTGCTGTGACAGGGACAAATACTAAGAGCTATGTGTTCCTGATACCAGAAATAAACGTTAGTCATCGAGGTGAACATTTTCACATGATTTTCTGATATACAGAACCAGATAAAACAGAAAAACACAGGTATAAGCCAAGTCAACTTTCATTATGCCTGGTCAACTACAGACTGAACCTGTAGGTTGTCTTGTTAAGTACTTGCATATTGTTTACTGATGCAGTGAAGGATCAGGGTACCACAGGGTCCCTCAGCCATATTCAAGTTTGTTAGTCTGGGGATTATGTTTTTCATACATGTCTGCCACTGAACATGTGTCTCATGTGTCTGTGCTTTCAATAATGAAAGCTACTAGGGCTAAAGTTAGCATTAATCGGGCCATTCTGCAGTGCTGATGCAGAAGAACAAGAAGCAAAGTGTTGGAGAAAAGATAAAAAGCAGCAAAATGAAAAGAATTAGAAACACGATGCATTCAAGGTTGAGGCTTTTGTTATGTTGGTTTCTAATGCGTCTGCTGCTGAAATGCTGACTGCTGCTGTTGCTGCTATTCTGTATAGTCAGTGATGGTTCACATTTTAACCTACTGAATCCAAGATAAATCAGGTTGTATAGTAAAAATGTGTTCCTGGATCAGCCTGGTACAGTGATGTACTGTGTGTTAAAGTTGCTATCTATATTTCACTAATGTGAGTAAGTTATCTTGGTTATCCTCTGCTGCAGTTTGATGGTTCAGCACCGGCCCCATTAGAGAATGAAATCATAGCAATCCCATTTTGCTCTTGGCCTGACCTCTGGGCTGTCCTACATCACTTCAGCTAATCTTAGATACTGCAGTGCCCCCTTGTGGTGGTAAAAAGCCCCCGTGTCAACAGGAGTCTAAAGAGCCCTGACAGAGACTGCTTTATATTTACCCAGAGATGACACCAGGTAGTGGTTTGTGTTCCAGAGAAAGTGTTTACTGTTTATTCATCAGTGCCTGCAGGAGCCAGCGTTCAAAGATAAACTGTGTTTTCTTTCCTCTGGTTCTCTGACTGTTCAGGCTCTGCCTCCGGGGGCCGTGCAGACGCTACCAAAGAGGCCGATCGTAGAGAAGAGCAATGGAGCTGCTGCCACCGTCTTCAACCCCAGCATGTTCCACTACCAGCAAGCCCTGGCTAACATGCAGCTCCAGCAACCAGCCTTTATCCCCACTGGTGAGTCTGACTACCTCTGTCAAACACCAAGGACGCATCCTGGATTCATGAACACTTGATTCAGAAGTGCTCTGTGTAGCCAAATGCAAAGGTTAGATAACTGCAATGCTGTGGGTTTCAAGGAGTTAATAGTGTAGTGGTGACAGTATGCATGCTGTGTCTGTTCCAGGCTTCTTCGCAGTGTAGCTGCTCGCCTTTGCCCCTTCTATCACATTGCACTTCTCTTCTTTCCACTGTCTGTTGTGTTGCTTGCATCAGATTCACTCTTGCTTCACGAGTGATGGGCGCTATTAAGGCCTTAACCCTTTGAACCCCAACACCCGACAGTAGGTTTGAAGGCATTTTGTCGTCAATGAGTCGCCAAAACTATGTAATTTATCAGAGCCAGAAACTGTAAAAACAAAATCATGTGCTTGTGTGGCAAACCCTTTGGTCAACAAAAGTAATCAAACCTAAGCTTAAAATCTTGATACTTCATCAAAATCACAATATTTCAAATGTCTCATTAAAAAATTGGCCAAAAAATCAACAGTTTGCAGTAACCAGATTCTGTCAAAATCGAACAAAAAAATCCCTCAACAGTACAACTAGAAAGTCATTAGTGATGTGATTAGTGATGTTTGGAAACAAATTTAAAATATAAGTAGTAAAATATCAAAACCAAGTAGAGTAACAATTCAATTTTTTTCCAGCACTGGTAACACTTGTGGGCTCTTGGAAAATTGTTGCACATGTTGATTCCAGACTTTTTCAATGTTTGTAAAATAAATAATCAAAGAAATTCGACATTTTTCTTTTATTTATGATTTATAGCAATATAACTGTGTCATACTGCACAACAGACATGTTTTAATTTCTCTTCACTTTTGGTCATAGTTGCACTATTTCCATAGAGCTGCAGGACTTCATTTTTAGTCAAAAATGAAGCCACAGTGGGTAAAAATTTGTCAGGTGCAAAAATCGCTCAGAAAACGGGGTTCAGAGGGTTAAACAAGGACCCATGTTACAGCAACAAACACACCAGAATGCATTTATGAGGGAATGTTGGCGCATGGATTGTTAGGTGCATGCATTGCAGGTTTTATCAGATTGATTAATGGAGATCTTGGAAGTGCTTCGACTGCCGGTAAATTAAAGTAGCAGCTTTACATGTAAACAAAGAAAGTAAGACAGAACAGATGAACAAACAACGCTGCAATGTCAACCATATTAAAAGTCTCATGAGATGGTTCTGAATCATTGTTTTCATACAATCTTGCCTTAACATGAATTTTAGCTTGTTACTTTACAACAGGGGAGACTGATTTCAGTCATTTATTTGACATTAGAACTGACGTTATATTATTATATTTTGCTGGATGATCGAGCAAACAGATCAAGTTTCATTTGAAAAATATTTGAAAAAGAATTTTCTTGACGTATATTTTGCACATTTGGACACAAGGTATCAACACTGCAGGCATTTTTTATTCCATGAGAAATGTAAAGAAACTGTGGTTAGTGAAAGGCCTGAAGGCTGTCAGGCATGAATTATTGATAAGTCAGAGTTCTGCAGCCAAAACACCCACATACTGTACCTGCTCTGTGCTCCGGGAAGACTGTATCTGCTCATACACATTTGGTGTGCAGCTTTTTCCCTTCATTTCTTCAATATTTACACAATAATAATAATAATAATAATAATAATAATAATAATAATAATAATAATAATAATAACAATAATAATAATTGTAGCTTTGATGTCTTGTCTCCATGTCAGCAATAACAGCCTGTATCGGTGTGTCTTTGTGTGTTGGCACACTAACTGTCACTGCCTCAGTGTTGCTTGTGTTGCTGCACTAACCTGAACCTGCAGCTTTGACCTGCTGTTGCCAATCACACCTTTTTCTTTACTTGAACTCTTTGTCCTTGTTTTCTTTTTGTCCTTCTCTTGCTGTCCTTCTCATCTGCTCTCATCACTGTGTCCAAACAAAATGCAACAGATTCTAAACTGTCTGCGTTACTGGACCAGTAATGGATGACTGATTGGTTGGATTTGTGGACAACGTAACCATACTGGTTAGCATGTTTTTAGCCAAGCAACTACAACCTATGTATGTTTGACGGCACTGTCAACAACGCCTTAGTATGCAGGAATTTCTGTGTTTTTCAAGGCAAACTTGTTTTTATTCATACCTAAACAGTACAATTAACCTGAAGGAGCTCAGCACTGTCTTTTAGAATGTTTTCTTATGTTTGCTTGAAATACTATTCCCTTGGGAGAGAGCTGGCAGAAAATGGAGCGGGAGAGAAAGGTGGGGAGTGAAATGAAATGAGCAGGTCTGGCCAAATTCAAACTAGAGATGCTGCACTCTCTCATCTGCATCCAAGGAAGCTTCGACAATTAAAAATTGTGCTTTTTTTGTTTGTTTGTTTGCCTCTTTGGCTTCATTTTAGATAGCACAGTAGAGACAGAAAGGAAAGGGGAGGAAAGAGAGCAGAGGAATGACATGCAGCAGAAGTCTGGCCACCCAGGAGACGAAAGGAATAAAATATTTTTAGTAGTTGAATGAAATCAGAAGAGCAGAATATTGAGTTTAGAATAAAGAAACTTCATTTTCTGTCATTAAAAGGTTCCTCTTTGACACAGCTCAATCATAGACAAAGCAAAAACAGTAAAACAGTAAAAACATCACAATGAAGATGAGCTATAAATGCAAGCTGCTACTGTTAAAAGATGAGTTGATGAGGGTTAGGGAAGTGGTTCCTTATAGTGGCAGTCTGATGGTAGCAGCTGTGTGCGCGAGTGGAGCTCGTGACGGGGGCTTTTGTAATGATTCTGTGTGTATCGCTCAGGTAATAGTGTCTGAGTTGATCCAGTTCATTTACTGACCTAATTAGGGAAACAGGAGAGTTCTATATAAGCCCTTTTTAGACATAGGCAAAATAATATTTATGTTTTGATCAATCTGCTCAAGCAACGACATTCTGTCATTCAGACAACACTTATACATTAACATGCTTGACGGCTTCATTCAGACATACACACTATAGTGAGGGACATTTGTCATACATGCAGTACATTGGACAGTACATCAACTGAATCTGTAATAATGCAGTAGCAAACAAAAGACAAATTCTAAAATAATAGCAGGTTACAACCAACAGCCTAGTTTGTTATTGATTTCCTAAACCTCTAAAAATAAATTGTGTCCGTGTGTGATATAATCTAACTACTACTTTACCAACAGTAAAATAAAAACATCTCAACAGCTGTGATGAAGCTCAGGACTCGACGTCCACTGCGTAACAAATGATTTATTTGCAGACTAATTGCAAACTTCAACTCTGTGTGTGAAGAAAAGTCAACTGTGTTATTTAGCGTTGGATCGAGATCAATCCTGTCTTCATGTCGACTTAGAATTATAAATAATTAAGAAAGTTAATCGGTGATATTTCACATGTGTAAGCCCAAATAAACACAGCTCTCTTGCTTTGGAGACCCTCACGTGGATCCTGCTACGTCAGGTGTTTAATACACTCAGAGGAAAGACTCCCACAAACAGCTGGAAGCAACAAACCAAGCTTCACCTCCTGTCAACATTTTGTGAGAACCTGGATTACATTCGTTACTGATGAGCCTCATGAGTAAAAATGTTTTTATTTTTTAGTTTTTTATGGACATTTCATTTTGTAATAGCTGTTAAAATGTAGAGCAAAATGTACAAAAAAGGTGTTTTTAGCACCCAAACTGTGTCTTTTGCGCTCTGTGATGTTTATGGACCAATGTTGGTGCAAATGGGTAGAAAAGTTTCCCCATTTCCCCAAATACTTTCATGCAGCTTGCAGTCTGTTGTTTGTGTGTGTCTAACTGTTGATAGTATGCAGTACAGTCTTGTGCCACCTTAAAAGTGGTGGAAATGTGACTATGTCAAAACTGGTAAAATTGCTGCCGTGGCTTTTATGAAAAAGTGACCAAGTATCTCATTCATGCAAGTAGCTGAAACATTCGGTCCCTATCAGATAAATGGAAAGGAGTGCATGTATGAAAGTGGCTTTCTGTTTAATCATAAGATTATTGCACTCAGATGAAATATTGATAAAGATATTAAGTTGCAGATGTAGCTGTGGTAGTTTCTTTCCTGAGAAACATTTCTGTTTGCTGTCATATTTTTACATTTGTGGTCAATACAGCTTTAAAAGCTTTAGAAGAATAAATGGGCTCGACTTTTACGCCATCCTGTGCCGGAAAGAAACCAGTATTTGGTCAGCAGTTATGTAAAGTGTAGGCTGTGTTCTGCCAACTGAGCCACAGTTGCAGCTTTGATACCAGGATCCTTTAGTATATGTGCTAAACTGTACAAGCTCCAGCAACTGCAAAATGCAACTGTTTCCAGCAACCACACTTGCAGTTTCTCTAGGAATTGTTTATTGTAGCTGTTATCAAGAATTTCTCAGGAATAATAAAGTTCTATTTTAATATCCAGTTTATTTAGCTAGTCATGCTTTTAGTGAACAGTTCATTCATACATTTCAACTCTGCGTGCTCATGTGCTGGGCTGTTGCCACGCAGCAAGAAGGTTGCCGGTTCGCGTCCCGGTGCCCTCACCGGGATCTTTCTGCATTAAGTTTGCATGTTCCCCCCGTGCAGTGTGGGTTCTCTCCGGGTTCTCCAGCTTCCTCCCACAAGGTCCAAAAACATATTGAGGTTAATTGGTGATTCTAAATTGTCCGTAGGTGTGAATGTGAGTGTGCTTGGTTGTCTGTCTATAACTGTAGCCCTGTGATAGACTGGCGGCCTGTCCAGGGTGTCCCCTGCCTTCACCCTAAGTCAGCTGGGATAGACTCCAGCGGTGTATAGATAATGGATAATGGTGCTCATGTGCTGAATGAGCTCAGGCAGCTCAGGGAAGAAGGATGAGGGCCGGCAGTCGATGTGCCTGCTGTAAGGCTTCATGAAACCCCAGCAGAGGACCGTTGGGAAAGGAGGGAGTGGAGCAGCTGCAGGCAAAACTTCAGCCGTTTGCTGTTAGTGGCCAAACTCAGTGATCAAGTTATTCCCTCCAGGTCATCCCTGCACAGATCACACAGCTTACTCTTACAAAATCCCAGAAGCTAACAGGTCTGAACTGAGCTGAGTGCAGTTTTGGTGTAGGGTAGGGTTTCACTGAGTTTTGTTAGATGCAATTGTAGAAAGTAAAATTAAGGTTGAGGCAGTAACTGTTCCTCAGGTGTTCAGGTGTTATGTAAAGCCAAATGGCAGCGCAGTGAACCAGGGTTTACACTTGTTAATACAGATCCTAACTCTAAGTCTTGCAGATTGTAGTTAGAAAAGTTTTCTGAAAATGTGTTGTCATGTTCATGTCCACGTGCGCGCGCACGTGTGTGTGTGTGTGTGTGTGTGTGCGTGTGTGTGTGTACACGTGCGCATGTTTGTGTGGCCAGCTCTCTTTGTGCGTTTCCTAACTTTTCTAACTTTGCGTCCTCCACACAGTATTTGCCACGGCTACATGCTGGTTAAGGTAGAAACATACCACATTTTGAAATTTGGTTCCTCTCAACAAGATCTATGTCTTCCGTTGGTTAAATGAATAGTTGGGTTTCTATGAAATGAAGCTGTATAGTTTGCAGTCAGTGTGTTAATGAGTGTGGATCAGGGTCGGCTCTCCCCCAGTTTGAAGAAGCACTGAGGATTGCTGACTTGGAAGCTAAGTTTGGTGCTGCCGTAAACGGGGACAACAGGAAATGTATTTTAACTGTGTAAAAAGAGGTCGATGTGTACACTATATTTAGAATATTCTCAGTTTTACCTTGCAGTCAGAAAAGTCATTTGATGCTACATCTTCCTCACTGTAGAGCTTCTGTTTTCCTGTGCCTTAGTGCTGCCGTGCATTGTATTACAGCACTGGAAGCTCTGCAGTGCAGTGCAGTGTGCAGTATGGGTGCATTTCATAGTAGTAGTTGTACAGAAATGGAGACAGTTAAAGACACCAAACTGTCCATTTAAAGCATCTGTAGGTGTTCTAGTCACTGTGGTCAGTTAGCTTTCTAATCAGGTGTAAGTCATCCCACTAATCAAAATAGCTTAAAATTAACTGTATGATGTTCCTCCTGAACAGGTGCAGGTGTGAGTGAGGTGTCCGTTACTGTGTTTCCACCCACACAGTCCTGAGAAAAGAGCTCTTTTGACAGCAGAAGTGAAAACACCTGTGGGGGTGAACCACAAGTGTGCAGGAGTGTCACAATACCCACAATTGTGGCCTTGAGCTCTTAAATGTGCATTTAGTGCACCTGTAAGCTGGGTTTTAGGAACAACAATAATCAGCAGACATGAACAAGTTTAGATTTATGACATGTTGGATTCAGAGACGATATTATTAGTCATGCCAATTCACTACAAAGTCATGACAGAATATCACTGATTTAACATTGTCAAGATAAAAAATATGAAGATAAAATGAGTTTTTAGAAATGTTTTCCATCTGTAAACATTTTATCAGACATAAACCATCTAAATTGATCATCGTAGGTCTATTTTATGTTCAGTACATCTACACAGTTCTTGCAAAGTTCTTAACTGTGTTACTTCTCTCAGCTCCTCTGTGTGCATTTTTTCAGTCATGTGATTGTAACTGTGATATTGTGACTTTTTGTTCCAACAAATCCTCTGAGATTGACTGTGTCCTGGTAGCATTTGTGTGTCAGTGTGATTTGATGTTCTCATTCATCAAGCAGTGAGCTCTGGTAAACTTACACACACTTGCCGTCTTCCTGGATACTGTGACAGGTACCGGTAAAAAGGTCACACGAGTTGGCACTGGACTACTCGCCAGTACCACAAGTGTTGGTTTTTGGACAAATTCATTGTCTCTCAAATGTGATAAAACTCCACACAGAGAGACATAACACATATATCACAGACTTAGTAGTACTCCATGACTAGTAGACTGACTGACAGAAAGCACAACTGCACAAATATATTACTTTTCAGTTAATCTTATAAATCCCAAACCGCACCAGTGGGTTTCAAAGGCACATAATCTATAAAAATACTGAAATTACACTGTTTACCAGAGTAAGCCACTGCAAAAACAGTAAAAAGTCGTTGGATTTTTAGCCCTATTGGCAGCTCTTGACCTACACTTCTGTGACCTACAGGTCCACCCTAAACAAACTTTACTATGTAAAATTATGGTATTTCTCTGAAATCACTTTATTCTACATTTAATTTTCTTCTTTTTTATGCTAAAAGCAAACTGTTTGCATTATCAGATTTTGTAAAAAGAAAATATTCTGCACTCCTCAGCACAACCATGAAGCCAGTAATAACACCACTGTAGTCATGTATCACTATCTGAACTGCAGGCTGTGTATACACAAAGCAGATAGGAGGCTAGTATGGAAACAAATATAAGATATATGAATAATAAAATATCTATAGTACGTAGAATTTTCAAAAATATATATTGTGGACACCTAGAAAAAATTGAAACCTGTTGATTCAACACATCCATTTGTGAAATTATCTTTTAGATATTTTATGACATTATAGCCTTTATTATACTGCACAAAACCAACCAACCGAACCATTGTGCTGGCTCCTTAGAGGTGCAGGACTTTATATTGTAACGAAAAATGAACCCACAGTAAGTATAAATGTGACAGGTGCAAAACTCACCAGACGGATAATGTCTCTTTATATAAAGCACCTTGACAACAGGACATGCATGAGCTGAATGCTAAACTCCATTCAAGTTGTCACTGATTCACAAACTTATCAGTGAAAATGTCAAATTTTAACTGATAGTAATAGTCGTTTGTTTAACATACAGGACTATTTCTGAAAAAAGAAACCTATTTTTAAAGCAGTGACATGACTGAAAATGTGTTTTTTTTTTTGTTTATGGATCATTTGCTCCCTCCATACACATGCTCTGTCCATCGAATACAATTATCAGATACTGCAGTCTGATCTGATTGTATGACTGTGTATTGCCGTGTTTGTTTAACTACCATTTGTTGGTGAACGATGCATTTTCTTTTATTTTGTAACTGGTTGGCTAATTAAATATGTAAATTTCTTTATCTCTGATTTTGTTTGCATGTGTCCTGATACTTGTTCAAATTCATCCTGGCAATTTCACTTGACTTGTGCCACGACTTTTTGATTCTACACATTTTGCCATGGTAACCATATCATTCCTGTTCCCCCCCTCCTGCCCGCCCACATCCTCGTCCTCTGTCTTTCGTCTGACTCGCCTGAATAAAAGTTCCCATGATGCACGGTGCCACCACCTCCACTGTTTCGTCGGCCTCGACCCCAGTCACCAATGTTCCTTTCGCTGAATCTGCCGCCTCGAATCAGGTTTGCTCTTTCATTTCAGTTCTCTTTTATTTTAGCTCTGTAGTCCTGTTCAGTCCTTTTTCTTTTTTCATCGGGTTAAAGAGACTCCTGCCTGTAGTGAGACACATTTCATCTGTCTTCACTTTTCAGTCTGTTGTCATGTGAGCAAATGAAAACAATTAGCTTTTGAGAGGAATCTTAAAATCAGCGACTGTTTTCATGTAAACGTCTTGGTTTGGTGTTGAACCACATCACGTCTGTCTCAGTCTTTATTGTTGCTCTGTTGATCTATGGACACACAGCATGTGGTCTGGAAACCCTGCTGTAAATAACATACATGCCAATTATTTAGTTATTGTCATATTTACTGCATTGTTTAAAAAACAGCATAATTGACTCAGATATGTTACACTTTTAAACTCTGTAGCTCTGTTTAAAAAGACACAAATTCTTTTAGCCAACACAGCTTTTCCCAGGCATTATGGCAGATTTTGAGTTTGTTTTATCGCCTTAATACCTGAGTTGGATTTGGTTGTCCAATAAAGACACTTTTGTGAAACGGTTTGAATTATTGTGCTCGAGCAGGAAAAAACGTTTGCAAAACCTGCAACCAAAATGCAATTTAATACATTTAGACTCACGTGAAGACTGTAAAACTTCACAGTGTAGCTCAGTGTAAACAAGAAGAACATGACTTCACCTAAACTGAGCTCACTAGTTAAAGCTGTTTTTTTTATTTTTACAGTAAAATACTTTACGAGGAAATGTATGATTAATGCCACCAACTACCAGGGTTTGTTTAGAGTATCAGTTTGCCCGTACTGACTTTGAATGTCGAGGAAATGATTTCAAGAAGCTGCTTCTACAGTTGAAGAACAGATCTGCATCAGTGATTGGTTTCAGTTTGCGCTCATCTTTTTCCATCGATCCTGGTTTTTGAGAAGTCACAAAAGAACACACTTTCCTTCATTTAAATATTTGCTGCGGCTCATTTTTGCCACTCAACACTGGACAAGCTCCACGGTATATCACACAAACCTCTCATTATAATAGCTATTCTTACTTACTGCAAATAACCTGAGCGCCACGAGTGGGAAGGAGATTATTCAATAGCTATATCCATGAAAACAACCTCAGTGCTTCACTGCTCCCTTTGCTTTAAAGATGCTTATTGTCATGATTAGGCTGAAAATAATGCTGTACATATATTTTGCACACCAGCATTTACAGTAATCTCCTTGTGAAGGTTATCAGCGGATGTTTGTATCAGTGGGATTCACTGCTGCTCTTCTCTCCCTGCTCTCTCTCTCTCTCTCGCTCTTCCAGTAGACACCTCGGAGCTTCTGACTTCTGATCCGGTGGAGCTCCAGTGCGTTCCGATGGAAACCCATTTCTGCCCCGTCCCCAAACTGCTGGTGGCGGCTCCGATGGCGCTAAACTCAGTAAGCCTTTCCCGAAACCCCAGTTAAAGTCCCTGCGACCTGCAGCAAACATGTGCCTCACCTACAGTGCACACTGACTGAGTGGCAATGTGAAACTCCTCCTACGATGTAATGAAAGTAAGAACGCTGCGACGGCTCATGCAATACAAGCCTGGACGTGTTACTGTTGCTTTAAAGCAGCCATCCTGATGCATACTGACTCGATCAGGCTGAGCAATAGAGCTCCCTCCTTCTTACAGCCATACATGCCCACACCTTAAAGTGCAGCAGACATGCGTGCACACACACACAAACACACACACACACACACACACACACACACACACACACACACACACATACGCACACACACACATTCAAGACTAAAATGCCCTTTATGGGTTGGAGCCATCTCATGAGGCAACCCAACACATTTGACTGTTCCAAAGTCAGAAACTCTGAAAAGCTAATTCTGGATATTCAGTCGGACCTGCCGCTGGTCTACAACCATGACATGCTGTCAAAATGAAAGAGTGTTTCATATCATGTCACGTTTACGTTCTGAAACGACTACAAATGTAACATTTGTGTTGAACCATGTAAACCATTCAGTTTGTTCTCATCTTGCCTGATGAAACGTCAGTAAGGAGTTAATTTGTTTGTGCCTTTGATTTTTCTGCTCAGCTGCAGAGGAGACTTAATTTTTTTCAAAACAGCTCAAAACAGTGTAAGATGTTCTTATTTGCAATTAAAGGCAACATCAGCTACAGAAATACTCCTGATTTAGGGATCGCCACTTAAAATTGACGTTGTTTCCTTAATGTAAAGCTTAATTTGAAGAAGTTTTCATCCCCGCTTCACAGTTATGGATCAAAACAGCAAATGAAGCATTACTTGTCAAACTTAAAAACTGCAAACTGAGTTATTTCAAATTAAGATACAATCACTTCTACTGAAGGAGCTGAGTGCACGAATGTTTTAGGATGTGACTCTTAATTTCTTGACAATGATTGAAGAAGCAAACTGCCTTAAAGCAGATGAGGTCTTGTTGTCAATGTGAAGGCCCGACTCTGTTTAACTGTACCAGTAATAGAACAAACAGCCCAAATTATGTATTAAACTGATGCTTCTTGAATCATGATGTCCAATCAGTTATTTGTCTTAGTTTGTAACTGACAAAAAGGAAAGATTTGTTCATCATGATTCTTTGTCCAAACAACATTCAGCAACTTACCTGAAATCATAATAACAATAAAACAATAATCCTGAATCAGATCTAAAAATGCAGACTTTTATAATTGGCACTTCTACACCAGATGTCAGTAATTGCACAAAATGGAAGCTGGGCTTGCTTTCTGATGTTGTGCCTGAAGTCTGTGCTATATGCAAAGAGCTGCCCCCAGTAATGCAATACCTGAAAAATTCCTCCAAATAAATGTCTCGCTCTCAAACGCAGCGATGCATTTTTTTAAAAGGCAGTTTGTTTGTGTAATTATCTCCTTTCATGTGGCTTTTGGATTGAATTAGTGGCACAAGATTTTTATGTTTTATGGCTCTTCAGGGAGAAAGCTTAGAACTTGAAAATGTCCTGTCCGACTTTAAAATGTCTCGTCTTTTCTACTGATGTGTCCTTTTTGTCAAAAGTCGTGAGACTCTAAATATTGAAGCCACAGTTGTTGTAACCAGAATCGAGTTGTGTTAAAGTTTGGAAATGTAGGAATAAATAACCTGTTAGATGTCTGATGGTTAAAAAAAGAGAAGAAAAAAAGATTTAAAAAAAAGATATAACCTGGTGGATTTTAGGATTTCAAATGTCCATAAAGAATTGCTTTGTAGTCGAGTAAAATTGAACTAAACAGCTTTGAAAACTGGGCTGAAATCACTTCTATCCAAATTCAAATGTGCCTCTTTCAAGTCTCCTCAAACCACCACTGTCAATACACTGTAAGAACAGACCAGTGCTCAAAGATAGGTGTGTTATTTGGTACAATACTATAATAGAAAATCACATCTGTGCTAGTTTCTTCTCTGAGACAGCTGTGCTGTCTTATTGTTAATGTAAAGAAATAAATCAGTGAGTTGTGTGCATACGTAAGTGTGTCGACAGAGACACTGAATCACATATTTGGTTAGTTGTAAATGCTGCAGATATTACGGCATTTCCCACTGAACATTATTCATTTTAAATAATGTTAATGTGTTGTGAATGTATCTAATGCAAAAACTCTACACATGCCCTTCTAAAAGACAGGCATGCTGAAATGTAATGATTCACTATATATAGACTATTTCTGAGGTCACATAGGTACCATGCTGATACTGTGTTAAGACATATTAAAGTATGTGTATTGTTATATAGATTTATATTTAATGTCAATGGGTGGTGTGACTACTTTAAGAAATATCTTTCACTCTCAGAAAAGGTAGAGAAAAATTGTACTCTTTGAAGTACAATTGTACACCATTCAGGTACATTACAGTACCATTTTCTTGCTAGTCAGTTTTTGTACCCCTGTCCTTGAAAGTACCCGAAGTGGCCAAAATGCACTAAAAACAAAACCTAAAATCATTGAGCAGAAATTGCAAAAGTCAGTGTGCTACTTTTATCTCTCTGTTTCAAATGATGTGGACTGAACAGTCGTCCTCTGCACGGCAGTCCTGTTTCTGTTAACTCTGTGTGGAGTGTAGACGGACCATCCAGCAGGAGCTGCTGGTGCTGCCACAAGGATGTAATCCCTCACTGGTTTCCCACCCATCAGCACTGTCAGCTGAGTTCAACAGGGGCGAGTTAGAAGCCCTGATTAACCCAGGCTTTGGGCAAGTCGATGCTTTTTCCTCCCTGCCATCTGGATGCCTCAATTAGTGTTCAACCTTAATTGTAGCGGTTAAAGAAGCAGCGCACTTATTTGCTTTCTTTCCAAGTCAGATGAGAAGATCGATGCTGCTCTCCTGTTTGTGTGTTGAATATGAAGCTACAACAGGCCTGGAACTGTATAAAAGTGACAAAGTAAACCCAACAGCTCCTCTACAGCTCACTAATCAACACATTGCATCTTGTTTGTTCAGTCCCTGCGCAAACAGTAGTGTAGAGCGACAAGTTATAGCTTTAGCGTGTGTTACTGACATTTCTATTCTGGGGTTCTTCACAGGGAGGTTATCAGGCAGCAGCAGTGCAACTGGAGACAAGGAACTGTTCATTAAGTAATAGTTACAAGAAGAAAATCCCTCTAAAACCACAAACTGTCCTCTTTCCAACCCAGTTTCTGTACAAAAATAAACAAACAGGACAAAAATTTGGCAATTAGTGAGCTTTAGAGCTGCTGAAAAGGAGGTTGTTTTTAAACCGTAGATGCCGATATGTTGGCTGATTTTAAAATTATTTATAGACATGATATACACAATTAAAATCTTGACGTAATGATATACTGTGCCCTCCAAAAAATGTATTTATAAAAAGCGGATAACACATACATTGCACATGATATGACATCGCACGAGACAGTAAAAAATAATCGAACGGTAAATAAGAATGAAAAGGACAAAAACTAAGATAATTAGACTGACAGAACATTTAGAACTTTAAAAATACATGTGACAGGTAGAGAGTGTGAGAGTTTTATACAATCCAACTCTTCACAGGAGAATTTAGTTTTTCCTTATTTCATATCATGTTGTGCTGCTTTCAAATAGAAACTGATATGTATATATTTTAAATTGAGATTAGTTAGTGATTAAATAGAATTACTGTATTTATTACCTGGTGACAGTTTTCATCACGACATGTTGCATAAAGATGTAAGTTTAAAATAAATGTTATAATATAAAGATCAAAATACACCAATAACACAAGAGTAGGGACTGGCTTTAACTTTTATTTTTATGCTGTGTATATGCTAAAAGTGTTTATACACACACACACACACACACATACCCACATACAAAAGTACGTTGACAGTACAGTTAAATCTACACTTAACATACTTTTTAATATATACAATATACACACACACACACACACACACACACATATATATATATATATAAACGATATTTGCATATTAAATAGCATAAAGTAAAAGCTAAAGTCAGTCTTTACTTTTTACTCTTTGTTACATTTTGATCTTCAAATGCTCAAAGTAGCATAACATTGTCATTCTACAGTTATCCTACTTTTGGAAAGCGCTGTATATACAATCAGCCAACAACATATCAGTTTAATTCTGCTTCAGGCTCATTTCTCTGCTCAGTTACCAATCTCTGTGTCAGGTCAACCTAATTTTCTCCAGGTTAAAGCTTCATATTTTTCTGTACAGACACGAGAGTGATGATCTGCTCATTTAACTCTCAAAAACAAATAGTAAATAAGTGAAAATGCTGCAGTCTCTGTGTATTACCTTCTATCTGCATACAGTATGTAGCCCCCTGCATGCCTCTTATCTTTCCTCCAAGCAGCTCCATTTTTCCTAGTCGATGAAATTGAGATCAGAATGTCCAGACAAATAAGTTTGTCTTAAATCTACTAAAGACTAGCTTTGTCCAGCCAAGAAACCCCCCCACCCTACCCCACCCCCAACATCAGTATGCCTTCACTGACTGCTGTCCAGCTGGAAAAATAGAATACTTGATTTATAAGATGTGCCTCTTGAGGGCATTTGAATTTTTCAGTACACTTGAGTGTGTCTAATAATGCTCAAGAGTGAGTTCATTTGGGGAACTGTGGTGTGGCACGAGAAAAAAATAGTTTTTACCTCTCTCCCTCCCTCATTCTCTTGTACTTGATTTCCTTTAGGCCTCGCTGTATTTTCCCACACGGTCCTGAATCCAAACTGTGGGGCGCTGAACGCTTTGATCCTCCAGTACTGCGATCAGATCCTTCAGCGTAACACAGTTAATTCAGTCCAGAGAATACAAATAAACAAAAGGCCTTATTTCTCGATCACTGTATAAAGATGTGATAGCTGTGTATGAAAATGACATGTATTAATTGTAAGTTACGCTTTTTTTATCTGACATTAAAAAAAAAAAACACGGCATGGAAATAATTAAAAAACTCATTTATATATAGTTAATAGTTTGTGTAGACCGACAAGAAAACAATATGATATGAAAATCGTTTGTACACAATGATGGAGTCATTGTTAATGGTAATAGTTGCTGTTGCTATGGCAACAAAATGACAACATGGCTACCTTTCTATTATCCTGATAGTGAATTTTTTTCACATTAATTAAAATAACATACAACACTAACTTATTCTAAAAGGGAATGTCTAATTAGTTTGTCTTGTTATTGCAGCGTGATTAAATATTTTATATGGAAAACTTAAATCCTTGTAATATCCAAAGGTCCTTAGGGGAGGTCAGGTGTTTATTTTGTTTTGTTTATTTGACCTTAATTGTCGTTTTTTGTTTCGTTCTTTTTTTTTTCTTGTACATGGTGTTTTTGAAAAATAAGAATGGACTTTGGCTTTTAAAGCAAACACCTTTTTGTCAGGGAGGTAAAGAGGCTTTTGGACTGACTGAAAGATCTTTTTCTGTAAAGTCAAACTCGTCTGCAGACCGGACAGCCCGGCTCAGAGCCTTCGTTGGTGAGTTCTGTTTCAGTTTTGGCCGAGAAGGGCGGTCCAGAAGTCTCTTGCTGCCCAGCTGTGCTGGGTGATGTCGATCCTTGCGGAGGTGTATACGAATGTGTGACGTTCACCTTGTTTGCACTTATGTACATAACTATGTCAAAAATACTCAAAATTTATTTTGAATAAATACAGAGAAAAGAGCTGATTAAAAAATCAAATCAATGTATTGTTAATGATATGTCTATTGTTTTATTACAGTGTGAGATGATTGCTTTGGGGGATCTGTCTTTTGTTTGTTTGTTTGTTTGTTTGTTTGCTAGAGCCCTGTTCCCTGCCAAGCATGGCGCTGCCCAGCTGTAAACTACGAATGATTTGCTTTCGAAAGCTTTTTTCAGTTCAGTTACTGGATCAGCTTTGATTCAGTAACATGTGACCCTGACATCAAAGAGGAGAGACGGATTAGAAGAAAGAGTTCTAACCTTGTGTGTAAATGCCCACCATGAATCCACGGCAGCAGACACATTCCTCTCTCCAGTAAAGCACCAGAATAAAGCACAGAGTAGCTCCACCTGCAGGTTGAAAAGCAGCCTGAGAAACAGGAGCAGATATAAAATCAGACCACAGAGGAACATGGATGTGTTCACAGGGTTTTAAATTCACTTTAATTTCTGTCACTTTGTAGTTTTATTATGATTATTATGATTATTATTATTATTATTTGCTCCCTTGTTGTCATTATCCAAAACAACAATAAATCTGAATTCTCCTCAGGATTTTAGTCAAACAACCTGGTTTTCCAATGTTACTCTTGCAGCAGCAGCAGCAGCAACATCCTTACGCAACTCTGTTCCTGCAGATTTGGACATGTGATGCTCTTCAATTGCTCTTAAAGCCAGCGATTTTGTTGCCATGGCACTTGTCCTAGTGGTGGATTGACTGAGTCATCCTGGTGAATCGGTTCACAGCCCTCTGACTGTTGAATATTGACTTCAAAGCGTCTGTGTGCAGAGACGGGTCTCTGAACGACGTGTACCCAAAACTCACCAAAGCTTCTTTACTATGACTCACCAGCTCCCGTCATCACTGCGTACAGAAAAGTACATGTGGGTGTCCAGTCACCAAACCGGTAGATAAGATTGTGATTTAAAATTGATGTGTTGTTACCATTATTTTCAGCTGTAATTGTGCCTTTATTGTGCAAAATGTACTTTTACGTTCTACATTTAATTGACTAAAAACAGCACATGTACCGAGTGTGTGTAAAACTTATCCCTTTATTTAAAATCCTTTGTCGGTGAGTCTTTAAATTATTTTTTAAATTGGGTACAATCACAGACGGAATGGCAACCCGTGGAAGACGATGAGGGCCAAAGACTGTTCAGGACTAAGCCATATGAAAACTCTCTCTGACACTCTAGGACAGACTTGAACGTGACTGCTGTTTCTTAGTCACCTTTTGTTTCACTCTGTTTTCTGCTTGTGGTGCTTGTATGTGCTGCTGTGCTACATGCCAATTTACTTTGCAGTGTATAGCTATTAAGAGTAAGTTACTGTGCCTATGATGAGTTCTGCGGTTTCTGTTTGACCTTAAATAAACCACATCATTGTGACCCTCTTGTTGTGTGTTTTGTTATTCATTAGATTTTTGCATAGACTTGGATTTTTTCTCCTGACCTGTAAGTTTTGTTGTTGTTGTTGTTGTTTTCTTTTACCTGTGTAAGAATAATGATATTTACATGAATTGAAGTTAGGTTTACAACCAAGTAACTACATTTATTTCGGAGAATTGTCTTTTCCTATTCAATCAAAGGTATTTATTTATTTAATGATCGATGGCATAAACACAAGTCTTTAGTTGCTCCAGCTACTTTTTTTCACATTTTTCAGTTTAACATATTTAATTACTCTAAATATAAACACATTTTTGTCTGTTAACAAATAGAAAAAAAAACAACTTACTCCAATTCATCAGTAGTTTTGTTCATGTTGTAGCTTTTAATAAATCGATTAATTCAACAAAATTGTTAGTGATTTACTTTTTTAAATCTTAAAGTGTAATTCAAGCCAGTTCTGTTAATTTACTACAACTTGAATTTACTTAACACAGAAATTTCAGCTTAAAATATACCCAATATCAAGTAGCCAACATTATTATGTCAACACAACCCATTCAAATAGTGCTTGCAAATTAGGTTTGTCTTTTTTCGATTTTTTTTTCAGCTACTTTTAGAGTGCAGTACATTAAGTATTACTAAAGACACTGCATTTAATCGTTACTTGTTCAAAAAAGAAAAGTTAAACCATCACAGACATACTTAAAGCCTTAAACTTTATGAACTTAGAGGTTCAATCCAAATGTATGTTACACAGAAAAGGTAACATAAGAACTGAAAACACAGAATTATGACCTGCTGTCACTCTCAAACTGATTGATTAGTCTGAACACAGAGAGTTATGACTCCTCAAACTTTCTGATGTCGCTGACGTAAAACTGATAAACCACAGTCTGAGCTGAGGGTGTCTGACCTCCATAAGAAGGTGGTGATGACGAACCTGCAGCTGACCCACTTTTTCATTGTTTCTCATCAGAAATGCTGCTTCACTTATTATTAGCAGACTAACAGTAATGGTGAAATAACCAGTCAATGCAACGGCTGAACATGTTTACCTTGAAACTGCAGTGCACCAATAACAGTCCAAAAAACAAGTTTGACTTTGATGCCAACCAAATCACTCCTGTCAACTTGCAGGATGAGGCTTTTAACATTGTTGTTCTTCTGTGGGATCAGTTTCCGATTTAAACACGTATGGCTGACTTACTCTAGTCTACTCTCTCTCAGAGTTGTAGGTGAGCTGGTGTGCTCAAACTGCAGCAAGCGTGGAGGGCTGATTGGACAGAGGAGCAGGGATTATGCAGATCGGCACACTCTAGAGGAAGCAAAGATGTCGAGTTACATCTAATCCATTTTAATGACCCTTTCACGCAGGGCACGACAATGGCACAGCTGCTCTCTGAAAGCCATTATTTCCAATTGCTTGCGCTGCTCCATGGCAGCGAGCTCATGCACACACAAAGTTCAATGAATTAAAACTACGACCACTGAGATCTATGGAGAAACTGTTTTCTATCCAAGTAGACACGTCAGGTGTGTGCCCTAAAGCAGAGAGGGATGATTTTGATGGAAAAGTTAAACTTGTGAGTCTACAACTTTGAAATACAGAGATGGGTTTTTATGGGTTTAATCTCACAATTGGTAGGGGGCTTCAAATGGTACTTTAATGAATAGAAAATGAAAAGGGTCAGACACCTGTGAATTAGTTTCTGCAGAATGTCTGGAACTGGAAGAAATAGTTTCAAATGTACATGTTTAACCATCTAGTAGATGGATGTTTTATGCCAGTAGATAAAAATAAAATTAGATAGTAATAGATGGAAAATGACTCTTTTAATTTCATATTAATGAAAAGTTAATTTAAATGAATGAAAATGAAATGAATGAAAATGAAAAATACTTTATTCATCCCAGAAGGGAAATTCAATTAGTTCCCCAAAGTTCCTCTCTGGTTATTGATTAAATCCCTAAAAACTCAACTCTAGGTATCAAAGTTGCGCACTTACAAGTTTTATTGTCTAATGAATACTATCCCTTACTGCATTATGGCTCTTTGCACTGAACCGGGCATTGGGTTTGGTGTACTGCTGGCATGGAGTATGTGGAAAACAGAGCAAAACAGGTGAAGTTTTCCAAACCTCTAGTGGGAATAAAACTGCTGTTCAATCATTCGGTAGGTAGGAGTCTGAGCTCCATCACAGCCATCCAGATGTCTTTATTTTACTGTTGGTTAAGCAGTGGTTTGGTTATCATCTTATGTGGACAGTTTTCAGTAATTAGGAGAGTCATCAGTAAACAAACAAAAATAAAATAAAAAAACTGCAGAGGCCTCTTGGATGAGAGGTGAAATGCCTTCAGTAACCTAAAAGAGAAGTCCAGTTATTTTATGCCTTAGCTTTTGGTGCTAATTAATATAAAACAGACGCACTGACTACTATAAGATCATGTTCTGCGGGTGTTCAGAGGAAACTCTGAGTTGCTTGCAGCAGCTGTGAAGTTTTTTTTCACTTTAAAAGAATAAAAGCCTCCCGTAGCGAGGCTTTTATTGTGAAAGCCGCGTCTCCGGCAGCCTCGTTGCGGAAGCTGTTCTCTTCAGGAAATCAGTTGGAGGAAAAAGCTTTTCTTTCTGAAACCAAACCTGCGCTGCTCGCACTCAAACAGCCACCGCAGCTCCGACGAACCGCAGCCCATGGACCGTCGGCTCGAAGTGGTCAATCTGTGTCGATAGCACGCCCGGCTGCCGAGGCGCCGGGCCGGGCCGGAGCCAGAACCAGGCCCGGACAGAGGCAGCGCTGCGACCCCGGGCTGCTGTGAGAGGGAGCGGGCATGCTGTCCGTCTGCAGGGGAACTGTACTGTGGATGACCGTGACCTGCTGTCTGTAGCTGGGCAGCAAGTTCTCCGATGAGTCCCCGGTGCTTGTGGTCCGTCAGATCGGGTGTGAAGGCTTGAAGCTCCGGGATGGCACAGCGGGAATTCATCCAGACGAGAGCTAGCTTCACGGCTAGCTAACAGCGGAGTTAACGGACTTTTTCCTCGCCGACGAGCGTCAGAAAAACAGCAAGTATGAGCGGTGGAGCCCGGTTTATGTGAATGAGGAGGGGTTATTTCATATCGCCTACTTGTCGCCGGTTCGCTCGTCCGCTCCTTTGAAGGCCTGATAAATGTTTCTGGAGCGAGTATAGCGGTGTAGCTAAGCTAAGTTAGCCTGCCTCGACCGCCCCAATGAAAGAATACAAAGTTGTCGTGCTGGGCAGCGGCGGCGTCGGCAAGTCCGCGCTCACCGTGCAGTTTGTCACTGGCACCTTCATCGAGAAGTACGACCCGACCATCGAGGACTTCTACCGAAAGGAGATCGAGGTGGACTCGTCGCCCTCCGTGCTGGAGATCCTGGACACGGCGGGGACGGAGCAGTTCGCCTCCATGAGAGACCTGTACATAAAGAACGGGCAGGGCTTCATCCTGGTCTACAGCCTGGTCAACCAGCAGAGCTTCCAGGTAGCTGAGCAGCAACACACCTGCACACTGCAGCCCTGGCTGATCCTCGGAGCTTCAGTAGAAAGCAGCTGGTGTCTCTTTTTGCTTCTTGTAGACTGCTACTCTGAATAAGTCCAGCTGCTTTTCCCTGAAGCTCAGGATCACCATGACCTGGATAACTGAGAACCTCCAGACATGCAGCTATAGGTGGCTAATCAGGCCATTTAGACTCGTTATCACATATAAAAGACTATTATTACTGTTTAAGAGTGTGATCATACGCCCTAAAGAGTTAGTGCTGCTATTTGCACCATCCAAATTTCACTTTGTTATTCAAAAACAGGTTAAAGATGCAAAAATGCAACCTGGTGACTCTAACCTTTGATTTAAAATGTTGCTCTCATCGTCAGTTGGCATCATCATAGAGACACCTCATATATTACAAAACATTAATTCACTGTAGATTACATCGATGTGTATCTGTAGAGTTTACAGGAGGCTGTGAAGCTTCATGGCTCAAAATAAAGACCACAACTTTGGCTTAACATGACCCAAAATGTAAATGTCTGCATAGTGGGTTTTTACACACTTTGTGTAACATAATGGAGCTGCAACAATTAGCAGATAAATCACCAACTATTTTGATAGTCAATCAATTGATTTGAGTAATTAAAAAAAAAAAAAAATCTCAAGTTGTGTTTTTTTGTTGTTTTTTAACCTCTATAACAGTAAACTGAACATCTTTGGGTTGTGGACAAAGCAAGACTTCATCTGGGGTTTGGGAAGCACAGCTCAACAATTCTCAATGTTTTCTGATCTTCTATAGAATAAACAACTAATCCAATAATTGAGAAAATAATTTTTAGTTGCAGCTATATGCTGTAGTGAACGGACACAAAAACTAGAAATAGCCACAATGTTAAGGTTTGATAAAGGCTGTAATACTGGTGTAATGATGCAGTTGCTTAAGCTGTCAAACTATGACTTTGGCATGTCGTTGCCTGAAATCTTCTTTTAGCTGTGCTTGATGAGTATTTGTTTGCAGATCCTTGTATGCCTGCATTTTGTCTTTGGTGGTGTGTTGTGGGACATGACTTTACATAAAAAGCATATTCACAAAACCACCTGTCAGCTTTTTGCTTGTCGTTGTTTTTACAACTTTTCCACTTTTTAGTAATTGTTTGTGTTGTACACAACCATTCTGCCTTACTGATTTGCCCCTTCCAGAGAACCTGAGGGCTTTCAGGAGGAATGACACTCTCATGCTTCTCTTTTTTTTTTTTTCTCCATCTTTCAGGACATCAGACCGATGCGAGACCAAATAGTGCGAGTGAAGCGCTTTGAGAAGGTGCCATTGATCCTGGTCGGTAACAAAGTCGACCTGGAGTCCGAGCGCGAGGTTGCTGGATCAGACGGACGAGCTCTGGCTCAGGAGTGGGGCTGCCCTTTTATTGAAACTTCCGCCAAGAGCAAGACCATGGTGGACGAGCTGTTCGCAGAGATCGTGCGACAGATGAATTACTCCACACTGCCGGAGAAGCAGGAACAGTGCTGCACGGCCTGTGTGGTGCAGTGAGGAAGAGGTACGGGCATCCTCTTAATGAGGTCGCGTTCATACTCGGACCGCACAGCACAGTTGGCCGCTCGCTAATTTTACAAAATGTGCTAAAATGTCCCTGCAGTGCCGGCGTCGAGATGCTTCTTGAGCTGAGGAGAAATGTGTCATGTGGTGGATGACTGTGTGGCGTTTTGAGTGCGGTGTGAGGGAGAGGAGAGATTCTGCTCGAAGTGAGAAAGACGAGTGGGTGGTGCCGCTCGGCGTAGAACCGTTGGTTTAGCTTGTTATCATTAGATCGCAGAAAGTATGTGGCATGAAGAACACAACTGTCGGAGCAGCTCAGGGCCGGGACAAAAAAAGGGCCCCGGAGAGCAGAGGGTAATGAAGCAGACAGTCCTGTGAGGCGAGCCGCAGAAAGAGGAAAGTGTAACATCCTGAAAAAGAAATTATGTTCCAAAACAGGAACTTTACTTTTAGATTCTGTGAGAGATGCTGCCTGTGTTATCCGCTGCACACCAGCCTTTTAAGCCTGTCGCATTAGCTTCATCTTTGCTGTTTCTCTGTCTTTTTTTTTTTCAAACAGATGCATCATTTGTCTGGAACACCACAAGCATTTGGATGAACCATGAACCTGGGGACAACCTGACTTTCAACCCTGCTGACACAAACTTACCGCAGCTGGTGAAGCTTCTGCTCGAGGTGGTTTCTGACTGTCTGTTACAGAGCACATGACAGGAAAGACGTCGGTCCTATTTTTGATATCATAACTGTTAGAAGATGTTTCTGCTGCAACCTCGACGGCCTTTGTGATGACCCAAGAAGGAGTCAGACAGACTGACTTGTAAGAACGGCCATCTGTGAATTTCTTTTTTTCTTTTTTTCCTTGTAGATGGAAGTATCCCTGAAATACTAAGCAGGAGTGTTTGTGAGGTTGCAGCTTCTTTTTAAAGCTGCTTTAATCACTATTATATTCTTTATTATTACTTGTATTATGTCTCGAGTTTGGAATTTGACAAAGTATTTCATAATATTGAAGCATTTTGACTTTTAAGCATGCATACTTCCACCAGTTTGCTGCTGAGGTGTACTGCTCACCTTATTTTAAATATCTTGTCCTAAATAGTTCTTTTTAAACAAATTACAGCAGTATGTGCTGAGTATTTTTTTTTTTTAGCTTTAGGACACTTGTGTAACTGTGGATTAAACCAGTAATCTTTACATCAAGGGAGAATTTAGGTTTTATTATCGCAGTAACCTGAAGCAGCTAAACTCATCTGAAAACATGCTCGCTCAAAAGTGAAAATGTTTGTTCTGCTTAATCAACTTGAAGTGATGAGGATGAGCCATTTTTCTGTTTTTACTCTGAATTCTGTCAAAGTCTCTACAAGGCGCGACTCGCGTGGACGCAGGTCTTCCATTTTCCGTTTTCTCCGGGAGTCTGTGTCGGAGAACGATCTTGGAACGACCAAAGGAAGCTCGCAGTGCATATTTGTGTTTGACTACATGACGTGTGTTGCTTTAAATTCAGGAGACGCTGATTTCTTGTCATCAAATAACTCCCGCTGCAACGTGGTTTTGAAAAGTTCTGGCACAGTTAATCAGATTTAACTTTGTATTTTTCTTTTTCTAATAGTAACCTATTTATTAAAGACTAATGACATGGGTAGCCGGTTTTAAACTTTTAATTTTATACTAGTTTTTGCTTTTTGTGACTTTTGGGGACAGATATGATGTTGCATTTTTGTTCTTTTTTTTGTTTTTTTTGAAGCTGAAAATTTAACAGAGCCTTAAAATTTCTGTTGCACCCTGGTCTCATGTTTCCTTTTCCCCCTTGAAGATAAACAGCTGTCATCATTTGGTAATAAACGTGCTGGACTCTGCTTTTGTGACGGGACACAGATACACCATTATTTTCAATAACAACCTCGATACAATCATTTGTAATTTCAGCTTCAGAATGTGAGAACAAGAAGTTGAATTTATGCCTTTTTTATGCCACATCATTTCTACTGGTGGAATCACCCAGTTTGGGAATCATTTCTCTACAAAAATGGAGACTGTCAGGGTTAATCTGTAATTCAAGTCTTCAAGAGCATTTTGAGTGTCAACCTTAAGCTTAATCAGTTATTTGAGTAATTTTGCTGATAAATTCTTCAATTCCAACTAGTAGAAACACAGCTAAATTCTTTGTGTCTTTTTAAATGTGAATATTTTCTGGTTTGATTTATTCCTCTATGACAGTAAACTGGATATTTTTGGGTTGTGGATAAAACAAAACTTTTGAGGATGTCAACTTGGGCTTTGGAAAACATATATCAATGTTTTTCACCATTTTCTTAAACTTTAAAGGCCAAACAACTGTTCAGTTAATCAATTAAGAAAAAACAAACATCAGCATTAAAAATAACCTTACAAACTGCAGTGTATCGATGACAAACTCTTAACACAGATTCAGACTTTGCTGGTTTTCATATGTAACAAATCAAAGAACCCAATCCTGTCAGTTGGCAGTTTGGTTTTCTGTATTATTTCTCCTAGGAAACTGATTTCTGGTTTAAACGAGTACGACTGAATTACTCCAGTGTCATAACTTGCCATTGTGTTGCGCAAACCAGTTTTACAGTGTTTGAGCAAATTTGAAGGTGAGCTGGTGTGCCGAGCTGCAGCGAGAGAGGTGGGAGGGATTTAGAGGAAGCCCAGAACAGTGGACAGTGACACATGAACTGTTTTCATTCAGGACGGGAATATTTTCTTTGAAAAAAAAAAAACCTTCAAGCTTTATACCTTTAAACCTTTATCCAAAGGGGGTTCAAGGAGTCTTTATTAGCCCCATGGGGTAATTACGTGTGCAGAGATGAGTTTTTAGGGTTTATATGAGTGACTGCAGAGAGCTTTAAGGGTAAAAGTAAAGTTTAGTGTAGAAGAACAGCACTGGTTCCTCATATGGACTCTGATCCACCAGAGAGATTTTCTTTGTCCCTGGAATCATTCCTCTTCTCCATACTGGCCACACGGAGACCTAAACATAACCCCCCGTGGGCTTTCTGTGCAAAAATGTTTAAAGGCTTCAGCGGTTGCAGTTAGAAAACAGTGTTCTGTTAGTGTGAGATCCTCTCTTTGTTTAACTGCACGAAGGAAATATGTAATTGTTGAAATATACAAACTTAGTGCGTTTAAGTCAGACTGCTGAAGCCTCAGGAAATGATCAAACAACAGCAGCCAGTGTGGACAGGAAGAGCAAATACAGTGACTAATAACTCCTTAAGGGTGAGCACATGTACTTGTTTTACACAGAGAGATGCTAACAGCCATCCCATGTTTTAAAAATGTATATCATTACAGGCCAGAATGTGCTTTTTACATCGAACATGTATGGAGTAGTGCAGCTTCACATAATGACTTAACGATAAAACAAAGAGTTAAAATGTTCCATTGTCTAAAAATACCAGCTGTCACAAACAGGCCACACTTTCCACTTCCTCGTTGCTGTGTGTTTTTTCATGCACCGGCCTGGCAGCAGAGTCGATGTGCACTTCTTTGTTTTTCACTTGCATTTGTCGTGCATGATGCTGCTGCAGTTTCTCACAGAGCACAAAGCTGCCTCCTCCTGTCGCTGGTCAGGTGGAGCTGAAGGTTGCTCGGTGAGTCTGTGCATCCTTTAGCGAACCGCCAGCTGCTGCTGCTGCTGCTGTGTGATGTCTCTGAAGCAGCAGAGTCATCACAGCGAGATCCTCCACCAACACAAGCTCCCTTTGAATGTCTTGTCCTGGTTCCTGCTGGGTTTGTCTCCGTCTGCACCACAGCAAAGCAAAAAAAATCATTACAGCTGCCTGCAGTGTCCAGGAGGTATCCTATACAAAAACATGATTATCACTAACAAAGTGAGTCATTTGTTCGTGTTGTGGTTTGAATGATTTGGGCCTCTGTCCTACTTTGTGCTCACAGTATGTGTGTTCAGCAGGGACCATGTACACCAGAGTTTGAACCTTTAAGAAGGAAAACAGGTGAGAACATTGAGGTTCTTGGTGAACCACCAGGATCATAGAAGTACTTATGATGCATGTCACTAACTGATATGTGATTGAACAATAGACTCGTAGTAAACTAGTCTACTTACAGAATAATCAAGGTGTAAAATCTTAAGTTACTACCTGCTTTGTAGTTCACTTCACCTGATGAAAAGTTCTGTAACATGATTATTTCTATGACTCTGGTGGTCAGCTGTAAGAAAACATGGTTTTGGTGTTTTGCAGGTTAAAATGAGTTTGAACTAGTTTAAGTTTGCTTCATAAGTCAATATATGTTGTGGAGGAAGGTTTCAAGTCCTTTACCCATGTCAAAACATCAACACAACTACGCAAAAATACCAACAGCATTCTATATTTTAAAATGTTAAAAATGATTGTTTTTTCCACTGTTTTTGTTTTATAGATTTGTAAAATTACAGAAAAAAGTAAATCATTGTACAGTAACTGAAAAAAATAGGCCAAAATCATAAATAATGCCCATATCAACAACAAAAAATCTGCATTATGTCAAATGGTAATCTGCTCTTTTAAAACATTTAACTGTAAAATTCCAATATGATCACTCCATTTAAATCATCAAAAAACACAGAAGTCAGGAATAAAAATATGGACATTAAGGTTTGAAAATGATTAATAGTTATTTATACTGTTGTTTTACATATTTTTTCTGTTTTGTTAAATTCTGTTGAATCATAAAAAATAGTAAACGGGACAAAACTGTCAATAATGTTCACATATAAAATCTGTATTTTTACAAATAGTGATTCATTCTTTCACAACTTGTAAATGCAAAATCACACGGTTTTACTACATTTAAATTGGCTATAAAAATACTTATTTTAGAGACATTCTGCTGTCTTTATTCTGTTTTTTCACTTCTTTTACTGTTTTGAACATTACAGTATTTCTTATGAATTTTGTCTACAGTGCACTTAAAACACAGTCATATTTTACCTGAAGTATTAGCATTTAAAAGTACTTATAGGATCAAAAGTGAGAGTGCTCATTATGCAGCACTATGACCTGTACATTTTTATAATATAAGTGATAATGTACAAAGCTATAGCTCATTTTAACTTCAGTTTTGCAATGAAGTGCATTGTTTTACCTGTAAAGTAACTTGAAACTAGAGTTTAGAGCTCTACTGTTCTGCAGGATGCATGAACGCAGTACAAACACAATAAAGCAACTCAGGACATTAAAAGTGCTGCTGTGGGATTGTACATATAATACGCTGGTAAAAGTGTGCGTGATGACAGCAAAGGCCTGAGTGTTTATGGTGTGTTGGAGAAATGATAAGTTGAAGATCTTTAGGAAAGGGCTCGTAAAAAGAAAATAAAAGGTTGCTGGAATGCTGTTGAGTATGTGGTTATCCGAACACCTCCTGCCCTACCCTTTTCACCGTATGAAGAGGAAACACTTCAGCAGTGACAGCGAGTCCACAGAGCCCAGCTGTCTGTGTCAAGTACAAAGTTGTGCCCTGATTCCTCTGCAGAGCTCTGTCAGCAGGTTTGCACACCTGCATCCTCCAGGTACAGGAGGTCTTTACATCACCCACCGCCCACACTTACAGTGCTGGAGTGCTTACTGGGCATAAAGTGAAAGGACAACAACTCTTTAAATGACAAAATACACTCAATTACTGACACTCAAGGACCTGGGTTCAGAATAAGGGCAGGTATTCAACACAAACTCAGTCTTGTTCCCAGCAGACAGGTGTCAGAATGAAGGACTGTAAATAGGATAAATCTCACCATAAGAACAGTTCATATTCTTCCTCCTCAGCCTCAGAACTGGACTTTATATGTAGTAGTTGTGACCTGGTAGTGTTGAAGGTGTCGGAGTTGATACAAGCTTCCAGCACGGCAGGAAATGCTCAAACTAAAATTGATCATAATGTGAATGGACTTCTGTGTTGTCTTCAGAAACATTTTTATGCCTTTAAGCTTCTTTTTCTGCTCTACTGAGTCCTCACTGACCCTCCACCACGCCATTCCCTTTGCATTCTGTTGGTCACTTTCAGCGCACAGTAAACTTTAACCAGAGACAACACAGGGCCTACCTTAAGGCTCATTAAGGTTATAGACGTATAGTTGTGTGTCCAGGATTTTGCTATCCACCTTTTCATTGAAAATTGGGACCTGATGATACACAGGTCCCACAAACGTTGTATCAGTTTAACCAGAGACAAACAAGAGTGTTTAGGGAGAAATAAGAGTCAGAAGCTGGGCAGAACTTCTTTCCTGATGTAAAACATGAAAGTAAAAAGGTTTGAATTTAGGGTTGGTCTTTATCCAACACTATAGAATGAGCACTTGGTGTATGTCTGAACAGGGCTGTTTTTGGACAGAACATTAAATCTGACTGTTGTTTTGGGTGGCACCTACTGGAGAGGCACCAAAAAGGAGGAAGAAATATTTTGTAATTATGTTCAGATGTCTGATCTACTTTTCAAAGCCATCGCTAATGTCCAGTTCCATTCTAGTGTTGCTCAAACTGAGAGGAAGCGAAAGAAACTTGAAGCTGTTTGAATGACAATGTCTCACGAACAACTGAACTTAAAAGTCTGACATTTTCACCTTTATTTTAACCATATGCAGTTACATGGGAAGATAATGCAAAACAGAACACTGCAATATTTTTACTTTATGTAAAATGTAATTCTTGGGCTCATCTAATAAACTATCCTCATTTCTACAGAGGCTGTAAACTGGTATTTTTCCAGACGCTTCACCGTCTACAGAAAACTCCTCCGAGCCTCTTGGTGGCGCCATGGTGCATTTGTACGTCTCTGCGGTGACGTCATCACGTCCGAAGCGGAAGCAGGCGTCAGGTCTGCGGCTGCAGGGTGACGAAGAAGATGAGGTTCGGCTTTAATTGACAGTAAATGTGAAAAGTTTCAGTGAGAAGACATGAAGACGGTGTTTGTCACTGTCGGCACCACGAGCTTCGATGAGCTCATTGAAACTATAATTTCCTCTGAAGCTACTCAGGTGAGTCGAGCTACTGTGAATCAGCTAAAAGAAGAATTTCTTAACATACATAAACGTGCACGTTAACGCCAGCTGGGTTCAGGTGAAGCTGCACTTTGATAGTTCTCTAAAAGTTTCGGCTTGATGAAGAACATGCAGCTCAAAACTTTGCAATAATAAAAACTTAACTGTTCATGCCATAGCATAGATAGTCTGTCTTATATATGAGCTAAATAGAAACTCTCACTAGTGATATGTATTCTTAATGGTAGCTGTATTCGTGTAATGGAAAAAAAATCAGTTTGTGTATGTAAATGGTGACGCACTGACATTCAATTCTATTGTTTTATTAATGATTTCATGATTTACTTTAGTATTTGCCGCAGTGATTTAAATGTCTGTCCCTGTTTTGCATTTTCTTTAATTTTGTCTTAGATCTGCCATTAGGTCTTCCTAGAATTGCTTTGTCTATTTCATGGTTGACAATATGCAGATTAATTGCATGTTTACCTTCATGTACTTTGAGTTTGTTCAATAATAATGTGTTTTCCAGGTTCATACTAGAGCTGCAACAAGAGTCAAATTTAGTCTCCACAAACTGGACAATCAGATATTTGTCTCGTGCATTTTTTTAAGCAAAATGGAAAATGTCCTCTGGTTTCTTTTCTTTTTTTTTTTGAATGTGAATTTGAAATAAAAATGATGACAATAGGTGATAATAGGCGTTTTCTAGACAAAATAGAACTCAGTTAATTAGGTAAAACTTGAAGTTCCAACCCTGTTCTATCCCACTGTTATACATACACTGTTACTACTTACTAATCGTGCCACTAACAGTTTTAAGCATTAGAAATGACCTTGTTAGTAGATGTCTGCTCACAGCACAGATACAACTTTGTCAATTAATCCTGTTAGTCATAATTGTGATTGATTATTTTGTAAATGTGGCAATACTTGCTGGATTACTTAGATTTTTGTTGTTGTTGTTGTTGTTGATGTTGTGTGGCACTGATAGACACTCTTGTCTCACAATGTAAAGTTTTCCCTGCATAGATTTTTGACAGCTCAAGAAACAATCTGAATATATTCCCTCAGTATAAACATCGTAAAGCGTACTAATACAACATGAAAAGAAAATGTTTCCAACCTTAAAGCGTCTTATAATTCTGTCATGAGGATCAAACATTGCACCATGGACATAATATACTTGAGTGAAATTGGGACACTGTTGTGTCTGTGTGCTGAAAACCTTTGTGAACAAAACTGTCACACAATAGGGAATACGAACCCAAACCTGTGGCGTGTCAGGTGTCGTGTTTGAAAGCTGGTTCTCAGGAAATTAATTCTGGTGCTGCAGGTGAATCAAACCTGCTTGTCCATGTGATCAGTGGAGGCATTTATATATCACAGAGACATCCTCTGATTATGTCTTTGTGTGAAACTTGCTTTCATTGGCCGTAACATATTGCATCTAGGTTTTTTGTATATATTATATATATTGTATATTTATTTAATCTAAAGAGCAACTTGATTGATTCTAAGAGTGAATCTGTGACTAGTTTTACATTAAGTTCTATTTATCTTCCACAGGCTTTAAAAGCTCGAGGATATGGGCGTTTGGTTCTTCAGGTTGGAAGAGGAGCGCTTCTGCCAGATGCTGACAGCTGTCCAAACATCAGATTGGAGGCCTTTAGATACAAAAACTCTCTAGCAGAAGACATCGAGCAGGCTGACCTCATCATCAGCCATGCAGGTGAGTCAGTGTTCAAGCTCTTGAACACTTCACTCTTGTCAACACAATGCATCAGTGTTGATGCTGCCAGGAGTAAATACATGATACACACGAGTCTTTTTTTTCACTGTTCCAGAAATCAAACTGATGTACAGTCGTCCTCAAATGTATTCATACCCTCCCATTAAAGAAGGAAAAAAAAACAGCTGTCACTGAAATAAGCTGAAATTGACAAAAGTAATAATAAATACAAATATAATGAAAATCATGACATTGTTTTGAATTGTGGTTCAACAGAAATATTTTAAAAAACAAAAACAACAACAAACAAAGAAGCATGATGGGACCCTTAAACTAATATTTTGTTGAACAACTCTTTGAGCCAATCACTGCAATCAAGTGTTTTCTGTAACTCTCAGTCAGACTTCTGCACGCAGGAATTTTGATTTTGGCCCACTGCTCACCAGCAAAGGGCTGTAATTTGTCTGGGACTTTAAAAAAATATATATATATATTTTTTTTTTTCAACCACAATTCAAAAGCAATGTCTTACTTCACTAAATTATAATTTAGCACATTTTTATTTGTTATAACTTTTTTCAGTTTCTAGTTATTTGAGTGACTAATGTGAATTTTGCATTCTCTTTAATGGAAGGGTATGAATACATTTAGACAACTGTGTATTTTATTTTTGTTCTTTTCAACAGAAGGCAGATTAGTAATTATTCAAAACATTGGCCAGAACAGGTTGATGCTGTGTAGGGTTGTATAGAAAAGCAAAAACAAATAGAGGTATCTAAACATTGTGCAAACAGAAAGCTGATGATTAATGCATCAGGTGAAAACATAAAGACGTAGGGCAAACTATTAAAAATAGGGGGATGTTCAATGTACAAAACATAATTGTATTCATACAGAGCAGCTTTGGTTTATCATTCTCAGTACATGATTCACATATCTGAAGTTCGGGCTTGCCAATTAATCTGCTGCTTATTTTTTATAATTAATGGATTGGTCTGTAAAGCGTCTGCAGGCATCCCTGTTAGAGAAAGTGATGTCCTCAGTTTGTTCTGACCAACAGTGCAAACCCTACAAAATATTCTGATTACAATCATGTAAAATACAAACAGAAAGTAGAAAGTCATGGTATTAAAGCAGCTGGAGTCACAAGTGTAGATGACGTACTTGAAAGTTATCAAAATAGTTGATTAGTTTTGTATTGATCAACTAATCAGTTAATCGACTAATCAGCTCTTGAGCCACAGCTGTGACTTTAAAGTCATGTTAGTTGCCTCTCTTAATGTTTCCCTGTCCCTGTAGAAATGTTCCACTTGAGACATTTTGACATGTCAAAGCAGGAAAAGTACAAGTGCAATTAATAACATTAATTATGGATGTTTCCCATTCAATGACCCACATCTGGGGTTTGATGCTGTTTATGTTGGCCGACTGAGGAGGCCTCCTGGGACACTTAATAAGCTGTTGTTAATGTTAGTGGTTCATTTGCTTGTGAACAGATGATATGATTGAGAAAATGTCAAACACATACAAGGCAATAGAAAAGACAGACATTAGGATTTAAAGTAAAAAAAAAGCTTAAATAGAATAAAAGAGATTAAACATGTGAGATGAAATTAGAGCAACACTACAGTGAAAGACAGTTTAAAATAATAAAATGCAGTGGCAAACAGAAACATTAGTGAAGCCTCAACTGTCTGATGGACCTGAGAAGAGAGAACAGATAAACACATAGGCACGTTTTTCAAATTACTGCTGAGTCACTATTCACAGTTTCTTCAATCCTTGATATGTGTGTCAAGGGATAGTTGGGAGATTTTGTAACTGACATCTTCCGTTATTGCAGCCTTCATTATAACGATGTGTTTGTTGTGGTGGATCATCAGCTTTGAAATTTGTTTAAAATCTCACTGAAAACATTTGCTTATACTGTAGTTGATTGAACAGATTGACTTTAGTTCTCGTCCTGAATGAGGATTTTTGTTTTTCTCCTCAGGGGCAGGAAGTTGTTTGGAGGCTCTCGGTGCAGGAAAACCTCTGCTGGTCGTCGTCAATGACAAGCTCATGAACAACCACCAGCTGGAACTGGCTAAACAGCTGCACGTTGACTCTCACTTGTTGTATTGCACATGCAGGTACAGTATGTGTTCCTCACACAGGAGGTGCAGTTTCAACAAGGTGCAGTCACAAATTTCTGACATTGTGATTTATATTCGGTCACTATCCGTTCCAAAGTAGCCGTCATGTGCAGCAATACACTACTCCCAGTGCTCCTGCCACATTTATTACACTGTCTAGACGTTTGCTCTGGTGCAAATTTATGATTTCACCATGGGTCTCAGACTTGCACAGAAAGCAAACATCTGTTTGTGCGTTTCAAGTTGAAAGGTTACTGTGTCGATACAGTGGAGGAGATCCACTAAGCCATCGCAGATAGTGCTTGTTGTTTACAGACAGAATTTCCAGTTAGTGTTCCAAATGTGACAGGAGCAGATTTTAAACCTGGTTGTTTTCTCAGAACTTCTTGATTGCATCTCGTAGTTGTAAGATTATCCAGCAAAACTAAACTTTTTCTTTTTCTGTTGATGAATGTTTCAGTACACTGACGGAGACACTGAGGACCATGGACCTTTCTGTTCTCCGGCCCTTCTTACCTGGACAGCCACAGAACTTTGCAAACTTTCTAGACAAAGCTCTCGGTATTAAGTGAAACTTCATTCCAAATTCCGTTTATTCTCTTTTACACAGAAAGCTGATCATTTGTACGTAGTCATAGATGTTGTTGTAAATCATGACTGTATAGTACACGACTGGCACTGCTGAGTGTTTGATATTTTTATATGCAATTATAATAATAATTTATTTCTAACTTCAGATCCCTGTGTATGTTGTGAATTATTTGTATATTAATTCTAATTTTTGCTTATGTTAAAGTTCTCTACAAGTGACAGAAAAAACTTCATCAGCCTGAGGGGTTTGAGTCAAATTACACACAATGAGTTAAAGACAAAGATGCACAAAATGTCGCATTGGTTCAGTGCAGCAAAGACGAAAAACAATCTTAACTGTTTTCTAGGATCCTTACCAACTCAACAATCCACAAGGCTCAGGTTGGGGTAAATGACTGAGCTGCTGTTACATTTTAATCTAAAAATGTTTATACAATGTCCACATTTTGCCTGTGCTAAAGTGTTGACATCAGCAGCTCAATCTAGAGAACATATGGAAAGGCCAGGCTTAATGCTCACTCCTAATTTTAGACAAAACAACTTATGGCATTCATTTTTATAAAGCTGTACATCTTTTACTATTTGTGTCATGATGGAAAAAGACAGCCATTGCTAAGAATAGTTTATCTTCAAAGAAAACTTTGATTCATCTCTACAGACGGTTTACTTTTTAACAGCTTATTTCTTTCGGTCTGTTGTTTATTTGTGTTTCTTGGTGTGTTTATGTGGTATTTAGGTTGTATTTACAGTCTGCTGTGAATTCATGCGTGTTTGCATGTGTCATAGTCTGGGGACCGACATCTTGAATGAGGCTAAACTCTGCCTGCAGGTCTGCGATTCTGCTCATTTGTTTCATTCTGTGTCTGTAATCCCAGACTGTGATTTCACTGTAGGCCAGGAGCTGTAGCAACTCCAAATTACATTAACATGTCAATTTATTTTTATTTAAGTTTATATGATTACCTCATATTTCAGTGACAGTGTCTGTTATGAAACAAAACCCACACTGTATGGCGTTCTGATTGTAAAAAATATATAACTTTAAACTTATGTAAAACTCAGAGTGCCAGTTTGTTGTAAATGATTCTGATTTCACAGACTGAATTTGCTGCATCACAGTGAGGCGAGTCGTACCAACACTTGCCACAAGGGTGAGATGATGTTTGAAATTTGTAACCTTGTGGCTCGATTATCATTTGTCCTTCCAGGCACACCACTCCATCTCCTCCTGGTCTAAACTGGTAGGAACAGACACTGACGCTGGATGTCTCTTAAACTCTAAGCCATTTTATGAGAAGGATTTTGATGCTGTATCAGGTCATAGTGTTAATATTTTAACAACATTTCAGATATATATTCGAGAAATACAGTTTAGTTTTTTTTTTAGCTTGGATAAGAAGCACCAACATCTGCTCCAGTAACCAGGAGAGGCTGTAATAAATGATATAACCTGCAGAGAAAATATATACTGTATGTGCAGGTTTAGAACAAGGATAAGGAATTGTAAATGAGGCTCTTGTATATAGCTAGTGTGCAGTGGCCATTTTAAAGGCACTCATATAGTCCAATTTAGAGAAAATGATGATGGTAAGATGGTGCTGATTCCTCATTTCGTTAAAGTGGAGTTTCTTCACTAGAAGTCGTTTTGTCAAACAGGAAATGATGGGTGAAAAGCAGCACGTAGTCCAGTTTGACTCCTCAGCCTCTGAGCAGTATTTAAAGTCACAACAGGAAACTTTGTTCACTCTTATACAGAAGGTGGAGACACACAAAGATTTCATTTATTACAAAACCAGCCCTTTATTTTACTGGATAAAACCTGTTCACAGTCTCAAAAACAGCAACAGCATTATGTTATGGTGCAACTGCAAGCGATCAAGTTGCATTTTAGCCAGCTTGATAAGTATCAAATTGCTTATAACTAGACATGCAGCTTTACTTCACAGGAAAGTCTCTGCCTTTTTTTCTTTTAAAAGAATTTCTGTGGAATGGAGTTGTGGTAGGAAATTCACCAGGACATACTCTTTCTTTTCAGTTCCTTTCTTTAAGTACATGTGCGCAGCTGGCAACATAAACTAGGCATTGTAAAGAGTGCATTATATGACGCATAATAGTTCCAGTTACTGATTCTGTGGTTAAGACACATATCTGGTACACCTCATCAGCTTAAAGTAAAGGAAATGTTTACTTTTAACTAACAACAGAAACACAAGTACTCTAAAAGGTCAAAGCACAAAACTATAGTGAATTTATCCCAGGCAACATACTCAAAAATACTTAAATGATAGCAATAGAATTTGCTCAGTCTCACAGCCCTCATCAGACATAAACAACTGAATAGGATTCAGTCCAGTTTACCAAGGACACAAAATAACACGTCATTTGGTTAATTCCTTGGCAGTTTAAAACATTTGCTGCTAGTTTCCCAGACACATACCAAGCTTGGTCAGGGTCTTTAACATCTCCATCAAAGACTGTTTAAATGTTCAACTATGCCTAATGCCTGAATGAAAATCCTCTTTACTGTGAACATTTTGGGCAACAACACAGCCTATTTGAGTTTCCCCTTGATTTAGCTTAACTGTCTGGTTTAAAGTGCTTCTGCCTGACCCAATAAGATTCACATGATGTTTGTACCAAGTGCATGCTAATCTAATAGGGAGGGAGCCTCCAGTGTTTATTCCATATTCAAGTGTCTTATCTGGCTTCGTTTTGAAGGAGTCTAGTGATTTGGAGAAATCAAAGTTGAGGCAACAGTGCCTTAAAGGTCTTATACTATGCCTTTATTCTGCAATTTAATCAAAGTCTCACATGTCCTCACAGTGCTTTTTCATTTTTTCAGCAAAAAAAATAATGCAAAGATGGTTCATTTCACCATGACTGTGTAATTTAAGAGCTGTTTAACTCAGAATCAGTGCACTGCTGCTGTTCCTACCCCATTCAGGAAGAACACACTTTCTGCAACAATTGAAGCTGGATCATTATTAGTAAATTAGGTGTTACATGTGAATTCTTACTTGCTTGTAAAACTGGGAGGCGAACTAGTTGTAGGGGAGCTTAAAGAATGGCAGAAGTAAACATCTGCAAGTTGACACCTCCAAGTTAAAAAGAATATTCACCATATTGGGTCTTTAGTGTTGTTTGAATGTATGTTTTCATGCTGCAAAAGGCTTTCACACCATCCATCCATCATCTATACACCGCTTAATCCTCACTAGGGTCACGGGGGGCTGGAGTCTATCCCAGCTGACTCAGGGTGAAGGCAGGAGACACCCTGGACAGGTCACCAGTCTATCGCAGGGCCACACTCAGAGAAACATTTAGACTCACCAATTAACCTCAACATGTTTTTGGACTGTGTGGGAGGAAGCCAGAGAACCCAGAGAGAACCCACTCTGCACGGGGAGAACATGTAAACTCCACGCAGAAAGATCCTGGTGTCCTCACCAGGAGGTGAACTGGCGACCTTCTTGCTGCATGGCAACGGTGCTAACCACCGAGGAAAATAAAATAAAAGTCCTATTTAATATTGCTAAACTTCCAAGATTGAACATCCAGTAGCAACTGCTCTGATTATTATGAGAAAGTACAAAAACTCAGACTGTGCAACTGCTGACATGAAGGTTGTGACTCCTGTCTTCGGAAAACAGCCTGACTTGAATAAATTCAATTTCTGATAAAGACACAAACGTCTCATTCATGAAGACAAGAGTGGCCTGAATAAGTCCATACAAAAAGGGACAACTGGGTCAAAGCAGAGGGTCAATCAAAGAAGCCTGAATGCAGTGGTCATTCGTGGATATCACATGGCAAGACGAACTTTAGGCAATGCTTGTTGTGTATCTGGTTTAAATCAGGGCACAAGCATGAATCATGCATCTTTCCTTTGGATTTCAATGACTTGATGTGTGAGAGAAAGATGAGGGAGATTTTATTGTCTCTTCTGGTCAGTCTTGCATGACTTTGATAGATAAATTTCAAATGAGATAAGATCAGTCCATCTCATCCGAGGAATCTGTCTAGGGTTTTAATCCAACCTCCTCTTGCAGCTTTGGAAAAAGATATCAGTCCATCTCGACTCCAGCTGCTTTATCTTTAGTAATCAAATTTGATGCCGTATTCTTACTGGATGTTTAAAGGGACACAAGACAACAATAAACACCCGAACATTGCATCTGTTTGTAGTTGTTGAACATCTCAATCCAAACCCCTGAGTGTTGCACTGACAGTCGCCACTCTTCTGGGAAAGTTTTCCATGTATACGGATATGGATGTATGGATGTATATGTAATAATTAAGATGTTGCCTGGGGTTGAAGTCAGAGCTCTATGTAAGCCCCTTAATTTCTTCCCCATGTACAAAACTGGCTAAACGGTTTCCTTATGTATGGATTTGTGTATAGAGGTGTTGTCAAACAGGAAAAGACCTTCCCCAAACTGCTGCCACAAAGTCTGAAGCACACTATTGTTTAAAATATCATTGTATGTTGTAGCATTAAATGACACAAGGAAGGTAACTCAACCTATGAAAGCAGCTGTTTTACGTTTTCATATCTGCAGGAGAACGGATGTCAGTCTGGGGTTGAAGAATACAAAATTATACAGAAAACGTGACCTGGCCTCTGTTCATGCTATAAAGATTGCACCATGGGAAGTGTTTTGGTTCTGCAGGCTTTGCTGCATTGATTAGGACAGCTTTCAAAAATCTGTCTCTTGCAGTTTGTACAAAAGTGCACTGAAGTGACTCCTTAAAAAAATTAATTATTTATTATTTATTTACCTTTATTTAACCAGGAAGTCCCATTGAGACTAGACATCTGTTTTACAAGGGAGACCTGGCCAAGGTAGCAGCCATGCAAAGTCAAAAAAACTAATATAAAACAAATCCATGACCCACAAATGAATAATGAACAGTAAAACAATGAAACAGATCGCCAGCTATTCAAGGACAGTGGCCTCTCAAGAAAAACAGTGACATTCCTCTTTTACTGTATTGTTTGTGACACTCTTAAACTCATTAATGGATGTGAATGTTTTGTAATTTAAGAGTTTTTTGAAGGGTATTCCAAAATGTCTGAAAATACAGGAGTCAGCCCAACTATGGAAGGCCCCTTGTGAAAAACATACAAAAGTGTGAAGGCTGGAATGTATCATGTGCAAAATGTGGAAATGGTGCCTTTAAAGTCCAGGCAGTAGATTCAGGAGCTATCTAGGTAACTCGGCAATAGGTGTCCAGATAGGTAAAGGATGCAGTTTTTCAAAGTCTTAAAACAACAATCATGTTCCCATGTGAACACTGAAACTGGTTCTGTTCTCAGCAGCCATAAAGAAATCCCTTTCTGAATGGAAATTTATATTCCTCCTTCAATACAAAAACATACTTCATCCTAATCTGAAGCTAACACGGTAAATTTTATAAGGTAGTCAAGGAGGACTTTGCTAATATGAAGCACCAGCCAACAAATGAAGCGAGTATCTTTTAAGTTTACAGCTTTTACATACAGTACGATTGTTCTCTCCCTTCCTCTTCCTCCACTGCAGCTCAACAAGGAAGCACTATATGGAAACAAAGACTTCACACTAAAGAGCCTGAAACATTGGAAGATATCCACATAGTTAACTCAGCCTGCTGATGCCTCATCGTGGCCTGAGATAAAGTTTTACATAAATTTTGCACAGGATGAGGATTGCTTTGTCTCCCATGACTTAGCATGTTAGGAAAGATTATTTTAAAGTCCCCTCTGGTCATTAATTAAACCGCTAAAAAAAATTCATCTCTGTGTATGAAAGTTGCTTATTAAGGTGTTATTTTTCATGAAAACAATATCCCTTCCTGCCTTAAAATGCTTAGAGGTCATTCTACACAGCTGACACTGTCAAACACTGTAAAACTACAATGTCAAATTGTAATATTGGAGTCCTTCACCCATACATGTTTGAACTGGAAACTAATTCTGAAGAAGAATACTGATCCATGCAATTCATGCTTTCTCCGCCCACATGTAGGCATGGTGTAAACTTTGTCATTCACCCAAGTCTGTGAGCACCTTGCACAGGAGCCTCATGTGTTTCTCTGTGTTTCATATGATGGGCGATGACACCATCTGTGCAGCAGGAAGATGTGTACCTATTGTAATATCAACAGAACTGTGTGCGTGTCCGTTGTCAGCTTTCAAAGTCTGCATTGTTCAGTGCACACTGGTCTGACTCATCGGATGTAGACTGCAGGTATAAGCTTGCTATTGGCCGCACATGTCAAGCAGTTTTTTTCCATGTCCATATTCTACCATTTTCAAAGTCACCTTCACTACAGGAAACAGCAACTTCTGAGATGGCATGCTACCACAGTGAAAATGTCTAATTTTGCAGAGGATTTGGATCATGCAGTAAGGCAGCCTTGCTAGTTTTTTGACTGCGCTTCATTAAAACAATTCCTCATTTTGTCTTTATTTTGAGGGGACATCATTGCTGCATCCTTGGCTTGGATCTGCCCAATACGATTGTGATTGGTTTAAAGAAATACAATCAAGCAGGGAGTAGTGGCTCAGTGGTATACTGACCAGAAGGCCGGGGGTGATTAAAAAGGTAATTTAAAATGGCACAGCATTTTCTCCCCTTAGTAGAAGCATGATGAGGTGTAACCAGATCATTCTACAGACTAGAATAACTAGTACATAGACACAGATTGCATGAACTGGCCTTTGGGTTTGTGACATGTGAAATCCCTGATATCTGAGTCTGTGTTTTGACATTGCCATTGGTACACTGCAGTTTTATGGTGCAAATGCTCAGCTATGGCTCTGACTGTGTATTTGGCTCTTGATGTAGCATATTAAAAACACCACAGACATGTTAACAAGGTAAAACAACAACAACTTGTTTTTCATCAGAGGGGTCTTTAATAGCTACCTGCTGACAGGAAAGACAACAGCAACTACACTGTTCATAAGGGAACCTCACCATGGTTGCCAGTTTCACTTGAAAATCTGTATACCTATGCTTTAAAGGTTTGTGGCAGCTTAAAGAGCACAGCTAGCACCAAGTATGGTCCACAAAGCAGCACAAAAACAGCAACTGTGTCATCTCCAAACTGCTCCTTCCTTCCTAAACAACAACTGTCCCGTCCCAGGAGCTGCTCTGAAGTTGCTAGTCCGACCCAGTGTCTGCCTTGGCCTGTTTTTTCGTCTCTCTGCGCTGTTGTTTGCAGATGTTCATTAGCATTTGGGTATAACCCTGAGCCAGCCGCCCCGCCTCCTGCGCTTTGATTGGGCACACTGTTACTGGAGCTGTCAGCTCGGCTCTGGAAGGTTTCTGTGCTCTCAGTCCAGTCTGTAGCCACAGACAGACCGACTGCAGCCGGCGGCAGGCTCCCTGCCTTTGTTAGCAGAAAGGTTGGAAAGCACCAAGAAAGGACGCAGCCGCATCCATGCAATAGCACACTTTTATTGGAAAATGATCATCTGTACGAATAAAATGGAGTACCCCCTGAGAACCCAGTGCCAGCGAGTCCAGAAACAGGTAGGTTGCAACGCTAGCTGACATCAGGGAATAGTTAGGCTAAGTTAGTTTTAACACAATTAAAGCTAGCGGCTAACCGAGCAGTGACTAACGTTCATTCATTTGGCGAAAACAGAAAAGCTCGTCTCGTAACTGGCTGTCTTCCAAGCTTTTAACGACCTGTTTTGGTAGGACACTGAGGTGCTTACCTTTATGTGTTTTTCAGTGTCTGAACTTTTTTTTAAAAAGCAGTATCCGTTACTAACGTTAACCACAGCCGTTAGCTAGCGAACGAAGAATAGCCAAAGTTAGAATCCAGCCTGCTAACTCTGCTAACGGCTCATCGAGCAAACATGTCAGAATACATCACAACTGTACGGACAACAAAGGGGTTTTCATGGTTGAATTTTGGGGTTTATGAACAGCCACCTTGAACACACCATCCAAAAAAAGAAAAAAAAAACATGTCGTGGTTTCCATCTCCTGTCGTTAACATGACACGTACTGCTCGTAATATTAAGTCGCTGGTTGATGGTTACTGTTGAGCTAAATTCGACCGTTTTGGATAAAAAAAAAAAAAATCAGCCCCATGTTTGCCAGACTCCCATCACACAGCCACTGCACAAAGAATGTAACCAGCACTCTTCCTTTGTTGCTTCAGCAGCGACCATTTGAGCAGCTCCTCTAAAATACGTGCTTATAATTGACTTTTACGGTGATTTTTGTTGAGTGTTGACGTGCTGCAGTGCGAGCAGAGAGCTGCAGGTGACGGTGACATCATCTGAGGATTTGGGAGAAAAGTGTCAGTCAGTTTGGAGGCTGTGAAGTAATGCAGTGGCGTTTATTTACTCATTAATAAGATATGAGGACGTGATGGCCGGACACTGCACTGTACGTGTGTTTAATCCACGAGGACCGACGGGGATTTTCATTTCCCCCTGCCTGCGTTCCTCCTAAGTGTTGACGACTTTTATTGTGCTGTTTTTGCAGGCTGAACTGGACTGCCAATCAAAGTTGTTTTTCTCCTCTGCTGCTGTTTTTCCATTTTGCAACAGATGGGGGGCGCTGTCTCGAGTGCAGTCCAAAAAAGACATGTTTGCTGCAGATTAGAGTCTAGATATGGAACAAAACGGGCAGTAATGTGAACAGCAACTCTTCTTTCAAATCCAAGATGTGCTTCTCTTCACCGCCCCTCTTTATGTGTGCTGTTCATCTCCATTGTCAGCTGGCATTTGTACACAAGTGTCCCTAACTGGGGGCAATCAGCCAGTAATTGTATTCTTGCAAAGGAGCTTACAGCTGTTTAAAGCTGTCTGTTAAATTTGCTCGGTGTGCATCTGACTTTGATATGATAGCCTACACCCCCCTGCTTGTTTGTGAGTGAGAAGAGTCATAAATTACCGCGTTATCAGTGAGAGTCTTTTGTACCTGCAGCTTGCCCTTGTTCTACCTGCCTGCCGTGTTTTCTGACAGGTCCAATCACTAATCTGCTGTATGAGGGCTTGCCTTTGTCTTTTTTTTTTTTCTTCATCCTGCAGCATAGTGTTTTGTTTGTCTTGGTTGTGTTGTATATGCAGCTCCTTTCCCTCCCCTCTTCAGCCCTCTGCAAAACCTCCCTGGGTTGCAGCTGGTTTGTTTTGCACTACTCCCTGAGTTCAGGTTGCAGAGCCAAAATCGGCCCTGGCTGCTTCTGTTTCCGGTGATGAATGTGGGGTGGTGGTGTTGGTTGGGGGGCGTGGTGCGAGGGGAGTGAATGCCGTCAGGACACCAGCGCATGATAAGGATGAGCCCCCTTCAGGCTCAATTGGAATGCAGATTGAATGTCCTTCTCCTATATCTGCAGCAGCCCCCTCCTGCAGCCCACCACACACTCACACACTTACATACACACACACTACATGCGCACATGCCATCTCATCTGAAGCTGACACATTTACCCTTGGAAGACTGCTGGCATCATTTTTCCACTTCTTTGTGTGTTATGTTAGTCCTGCGCTCTCCTTCGTATTCTTGCTTGTACGGTGCTGCTGTTTTGTTTGTCAGCCTGCTATCAAAGCCCGTCTTTGTCTCCGTGTACCTTTCCTCCCCTATATGACGTCACCCCTGTTTTTCATTTCATCCCTGCCTCTTGCTCCTCTCTGATCAATAAACAAATGACCTCTCCTTTGTTTGGTAAGGGAGATTATTATTTTTTGAATGTCAAATGATATGCACCTGTGAATTTTTGCTCACAATCGGCCCTCTGTGAGTTGTTTTTTTGTCATATTTTGCAGCCATGCCACAAGTTTGAATGCATCTTGTGATTTGAATACACCAGCGCTCTAATATCAACATTGCTGTCCCTCTTTGTCAACCCTCGAGCTTGTTTTTTACGACAAAAAATAGCTCTGTTTCAAAATCAGTTGCTGTAGGCAGTGCTGTAAACACAATTAATAGGTTTGTGTGCATATACATGAAACCAAAATATGATTTGTCATACCATACACAGTCACCTAAATGACGATTGTTTCTTGTTGCTTTATATATCCACCCACACAAGCTTGTTACCATTTTTTTCTCCTTTTCATGCGGGTGTTTTTTTCATGTGGGTGGACAATAAGGAGTGCATCGCCTTCTCAAAAGTAGAGCTGTGTGCAGCCTCTGTGGCTTGTTTTCAGGCAGTAAAGATGAAGCAGTGTGGATGGGTGTCTGGACACAGTTTTGACAAAGGATGTTTGTATACACCCTCCACCACAGTGTTTATTAATCACTAATATTGATTGGTTTGGATGTAAAGGCCTTCTTACACATGGATCACTTTTGTGGCAGAACATAAATGACTTTTCTAAAGATAAAAAGTTCAAGGTATTTAAGCTGGATCTAATGTTTTCTTTTAGATCAGATCTAGAAATATCTAGAAACTTCTATAATTGTATCTAAACAAACACACTGTAAAGTGTCTTGAGGTGTAGATAAAGCTGAATTGTTGATTGTGATTTTGTGTTGTCAGCAGACTGTTCAACCTGTAGGATGTGTCATGCTCACATCTACTGTAGTTCCTGTTTCAGTTTGACTTTTCCCGATGTTTGTCCAGACATGTTTATGCGATCACACAAAATACCAATTTCCTCTTTGATTGTGTGATGACAAATCTCATCTCCTCTGTCTGTACAAGAGTAAGTACTGTCCCTTATTCTACTGATTTTTACAACTATTTAAAGTAAAATATTACTATAAGACTAATAATAGGTCAGTGGCTTTTAGAGATTTGTTGTTTTTTTCCCTTAGTCTTCACATTTATTCTGGTCTTGTATGTATTTCCTGCTTGATGGTGACTGCCGTGTGTTTGCCATCTTTCCGTGGAGCCCATTTAAAGATGCAGTACAGTGCTTTGTCCTGTGTGGGCACAGGGTTCACAGTTCATTGAACAAGTCTGTAATTTTAGCTTCAGCTCGTCTAACAACAGCAGTAACCTTTCCCTGAAGTAATCCTCGCTCAGAAATTGGTTTTCCCTCCGAGCAAGAAGCCACAGTACAGGGACACATCAGCAGGGTGACTGCCTTTGTTGCACTCAGGGTCATTGCGTCACTTGAGCGCTAATGATGTCCCACTTTTAAGGTTTTATCATAGCGTTGGTGGGATTTTACTGACCTGGCTTTTATAAGCAGCTGCCACTTTAAAATGTTTTCAGTCCGTTTGTGCTTAAGAAAATACATATTTTATGGCAGTATTTGCCTAAAAATATCTGTATTGATCTATAACACAGACTGAACAGACAGCAGAGTTAGAAGAGTTGCACATGCATCATTTATAATCAGATGGAAGTGTGATCAGTCGATGTTGCAATCCCTGATTATTCTACAACAATGGGGAAAAAAAATAGTCTCAGCGTCTCCCGACATGTTAAGTCCTTGACAAGTCTCACTCGGAGCACGTATTCAATGCGACGCAGGCGTCTGAAATGCTGTTCTCTTGGTGACTGAGCCAGTTAGTGCTTGATGGAGCAGTAACCCAGCTCCTGCAGCTCGGCATACTAATGAGTAGCTCCGTGTTTGCAGAGAGATACTTGTGTGAATGTGCTCTTGTCAGTAGGTCTTTGATTGGCAGGCACCTGTGTGCTCTACGTTCTCCACTCGCCGTTTCTCATGTACGTTGACAGACGACAGAGGGTCAGGGTCTGTGTCTGAGCGTGTTTCATTTAGTGCCAGCTCCCCTCGCTCACTCACTGCCTTTTTATCCTCGCGCTTCCTTTGGGTCTTTTGCTTTGTATAAACTATGAGATTAGGGAAATGTAAACGTCAGAATGAGGTCGATTTGTTTAATGTGCATTACTTTTTTTTTTTTTAAGATCTGAGTATGGACTCTATATAGGTCGAGAGGTGGAGCCTCTTGCAGGATCAGGAGGAAACCCTCATCCACTGCAGGGAGAAGTGAAATACCACATGGAGCTACCAGCCTGATAAACACGGTGCCGAATGCCAAAAAAGCTGTACAGGGCTAAAATTAAGTAACACGGCCAGCTACTCGCCCTTATCTCCATCAACCTGTGACATAAGTTGAGGTGTTTGTGATTTAACAGTGCTGTAACATTACTAGACAGCTGTTTGTGCTGTTAAAATTAGTCGTCTTTTCCAGCATTCGTACAATTCAACCCGCAGTGAACCATTTGGCTTTGATCAGCGCTGTGTCATCGGGTTTCACATACAGAGGAACTGAGTCCTCGCCCATGGCCAAGCTCCCAAACACCTTTTCCTAGAGGCCATTGTATGACGGTGAGAGAGCTAATAAATGGCAGGGCTATGAGGGCAGGCCAGCTTCCCTCTCCACATGGGTCTGTTTCTCTTGGCCTCAGGCTCCTCAGCCCAGTCGCTCCCATGTTTGTGTGTTTGGTCTCATCCATTTCTTTGCTGCTGCTGAGCTTCCCTTTTCAAGGCCTCCTAAGCTCAACTTTCACATTAGTTCTTTCATCTGTGCTTCCTCCCAGTGTGTAAATCCCCTCTTCTAAAGACAATTTTGGGTATTTTTGCCCTGTTTTCAGCCCTGTTTGTTTTTTGCTTACTGCATCCTCTTTCATTTCACAGAAGTGGATACCTTTTAATCCACAGTGCTCCTTCTGCATTTAATAATAATGTGGTGGACTTTTATAAAGCATCTGACCCTGCTGCAGCCAACCTGAGTTGGTGTGTGTGTGTGTGTGTGTGTGTGTGTGTCTGTCAAGCTCCCCGCAGACATTCTGTTGTTTGCTTGTTTTATTTGGACAAAGAATAACGTAAGGAATGCACTCACTTGCCGGTGGCGCCGGTATCTCAGCATCGCGACTGCCGTTCTTCCAAGTCTGCCTCTCTTCAGCTGATTTAAGGTGTGGAACATGACTCGGGTCCAAAGCACAGTCTGAGCCCATCATCACATGTTCTGGACTCTGAAAGTCTAATCTTATCTTGAGCCAACCTGCTTTGGCTAATTTAATAGTTACTCTCAAGGAAAGACAGTCCTGCATTGCTAGGGTTTTTGTCATGTTAGACTGAAAGGTGCATTTATATATTGTGAAGGAAACATATTACACATAGATCGATAAAAATCCATGAATTTATCTGCTTTCTCGATCAACAGATTGTTTTGTCTGTAAACGGAGATCTTGGAGTGTTGTTTTCAGGTGGCTTGCTTTGACCAAAAGTCAAAAAAATACCCTAAAATGCTGAATTTACAGCGATATAATAGAGAGAAAAGCAGTAGATATTCATGTTTGAGCAGATGGAACCAGCAAATTTGGGAATTTTATTGCTTAAAAATGGACTGAAACAGTTGACAGATTGTAAAATTTCAATGCAGTTAATTCTCTGCCACTTTTTTTTCTCTCAGTGCTGTGTTTCTGATACCATGACCACTGCCTCAGACTGATAAACATCAACACAGTGGGTGGGGGGGGAGTCCACAGCTTGTACTGTAATAACAAAGAGTTTTTGGTTTTAAAGTTTCTCGTTAAAAACCGGCCTTCTCCCTCCTCCTTGTCCTGGTTTGCGCAGGTAATGGTGAACAGTGAGAAGGAGCGAGTGTCGCTGCTGTTCATGAAGGCTCTGGTCAGCAGGGGTAGTGTGGATGCCGTGTCCCAGCAGATGGCGCCTCACCCCCAGTACTTGGAGAGCTTCCTGCGCACACAGCACTACATCCTGCACATGGACGGCCCCTTGCCGCTGCCATACCGCCATTATATCGCCATCATGGTCAGTAACCTGGCTGTTTTCACTGTTTACTGTCCTACTGTACAAATGCATAGTTAATAAAACTGTTCCGCTCCTTTAGGGCAGCAAGAATCAACAGAGTTCAAACCAGTGCTGCACAAAATTAGAGAATTGCATGCGTTCTGCAGTCCATCGTTTTTCCAAATTTGTCTCCTCAACTTCCTCCTCTCTTTACTTCCAGGCTGCAGCACGACATCACTGCAACTACCTGGTGTACCTGCACTCAGCACAGTTTCTGAGGGTGGGTGGGGACCCTCTGTGGCTGCAGGGTTTGGAGGCGGCACCCCCTCGCCTTCGTCTGCTTGACCACATCAACAAAGTGCTGGCCCACCAACCCTGGCTCACCGCCTGCTCACACATCCAGGTACGACAAAGAATTACAGACACGAACCACACATAAGATGTGTGTAAATCGCAATAAGGCGGCAGTACATGTTTTACTATTACCACTCACAGAAACCCAGTTTAGCACAGAGAGTCTAAATTTTTATTAAAAGCCATGCCTCTTTTTAAAAAATTTGTCATAATTGTTGTTGTTTCCTGAAACTAAATCACAGTTTGTATTTGTGTCTCTGATCCCTTCAGACGCTGCTGAAGTCCGGTGAGCAGTGCTGGTCGCTGGCTGAGCTGGTGCAGGCCGTAGTGATCCTGGCTCACTGCCACTCCCTCTGCAGCTTTGTGTTTGGATGCGACACAGACTCAGACTTTGTCCCTCTCTCTAAATCTCCTAACGGTACCCCGCCGACCTTCTGCCCCTTTGATGCTGCCAACGGCAACACCAATGTGCCTCAGTTGCTTGCCGCTCCCTCTGAACACATAACACGACGACGGGTAAAAAAATCTGACTTTTCTTGTCAAAAGAGATTTGCAGAGCAGATGTAGTATATATATGTGTGTGTGTGTGTGTGTGTGTGTGTGTTATTTTTAGCCTGTAAAATGTCAGATCATAATTAAAAATGTTTCAACTCTTAAGGTTACATGTTTTTTCTAAACAAATGTCCTCAAACATATTACATAAAGTAATATAGAACAGAAAAATATCATGTCCAACATATGAGGGGAAGTCGAACTGATTAATTTTCTGTCAAGTGGCTGCTGTGTTCACAGTATTAAATATTATTTTGTTGTAAAAATTTAACATTTAAACTTGGTTTCAGTATTTCGGCATGTGCAAATGTGGTTTATCTCGGTACTTCATTAGTGCACTTGATCTCTTACCGAAAAGTATAAAATTAACTATAGTTTATACACACACACACACACACAAACACACACACACAGGAGATGCAACGGTTTCTGATGTTGCACAATTAAGTTGTTTTTTTGCCCCAGTAGTTGCTGCTGTCTTTTCTTTTTAATATGCATAAAGCTTCACTGAACTTTGTCAGCACATTCACTGGTATTTCTGTCAACAGTCTCTGGACTCCAGTTGTGACATGGTGTGTCTGAAGGAGAGGATCCAGAAGTCCCAGGAGGAGCGCGAGAAGCGAGAAGAGCGCCTTCTGCAGACACAGACACTCCAGCAAACAGGTCGGACACAGAAATACTCAAACACTGCTTAGTTGTTCACACTCTCTTCCAATGGTTATCTTGAGCGTTACATTGAGGTCACATGCTGTGAAACTCGAGCAATTACCACTCATCAGCCACACTTACTGACGCACTCTCTCTGCCTCTCCTCCATCTCCTTTGCATTCATCGTCTCTTTTTTTAGACATGGAAGAAGAGGAGGAGATGATTTGCTTTGCAGATCCGTCACGTTTTATCACAGACCCTGACTTTTGCTATCAGGAGTTTGCTCGCAGGGAGGAGGACCACTTCCAAGTATTTAGAGTTCAGGTGAGGACGTTACATTTCTGAATGCATTAGTGGGATTGTGGTGGTGTCGTCATTTAACGTGTGTGTAATGGCCTTTTGTGCAGTGGCCTTAGGAAATAATTGTTTTTGATGTGTCATGCAGACATTCAGTGTGTTAACAAAGTTTTGTTGCCATCTTTACATCCAAACTATATCTGTGCCACAGTCAGAAGAGTGCACTTCTAAGTGATCAGGATCAAAATCTAGATGTAAATGTAATGTCTGCAGTCAGGCAAAACAAGTTAATCAGTGCAGTTTTTGACATTTTAACACAATAAACCTAAATGAATTCCTGAAAGGACAAAACATGATGGGAGTAAAGTTTCTTTTTTTCTGCATATATTTTGAATAGTTTTAACCTTACGCTGCATTTATAATATTTTTAAAATAATGATCATCTGTTGGTCACTAGTCTGGTGTTGTTAAGTGTCATGCTCCTAACCTGAGGGTCAGGAACCCCACAAAGGCTGCCAAGATGATTTAAAAGCACCAGAAAACACAAAACTATATTCATTTTTTCAGGCTTTCCTTTAATTGTTGTTTAAATGAGTTTGAAATCTTTTTTTTCTTGTTATTGTTCCTGGGTCATTTTAGATGTTCACATTACTAAATATACAAAAATAAAGACAAAACATCCTGAAGCTAAACAGGAGCTATATTGGGACTGTTGAGAACGTCCTCTCTGTAATATTTGGCGATTGTCCCGTTTTGTGGCACTGACTTGTTTGACTGGCCCTACAGGACTATTCATGGGAAGACCACGGCTTCTCCTTAGTCAACAGACTGTATTCGGACATCGGGCACCTCTTGGACGACAGATTCAGGAGCGTGACCACCCTCCCCTCGCTGCACAGCCCCGACATGAAGAGGGCGATCTGGAACTACATCCACTGTGTGTTAGGAATACGGTAAGAGTGCCATTTCATTTTATGCATGTGCTAATAACAGAAACATCCTCTGTTGAGCACGCAGGAATCCTGCTTTGCATTATGTCTAGCAGACAATAATGACTTTGCTTTTGGTTGCAGCTATGACGATTATGATTACGGAGAAGTGAACCAGTTGCTGGAGCGAGATTTAAAGCTGTACATCAAGGCTGTTGCCTGTTTTCCGGATGCCACCAAAACTTCAGTGTGTCCGCTGAGTTTGACTCCCATTAAAACTTCAGAGCGGGTAAGAGGGCTTTTTACGGACATGTTTTTCCACGTTTGGCATGTTATTTGCTAAATACAAAGCTACAGGCGGCAGCTGGCAAACTTGGCATGGCATGGCATAAATACTGGAAACAGCAAAACAGCTAACCTGGCTCTGCTCAAAGTTTAGAAGAAGAAAAAAAACACCTACCAGCAGCTGTCAGTGTTCACTTGTTAACATTTCTTTCCTTGAATCTCAGGTGGTGGCCTGGAGAAATAGTTGAACACCCACTCCTAAACCATCTTATTATGTGTTATTGTTTTAACATTTTGTATGTTTTGCAAATTAAAAGGAGTTCAATTTTGAGCTTTACAGTTGCTGGTAGGTGAATTATCTCCCATAGCCAAGCTAAGCTAACCTGCAATTCATGTCGGCTTCATATTTGATTGAAAGATATAAGAGTGTTGTCAGTCTTCTCATCTAATTCTCGTGTTGTTTGACAGATATGTTTAGTATGTTTTCACAAACGCGTCAGACAAGTTTCATCAACCCTCAGGACCTGATTGGGGTTAATCGTGTCTGATTCTGTCTCCTCAGATACACGTAAATCTACTAATCATGGAGGCCCGGCTGCAGGCAGAGCTGCTGTACGCCCTCAGAGCCATCACTCAGTACATGATTGCCTAAGTGCTCGGAGAGACACGAAGTTAAAACTCTCCGCCGGTACACAGAGACCCAGAGACACGAGGATAAAGACATCTCAACATCTGACGGGGACGCGGGACGAGAGCGGCACTTTAAAGGACACAGAGCTCCTTTTGTTTGTAGCCGTGTCTCATGAATGTGCTTTTCTTTTTCTCAGAGTTAATGTATTTATGCCATAGTGTGCCACAGCCCCTCCTCAACCCTCCTGCAAATCGTCTTATTGTGAAGTCCTCTTATCAAACGTCTCGGCTCTCAACGGTTATGTGCAATTATGACTAGTTATTTTAATTTTTACCTGTTGTCTTGTTTTCCAGTTATGTCTGTGTTACCAGTGGCCAACATTTTTAGTTGGAGTCTCCTTTTGTAAAAAACTATGCTTTCCCCCCCAAAAAAACCTTTTTGTATAAGTTGAATGAATGTTAAGGGGAGACCAGGGCCTTCGTTTTGTTTTGTTTGGGTTTTTTTTTTTTTTTTGGACAATCCTTGTCAGTGTTGGAAAACATTAAGTGGACTGTGAAGGACGACGGTTCTGCTCTCCCTGACATTTCGTATTAATGCTGGTCAAGAACAAACAAAACAGTGACACTGCTGGAAGTCATCACATCACTATAGTTTCTTTTAATAAGCACTTTTTTAAACTTTATATATTTATAATGCAATGTAGCTCATTAGTAGACATTGAGACACAGAGTTTGTGGGTCTGATAACTTTCCTCTCCACTGTAAGATGTGTAAGATTTTTAGACTATTTGTCCTCAAACTTTCAGACTTTGCCCCAGATTTCAGAGTGAAGGTACTTGATTCAAAGTATTTCATTGAATTATTGTTTTTCTGTTACTCTCAGTTCAGTGCCGACACAAAGAAGGATTTTGAAGGTAGTGTTTGAAAAACCTAAGAAAATTTGTAACTAATCTGAAGAAGTCAGTGAGCTGTTTCCGACAGCGACAATTAAGCTGAGCCATTCACAGGATAATTTTGTTTTTTACTGACGTCCTTCAGAAGTGATCGAATCAGAGCCTGAGTTTCAGACCAAAGGTCAGTAAAAATGTTCACTAAAGTGAAGTAATAAATTGGATAGATTGAAAACGTCCAGAAGTAGATCTGCGCTGGTCATGAGTTCAGATGTTTTCTCCAAGCTTTGTGTTAAAGCTTTTATTTGTGAGCTGTATCAAAGTTAATTATCAAGTCAAAATCCACGGTACAATTTGCAAAGCAGAACAATGTGCAAACTAGCTGTTAAAAACACGTGTATCTCTTTTGTCTTTTTTTTATTTTTACAGTTTTTGTAAACTTTGGAGTACTTTGTTTGTTTCTGGGTGTGACGGTAGGACCTTCTTGTCGTGCTGCAGCCTGGGTAGACGTAGAGGTGTGACACAGTTAGAATTAGTACCTGCAGGACGTAGAATAGAAACAGAAGTGCATATCGACAAAAGCAAAAGCGCTGTTACACAGGTGCCTTCAGGCTAAAACTGGAGTGCTGCTGAAGTGGAGGGATGTGACTACTGGAGGCTGAATGTGGGCTTTAGTTGCAGCTGGGAAACACGCCCACTTGAAAAAACTTGGGGCATTTCCCTCATGATTGGGAACGTTTTTCTTTCTTGGTGTTGCTCAGCACCATTTCTGATAACTGTTGCAGCTGTGAACGCCCGTGTTTTCTATCAGACACCTTCTACAAGCCCCAGCAACTCAGCAAGAGCCTTTGACACAGATGGATGTTAAAAATGTTCAACTTTAGCAGATTTAAACAAAAAAAAAAAAAAAAAGGACAATTATTTAAAAAAAGCAACTAAAAAAAGAGAACACATGAAAAGACAAAAAAATGTTTTTTGAAAATGTGAAGAAATGTTTTCTATAAAGATGCTCTATGAAAATAACTGCTGCCTACTGTTTCCTTTCTTCCTTAAAAACCATACCAAAGTTTTTTTTTATGCCTTATTGAGTGATAATAACCTCAAATTATCCCAATTGTTTCCCTCAGTTTTTAGACCTTTAACCTTTATTTTTTTATTTTATTGTTTATTTGATGTGGACATCACAATCACATTGGACAGACCAGATGCTTTGTTTGAGTGTTTTAGCACATGTGCTAATTCGCAACACTTGTCCACAGGAGGCTTTTTGAAAATGACCCTTCCAGGGTGCATAAAAATCCACTTGTGTTAACAGCTTTTTTATTTTTTTTTTTGCAGTCATCACTTTTACTGTTACCAAGTTATCTAGTTATATGTCCTTGCCTAACATTACAAAACAAAAATTTGCCTCATAACCAGTCTTTAGTGGGTGGAAAAAGGAATACACACCAACATGGGAAAACAATTGTAATTGTAAATAATTTAAAAATCAACAGGTTTCTGTATTCGTACACGCATTTCCTTGAGTTTTCAACCACATCTCCCTGTTGTTCTTAGCTGATAGGATTAAGTTTGAATCTCGACATGTTCTTGTCTGCTGAGGACGACCCTGAGAGGTGGTTGAAAGCGCTGGAGAAGTGGAAAAAGCTTCTTGCTCACACTGCTGTTTCCAAAATGAAAGATGAACTTGAACACTTCTGACTTGTATGTTTTGTGTTCAGCAACTGTCTCCAAGTGACTGGGTATTCAGAAATTCCAGGAGCACAGCGCTCTCTGGTGGCCAACTTGAAGAACTGAACCAAGTCTGACACAGACAGGTGGCAAATTTAGATGTAGCCCATTCACACTCACCGGCCATTTTATTACATATACCTGTGAAATCTAATGCCATGACAGCTCTGCCACAAATTGTACTGTTGTAAAATATTTACATTTTTAGGTTTCACTAAAAGGGGATTATTCTACTTCATGGTTATTGCTGAGGTCGTAGGGGGCAGTGGTGGTGAACTGGACGACATATTAAGAACACATTTAAAAATCATACTACACAATGTCCCCTCAATACTGAATATAAAGTAGAATCATCATCTTTATGACAGCAGAATGTGAACATGTAAAAGCTTGATAGAAGTAGAATTTATGGTGGAGCTGTTGTATTGGATTGCATTAGATTTCATCAGGTGTACCTTCTAAAGCTACCAGTTTGTGGCACATTTACAACAACAGACGTTGAGCTGAAGTTTCCAAAAGAGGAACAAGATAAACATTAACAATGTACCCAACAAGTTTATATATTAAAGTCAGGGCCCTACAATATATGTTGTACACATTTACTTAATTTATAAATAAAGGTTAATATCCTACAAACTTATACATGAAAAACCCAACAACTCCAAAGATTTCTTGTGAGCAAACATATTAGTGACTGTAAAAGGAAATAACTAAACCCTGGACCCCAACAGTGAGCCGATCCAGTGGTTCTGTTACTCTGTGGGGGACATTTTTCTGGCATGGTTTGGTTCCACTTGTCGCTTAAGTGGAAAGAGTTACTGCAAGTCAATACAGTTGTTGTGAGTGATCACCTTTATCCTGTGATGAAGTATCTCTATCCTGATGGGAGTGATCTCTTCCAGGATGATAATGGCTCCATTAATAGGGCATGGGGGTGGTTTGATTAAAAATGACATGAATCATACACTGTGGCCTTCACAGTCACCACATCTCTACACAGCTCATCACCAACTGAGGGAATGTCTTTGAGCAGAATGGTGTTCATCCCTCCAGATTTCTAGACTTGGAGAACAAATGAAGCTTTTCTGGAGGCTTGGCATCTTACTGAGACACATTATGTGGGGATTCTCTTTTATCAAGTCACTTGTCTAAAAGTCATTAATGAGACCAAGTGGGTTAAACGGTTTATTGAATTGATTTCTGCTGTTCAGAACTGTTTGTCATCCCTGGCTGACTTTACAATGTGTGTTGAAAGAAAAGACCGTGAGGGAGGGGAGAAAGAAAGAGCGAAAAACTACCAACATTATTTAGAAATCATAAACATAATTGGCTTATGCACAACTCTTCATTCCCACCCTCCCTTGTGGGAAAAAAAAAATGACAACCCTTGCCGAATACTAAATACTGTATGAAATGGGGGCAATTTAAAAATTTTAAAAACATACAGGGACTAACTGCTACTTAAAAGAAAAAATATGGAGATAGTTACATATAGGGGAGATTACAAGAGAAGCAATAACACCACACCTGACTGTTTCAAAGAGGCAACAGTAAACTAGAGACATTGAAAGCCTGGTGCGGCAGATCCTCACAAAGCAGCTGCCGCTCCTTTACATGCTGCAGCCTATCACATCAGCTGTTAATAGCATTTCCAACATCAGTTAAGAAAAACAGGGGGTTTGTTGCATATTCCTAAAATAATTACACATTATGATTGAAAATAATAAGAAAATCATGCAGATTAAACAAGCTGGTCTTTTGTTTCCAGATTTAAGCAATCAGGTTGGGGGCTGGGGTTATTATAATACATATAAAAAACATTAGAAAAAAAAAAAAACAGAGGGGAAAGGACTGATGATTGTGTGCTAATTTCTACCGTAACACCAAATCAAGATCCTTGTGCCGTATACAGAAAATTCAAAAGGCCCTGATATGCACCCACTGCACCATGGCGTACTCCGGGATACGTCACAAATGACATCTAGCACCATTCGAAAAGAAAAGAAAAAAAAAAACATCTGCTGAAATAAAGGAGAGTGCTTTGTACAAATCAGAGGCTAACGTATTCACACAGCTACAGTGAAAAGATGAGTATTAAGAGTTTAACTGCAGGGATGTTAATTCTGATCACAAAATTAAATACAAACATACACAAAATTTTAAAAAGGGGGGAGATGACGAAATAAAGTCTCGCTACAGAGTAACATCATGCTATAGTGTTTTAAATATTGGCAGTGAAAAAACGAACAGAAAAAGTAAAACCCCAAGGGATAAGCTAGTACTGATATACATGGCTGGACAGCTACGATACATCTCTCTAAAAATGGGAAATCAAATTTGAGATCAACTCTTTTAAAGACAGAAACGTCTCCAGGAAAACAATACAAAAAGTGTTGGTTTCCAGTCTGCCGTAACAGAGAAATTGTGCAAAACAAAGTCTTTTTTTTTCTTTTTTCTTTTTTTGCTGTCGTCTGATTACGTCTGTGCAGAACTGTTGTTTTTCTTCCGAGTGACCCTGAGAGGTAACGGTTGTACGAGTCTCGTTTTGAGATGAGAATTCGGCGGCATGTTGGAAACTTTTTTTTGCCACGTTTTCGATGCAGATTTTTATCCTTGGATTTAAAGAAGAAGAAGAAAAAAAAGAAGCACGAGGCAGATGACTGGGAATTTTAGTTGAAACTGTCAAGTATTTGCCTCACTCGTCGTTCAAAGTCACGTTACAGGCATGTTTTGCGAAGCTTATGTACACCGAGGATACTGTGTCAGGCCCAAGCGCTCCCTAAATGCCATGCAAATGCAAATATTAGTGTTCCTTTGGTTATGTAAAAAAATCTACATGCATGTCATCCTTTACAAAAATAAAAGTGTAGAAAATCACCGTTAAAAATGATCTGAGAATGCTTCCTCCAATGTAAAAAAACATCACTTGTCATTAGTAATATATTCATATGTATTAATATCTGATTTATTATCTCCATCTAAATTGTATATTAAAACTATAATCAAATATATTCTTTTTTTTGTACTTCTCACACTGTGAATTACTTTCTTTAACGTTAGTACTGAATTATTAAAGTGTGAGAGCATATTCTGACTTAAAGCACCCGAATCCCGCCCCTGTCCCCCAAAAAACATATCAGGAAAATGTTAAATAGCAAAACCCTTCAAGAAGTGATTTTTCAAATTTCCTTCAAGATTTCATGTCGCTCTCCTGATACGTCTGCATAGCGTGCCGTCATGTGCAATGTGTACATTACATGTTTCTTTTACAGGATTATAAACTCTCTTTTACTGAAATGGTATAACCTAATGTGGATGTACGCTCTTAGTTTGGGGTTCCTGTGTCGCAGGAAACCTAAGTGCTTTGAAAATGCACAGACTCGAGGAGAAAAAAAAAAAGAAGAAAAATCAGGTAGACCATTTAAGAGAGGAGGCATGTTGCTCTCGAGGACAATATAATACTTGGCCAACCGATCACTCGTTAGCGTATAAATTTACCCTTGAATGCCCCGTATAGAAATTCACAAATCACCTTTCTTCATGTTGTTAGTTTAACTGCACATCAGGGATTTTAAAAAAACAAAACACCCTCTAACTGACATCTACTGTAACACACTGGATTGAAGTCAAAAATGCCAAACTGCAAGTACTCCTAACTGTTGAGTCTCCAAATTTAATTGGAGATTTAAAAATGCATTTATTTATTTATTTATTTTTAAATCTCTAAACTGATCAAATCAATCAAAGCCCAGGCAAGACGAGTAACCAATGTTGGGTCAAACATTTTATGCCTCCAGTTGTTCAGTCTTTATCTTCCACCCGTTCACAACACAGTCCTCAACTCTTTTCTCTCAAGGTTGGCGCACCACAGTGAAGTGCACCTCATTCAGACGATCAAACAGCATTTGGTCTGGCAATTCAAGCTGAACGAGTGTCAGCAGAAAACTGGCCATTTCTCCAAAAACGCCCAATCCGTCGAGTCTTCAACACCGTCCAGATCCGGGGTACCGTATTCACCCTAAAGCTATTCTGCTGTAACTGAAATATGAACAATTCCCAGCAGACGGAAGCTGATGATTTGTCTTTTCACTCTAAAAACACCATGTCACACATCTGTAAAAATCATCAGTTCGCATTAAAAGAAGAAAAACAAAAAATGGCCAGCAGCCAAATTGTTGCCAAGTGTTATAAAAAAAAAAAAAGACTGAGAAAAAGTTGTGCATAGTAGCCTGAATCTCCTCCCTGTCCTCTGCATGTCTTGGCACATGACATGGGTGAGGTCTGGTTCTGCAGTTTAAAGTCCAAGAGAAATTTGTATCTTCATCCAGCAGGGAGGAGTGATGCACCGGTGGTTTTTTTGTCGTTTTGTGAGGTTATCTTGATTGGAGCTCAGTTCCTGCAACACAACAGGATAAGAAGGTCATTTGTACTGTTGTTGATTTGCTCATAAATCCATCTTATGCAAGAGTTGTACTGAAAGGGTCATTTGCTAACATCTGTACATTGCATCCACGTGTTGCGCTGTGTGTAGCGCTGAAACAATGAGCTAAGTGGAAAAGGTCATTTCAATTTCCCTATATGACCTTTTTAAACAACCTAAAACACCAAACTATTACATTTACATTTGCATTAAACAAAAAATATTTCATTTAAGAAGCTGAAAAAATGAAATTTTTAGCTTTTAATTTAAAAGTAGCTGAACCTTTGCTAATTTTATATTTTATGTACAGTGACTATTTGTTCATTTTCAGCCCTACACTGCTGTATTTTCTTTGTTTATTAAGCCAAAAGGACAAATATTTGCTGATTCTACATTCTTAAATGTAAGTATTTGTTGTTTTACGTCACTGTAAACTGAATGTCTTTAGGTTTTTGGTGAAAGAAGTTGCACCTTTACACCATTTATATTTTATAGATAAACACTTAATTAACAACAGATTAATTAATAATAATCGGTGTTTGTGTGTGAGATAGAGAACCTGAGAGCGGTTGGCGTACCTGGCTAACTTCGTGTGGTCAGCTGAGGAATTAGCTGGGCACCCAGCTGTGAGCGGAGCCCTGCGTGGTGGCGGGGCCCGCGTAGCCTTGGCCTCCAGGCAGCATGGGGTCAAAGTTAAAATCAATGCCTTCTCCGTCCATGAGGTCACTGTTGATTATGTAGTCCACATCACAATCCAGGTTTTCGGTGAACATGTCTATGTCCAAGTCTGTGGGCAGTCGGTCCTGACCGCCGGGGAAGCAGGACGGAGCTCCGAACTGACTCATCCCCTGCATGTTTGCGGCGGGATTGGCAGGCCCTCCGTGGTGAGAGCCCACTGCTGGCACCGTGCCGTGCTGGGCTTTGAGAGCGGAGAGCTGTGACGGGTCCTGAGACATAACTGAGAGGATCATCCCCAACCCCATCTGAGAGTGATGCTGGTGCTGCTGCTGTTGCTGCTGGTGGTGGAGGTGATGCTGCTGCTGCTGCTGCGGCGGCTGCATCTGAGCCTGCAGCCCGATGGGGGCAACGGTGTTTGGCTCCAGCCCTTTACCCAACAGCAGCTGGTTGGGTTTGGGCCTCACGCCCGCCACAGATGAGCCCAAACTCATCAGGCCCACCCCTCCAGGGTTGGGCATGAGGGGATCCACCTGGGTCATTAGGACATCACTGGGAGGAGGGGAGTCGGAGGTGAGCAGCGCCTCCAGGCTGGAAGGTACGTGGGTGCTGTAATGGCCACTCCCACGAGAGCCGGAGCTGGGGATGGAGTTGAAGAGGGAGTTGCTGAAAGTCGACGGCTCTTTGCTGCTGGGTCCACACTGAGAGACGGAGGCCTGGGTCGCGCTGTGGGGGGAGGCCTGCGGGAGGCTGGGTGACAGCTGGTGGAAGGAGGGGAAGCTGGAGCCTCGAGGCAGCAGGGTGGAGGCGGAGGGCAGAGGAGTAGGAGGTGCTGGTGGGGCTGTGCTGGGACTGGCCCCTCCCTGCTGCCCAGTTATCAAGGTGAGGCCGTCGATCAGATCCAGCTCCTCCATGAGGGTCTCGGTGAGGGTGGGGGTCAAGCTGCTGGAGGCGTATCTTCCCAGCAGCCCGTCTTCAGGCAGGTTATCGTCGTCCTCCTGGCCAGGAGCAATGGGGGACAGACGTCCGCTCAGAGTGCTGGCGTTAGAGCTTGTGCGTGGGCGGAAGGTGGTCCACATGTCAGTGTCGTCCAGGCTGCCACGGGACGAGGGGCTGCTGCTGTTGACTGCCCATTTAGGGAACTGCTGGGATGAATTAGGGCTGTCTGCACCCGCTGAACCCGTGCTGCCGTCACCCTGCAGCACCCCTCCAGCACCTCCAAGGCCGGCTGCTCCCGCCTGCTTCTTGGTCTGCTTGGCCCTCATGCGGCTCTTCAGCAGTTTGCTGCTGTTGTCCATGGAGGCGGCACGGCGGCGAGGGGCCTTACCCGTCTTCCCTCCTTCTGGATTGAGCATCCACCAGGAGCTCTTTCCTGTCGATTCATTGTGCACCCTCAAGAACTTGTTGTGGAGTGATAAATTGTGGCGAATTGAATTCTGAAAATAAAGAGAAAGAACATTCCTTAAAAATAAAGGCTTTACTTGTTTAGATTGAGTTTCCAAAAGCACTGAAGCTAAAGTACACAGAAGCATATTTTATGACAGAGTGTCGTTCAGACCAACCTGCGAGTTTCAACACTCATGAGGTCACAGGACAGAAAAACTGATTTATTATAGATATGTTTAATGTAATTGTATTTTGGCTAACTTTACATCTTCAGTTCTGTTTACATTAACATCCTTTCCTTATTTTTTAACTCAGAAAACAGGTCAAAACTAATAGACAAGTGCAAATTGTACCAACAAGTCACTTTGCTTCAAGGGTTTGTATGCCCCAAAAAATAAAAGAGAACCACTGCTTTGGACTGTAGTGAATCATAGATTATTGATCAGTGATCAACTATTACATTAATTGTCAGCTGTTTTAATAATTGATTAATTGGTTTGAGTATTATTTTTTTTTAAAGAGAAAGTCAAAATGTTCTGGTTTCTTTACTCCTCTGTGACGGCACATATATTATATGCATATAATCACAGAGAAACTTTAAGGAGTTAATTTTTCCATATCTAAACAAATGCCTATGCTGGGACATGTATTTACTTTTCCATACTGAACAGCCCAAAGAATAAGGTGGTCATCTGCAGGACACTGCATTTGAATGGCAGAGCTACAAATATTGCTGGTACTTCAAGCTTCACAGTCCACTTTGTAAAGTGATGCACTGTTGTACTCTCGTACAAATGTAATTATTTAGTCTAATTTATCCCACATCTGTTTCTTTTTTGTCTCCCAAGAGGAAATTTAAAAAAACAAAACAAATAGACACACAAAACAGAATCAAAAGCTTCTGCTAGTATGGAAAATAAATCAATGTCAGTAATGCATATATTTATCAAGTAGCCAACTGACCTAAAAAAGAAGAACCTAGGGACTTCACTTTTTCATATCTGAATAAGTATTTATATAGAGATAAGTATCTACTGTTGTACTATGGTACTAAAGTACTTATATTTTCCCAAATTTATCCCAGGTCAGTTCAGGACAGATCTGTTTAGTCCCACAAGGTAAGTTAAAAACAAAAACACACAAAAAACATTGTGCCAAAAATAAATAACTGTCAGTAATTCATGTAATCACATCACAGAGAAACTTAAAAGAGTTATTTTTTTCATATCTGACTAAATACTTATACTGGGATTTGTCTTTACTTTATTTCAGAATAGGCTGGTCTTCGGCAGACTATACTTTAAATGGCAAAGCTACAAATATTCCTGACACTTTGAGTTTTAGACTACAGCTAGTATGGTGGCGTACTGTTGCACTGTAGAATAAAAGAACTTATTTAGTCAGGTTTATCGTAGTTCGCTTCAGATCAGATCTTTACGAGTCAACATGTTAAAGTTCTCCTACAGAACATATATCAGTGTCAGTACTGCCAATAATCACACTGCAACCAACTAACATCACAGACAAACTTTAGAGAGTTAATCTTCCATATCTGAATAAATATTTCTTTGGTCGTCTGCAGACCAGTGCTTTAAATGGCAAGACTACAAATATTCATGACACTTCAAGCTTTATAGTCATATAGCTTGTACAGTGAGGTGTGCTATAGTATAAAAGTACTTATTTTGTCAAACTTATCCCAGATCTGTTCAGATCTGTATTGTTCCACAAGAAGAAATTTTAAAAAATAAAATAAAATAAACACACAAAACACACTGAAAAATGCTGCTAGTGTAGAAAATAAATGAATGTCAGTGATGGATATAATCACAGTGCAGCCAATTAACACCACAAAGGAATTTTTAGGAGTTAATTTTTCCCACATATGAATAACTGCTGATATTGGGATATGTATGAACGTCACTCCAGAACAGACTGGTCACCTGCAGACTGGTCCACTGAATGACAGCCACTTCTTCTCCTAACACCTCCACACTGATGGACTACTCACCTTCCAGCCGGCCGAGCTGTTGCTGTCTCCTTTGTCCCTGAAGTAAGGCACCGTCTTCACCATCCACTCGTAGATCTGCGCCAGGGTCAGCCTCTTCTCCGGGGAGTTCTCGATGGCCTGGCTGATCAGGTCTGCGTAGCTCTGGTTCCCCCACGCGTTGCGCCGGGACGATCCTTTGCGGGGCGTCGCTCCGGCTCCGCCCACACCGGCCACGACCCCGCCCTCGGCCGCAGCCGCCGCTTTCTCGGGCTCAGATGTGATTTGCTGCGGCTCGGGCTTGTCCTCGTCGGCGGGCGGGGTCCCGGCGGCGGACTCGGTGCCGTCCGCCCCCTCCGGTTTGACAGCCGAGATGTCGGGCCTCGGCAGCGGCCACGTGCAGGAGCGAGGTCTGCTCTGAGGCTCGAAGTCTGGGTCAATCGGGGGCACCGACGACTCCTCCATGGCGGTCCTGTGAACGTCCACTCAACCACACAGAAAGCTGGCGTCCACCTAAAACATCTACCTTTAAAGTTTAAAGGTAACTCTGGGCGCTAAAAAAAACCCCAGAAAAACACAACTTCCCGACACACAACAACAACAACAATAATGTGTGCTGCGGGAGTGTCGACCGAGGGGCCGAGAAAGAGACGTAATAATCTGGACACACCAGCGGCCTCGGTTAATCCTCAGATTGGAGATTAGGGAACCCAAATAATCTCCTTAATAGTAACTATCATAAACCTTCCGATTTATATAGAATGAAGGAGGGCTGGGACGGCAGTCCCTTTGTCTGAATGAAATAAAAAACAAAAGTGGCAGAGTGGCAATGAGCACCAGAACATCTGCATACACAGAGGTTTGGACTCACCTGGGAATTAATTACTAAGTCTTGAGTGTGTATGGAGACAAAACAGAGCCATTCCCCCTAATAAACACTCAGTTTAAATATTTGTTAAATCGTAAAAATGTGTTTTAAGTGAATAACTTGTGAAAAAAGTGAACAATTGCGTACCAACCTAGAGGGTGAATCGGTGAGGAGGGATTAGCTGACTACTGTTACAAAGGATCTTCTGAGGAGAGCCCCTGTCCGTCTGTACTTGCAAACAACGTGAGGTCTGATCTCTCAACTAGAGTCAAAAACAGAGCCAACTTTCCTTTTAAAAAACAAAAAACAAAAAAACCACAAACAGTCACAAAGCAGAGCGGTAATGCAGCGGCTGATTGTCCGAGCGGCGGCTTCGTTCAACAACTGTCCCGAAGTGTCGGAGCAGGATCGGGACGCTGGCCGCCGTCTCTTCGGCCTGTACGCTGGAGCCGCTGGAAACAAACATCCAAACAAACTTCCAGCGAGCGAACAGCACGGACAGCCCGGTTTTAGTACGTGTTTAATAGTGTTTCGGTGCGATTAAAGTGTAAAGTCGGTGGAAATGTAGTGCGAAAAGTCCGGGTCTCAGGTCTGCACGATCCGCCACATTGCGGCCAGGCGCATGTCACCATCTGCCATGTTTCTCCACACTCCTGCCGCGGCACACGATGCTCGGAGAGGCGCTTATAAAACCCCTCTCGTGCGAGGCCCGGAGCTCAGCCGATCCTCGCCCTGTAACGTCGGTAACCGAACCCGTCGGCGGGTCCCCGGGGTGCGGGGTGAAGCTGGGTCTCCCACGGGTCTGTCGGCTCCGACTCGCCGCACTTTGAAAACAGCACGATAGCCACCGTAACGCTAGCTGCTTAAGCTGCTGCTACTCCAGAGTTTACAATCCGTGGAAAAGTCCGCGAAAAGCCTCCGATAACTTCCACCAAGTAGCGGCTTCCAATCCGCGAACACTTTTCTAGAACTTGGCGTCGTTGTGTGGCTCCAAATATTCGCTCCTTCACTGTCTTTTTGACTTGTTTTGTTTTGTTTTGTTTTGACTCGAGGCGAAGACTCCCTTCTGACGTCTGTTTACCACTGTCAGGCAACGTGCTCTGCGCCTGCGCGTAGCGGCATTCTGGGAAACCGAGTCGTTCATGTGACAGCACAGGCGTAAACAGCAGCTCATGGAGGCAACATGTACCTGCAATGGAGCGTTATGTAACAGTTTATGAAAGTGTGCTAAGTACATTTAGGCCATTTAAGGTATTATCGGTAACTAGAGAGGCGAGACTGGTGACAGACTGTGACAACAACAAAACAAGATGTTTCATAAACATCCATAAAATAAGATAAGAGTAAACTTTATTGACCCGAAGGAAAACCTTTTATAAAAATGCTTGTCTTTGCTATTTGTAGGCCTCTTCGACTGTTTGACCAGATTGACATGTTAGGGCGCATAAGGGCAATAAATAAATAAATAAATAAATGATTAAATAAATAAATAGATAGATAGATAGATAGATAGATAGATAGATAGATAGATAGATAGATAGATAGATAGATAGATAGATAGAT